TATCGCGAAAGAGTTTTTGATGAAGTCGCGAAGAAGTGGCTCTTGATCTACAGAGTCACGAAGGATTGCGGAAATGTCGCATACAAAGATTTCTTCGAGAAGGTCGCCGTTCCCGAGGTGAAGGAGAGGAACGAGATCTTTGGATTCTCCCGTGCATCTGCCGAGAAAACTGGAGATATCATCGAGTTCTGGCTTGGCGTCTTGGATGTGGCCAACATGGCCAAAGGAGTTGTGGATGTTTTCAATGCCAGTGTTGATCCAGCTGAGTATCTCAATGGATTGGAAAAGGCATTGGCTCAATTCACATCGACCTCCAGAACATCAAGCACCATCAATGACAAGAGACGGGGATCCTTCGACTGCACACTGCAGACCGCAGAAGCCGAAAGGGTCATGAAGCTCATCCACGCAATCCCCGGATATGATTCGCTGGCCAATTTCTGCTGCCTCACGGAATGGGAGAAGGATCAGGTATTCTCTCATTATCGAAGGAAGAACAACATCACAGGGGATGACGCCAGCATGGGCGCTGATGCCGATGCCAAGCCAGGTGACGAGTCGTCGGCTCACCCTGGGGAGGAGGAAGCTGATGAGCCAGCAAACGATCCCACCGATGTGGTCAGGGACTCAGAGATTTCCGGGAAACAACAACTTTTGGATGCGTTGGGAAAACTCTTCACCGTCTCTGAGGATGTCAACGTGTGCTTGTATTGTGGTAGCACCAAACATGGTCATCTTGAATGTGAACATGAGAAGAGAGATGAAGTCAGAAAGGTGCTAAAGGCCGTCCGAGCGTCGCTCGAGGCTGATAGTCCCACATCTGATGACGTCGATATGGAGCCTCCTGAGCACAAGAAGGACGGTTCAGGTGCTACTGAAGGGTCGGGGCAAACAGATGAACCTACGAAACCGAGGTTTAGTGAACACCAGTGGTACGACAGCATCAGAACTATGTCTGAAGTTGGCGACCTCGATGAGTATGGTAGGTTCTGCATCGAAGGACGTGATGTTACAAAGCTAGGACCACAGAACGTTGTTGACCTCAACGAAGTGATCCGAGACGCTATTGTCAGAGGAGGAGGCGACACTTGGTCAGTGCCAGACTTCATGGCAAGCTACTCTGACAACAACATCAGGAAGACCTTCTACAAACGAGTCGAAGCGCCGCAAGATGGCTTCTTGAAAATCATCCCGACAACGGGGGCCCATTTCTTCAACTGCTCTTACTTTGGCGGTGTAGAATATGCAGCCAACTACCGCTTCGAGACTGGCAACCGGCTCGACACCTACGAGGACAAGGTGAGTACCTCACTAAACAGGATCCTGCGGCACAACGTGGGGAAGGTATCAGAGCAGCAGAGTCTGTCCTGTGATGACGCCGGCTGGGTGCCCATCGAGGAGGTGCTCAAATGTGAGTCCATCTGGAGGCACGAGCATGCACGCTGGCCACACGTATTCCTTGCCCCAAAAGGAAGAGCAAATGATCAGAGTGCATGGAATGTCAAAGAGGCGAACTACCGCATGACATTGCTCTTCAAGATCATGTTCCACTGTGCCCGGTACGGACGTCGTGTGCGTGAACAAGTCTTGGCATTTGGGATCAACAAGGACATTGATCGCCGCAGCCTGACGTGCATTGACAACAATGTCGAAGCGGACACGCACATCCCTGATGAAGGTCTACTGCTCTACCCAGTGGCGGTCCGTGCTCCTACGGGGCACAAAGAAGGATCTTCAAGAGACGACGTTTCATTGCTGTCCTCGTTGCTTTCACATCCAATCGCACCCAACACCATTTTGTCATTACCGGTCTGTTTCCACATCACCAAGAAGACCAACCTCCGAAGCATTTGGAGGCAGGGATTAATTCCAGGAGGTCTTGGAGAAGGTCATCGGATGTTCACGTTCTTCAACCCGTATGTGCCATGGGATCACAGATCATGGACCATCACGAAGAGCGTTGATACGCGCAAGGGGGACTATATTTGCTTGTTCATCCCGACCGAGACCTTGATGGTGGAATATGGCGGTCGACTAACTGACTCGGGACAGATCGTTTCACCAAGGATCATCCCGTTCTCGGCAATCAAAGGAGGATGGATTCAGGACCCCAAGGACCAATACAACAAGACATGGCTCCGGTTGTTCGTCCCGTCGGGCGACGACCAGGTAGTCCGGTCTGGAACTATCAAATCAAGAACGGTAGCCACCAAGGAGTCCATCCTGAGGGTTGCAAGTCAATGCATCGACGCCGAAGACCAACCGTATGACGAAACCGCCATGGATGCCATGAACATCGTCAACCAGTTCAAGAACAACCTCATCGAGCCTGGCGGACAAGAGCAATACCTGGCCCGCATCAAGCTGATTGACTACATAGTCGAACGCAAAAGGGTGCAAACGTCAGGTTGCCGTCATTGTCCTCACTGTCTCAACGAGACGCCGACAAAGCTAGCAGTGTGTCTAGTCTGCTGGACGGAACTTGAAAGTTGTGGAATCCGTCCATATCGGCTACAAGCTCCTGAAGACGATGAAGATGAGGCCACGAAGAAAGAGCTCGATGAAGAAGTTCGTCGACAAGAAGAATCGTTGTTCAAGGATACGGTCAATCAAGCACAAGAAAACGTATCTGAATCCAACGACTATGGCTTCAATCCTGACGAGGTCGACTACAATGAAGGCGATGATGAGGAAATGGATCAGGAGGAGGAAGCTCAACAGGAAGACGACGAAATCGTTGAAGAAGACGACGATGGAATGGACGTCGAACCTGAAGATGAACCTTCTTCCAAACTTCCAGCATGGACTAAGAATCTTGAGAGCGGCAGCAAGGGTATGCCAGAAGACGGACTTATCAACAATGATGTCTCCGAGGCCGCGGCTCACTTGTATGACAATGCTGTCATGTCAAAGGTCATCACAATGTTCAGGCTCTACTATAAACAGAGAGTCACTCTGACCCCAGAGGAGTACTATGAGATGATGACGGAAACCAAGCGAGTCCGGCTGGACCTGGACGACTTCTGCCCCTACACAGGCGAAGACCAGGATGGCAACCTCAAGCGACCGACAGAGATGGAGTTGGACGAACTCTTTCAGGAGAAAGGGAAAAGGAACTCATGGTCAGAGGGAGAGAAGATGTACTCAGGACGACCAAGAAATATGATGATGCCTGTCATCAAGACTTTGGAGATCTATGAAAAGATGATGGAATTTCTGGTACGCGCCGGGTACACTCCCGAGTCATTAGGTTTCCTCATGCCAATGAACCGAATGCAGGCTGATGCCCAAGGGAAGCAGGAGATGCGAGTGACCATCAGCAACTTCCTTCGACGACTGCTGAAAGGGACCTTTCCAGAACACGAATCATACACCTTCTTTCGCTCCGGGAGCCACGGCTTCCCCAACTGCATCGAACTCCCAGCTTTCTCGGTATATCTGAGTCTGAGGGAGAAGGAACAGAGAGTGGAATTACTCTTTGCCGCCCAACAATGTGGCATTCCTTTACCTCAAAACTTTGTCAGCAAGATGGCTTATGCTATTCAACTGGCTGAGGCCGAGGCGCAGAGGGGAAAGACCGAGATGAAAATGAAGATGGCTCCAACCCTTGGCGACGAAGTGGTAAGTGAAGTATTCAAAGCAGTCGGACATACTGCCGCTTCCAAGTTTGCCACCGCAGACGCGAAAGCCAAATCATCAGCACAACCTTCACAGAAACCTGAAGGCACTGGTTCAGCATCATCCTCATCGGCCAGCGCACCAAAGGCTAAGGCTATGCCGAGATCCCATGAACCATCAAAGGCACCGCCTGCGAAGCCCTCATCGCCGAAAGCTGCTCCGAAACGTGCGGCAGGATGGGAGAAATCTCCAACAACACCTCAATGGAAGAAAGTCCGCCGTGAGCAGTGAACCCATTACCTCTGTCCGTCAAAATGATCACTGGACTATAAGATGTGTATCGTCTTTGTGAACAGATGATCAGGAAAAGACCAACTGAGTGGACTCTGAGCGAGGCATTAGACTAATTCGCTTAGGTCCGAGATTTTTGATATTCCCAATCTGCACGAAATTCTGCACTGTGCACGTGAATTCGTTAGTTAGCATTGTAAATCTTTGGTAGCGAAGCGATCCATTTCTCCCGTCGGGTGAGTGGCACGACTAGCCAACGTAGAAAAGTAGATGTTAGCTAGCAATAATTCGCGCTGTACAGCTTGATGAAGCGCCAATGCATCGACAGCCATAGAGTAGGCGAACCCGGAACCATTATTCCCGTCGGGTATGTGGGGAAGGGGGAGCCGAATGGCACGTTTTATGTACATAGGCGTAATTCAAGTAGCAGAACCATCTTAATTCAAAGTTCCCTCTCTCGTGTCCGTGGTCTGAAGGTACCACGGGCATGGGGGGTGTTAAAGGGAACGAGATGACACAACATGTACAGCATGCACTGTTAAAACAACATGCTGTGACCGCCAAACATTGGCTCAAGCGTATGGAGAAAAGGGATGCGTCGCGTGACTCCGCATGGCATTCATTGGCTACCAGTAACAAGGGTACTACCAGACTGAGATAACATCCAGGACAAGGATTCATTTGTTCACATAAAATGTGTATGTATATATATATACTGTATATATAATGTGTATATATATATACATGTTTTGAAATATATATACATGTTTTGAAATATAGTACAATCCTATTCCCCGCATTCCCCTTAAAGATCTACTAAGAAAACCCAATCAGGGAAGCCACAACGAATAGATCCAGTGAAATTCCTCCACTGATGTTTCAGCCGTTTCTGGCTGCCATGGCCGAGAGGGAGATGCAGTAGATCTGCAAGCACGGGAGTATTCAGTTCCAAACTTCAATCATATTTATCAGACCAATCTGTTACAAGTGGACATCTTCCGAAATTCCAAAGATATGAGATCCAACCTTTACAAACTCTGGTATGACTTGACTTTTTCCAAAGTTTACAACTTGATGTGTTTATCCCCTTCTGGGAGTCCAGTTTCGCCATGGCGTTCAGCTGCCATCATTGGTTCCGAAAACAAGGGCGGTCTCCACTGCCGTCACTGCCGTCTGGCAGCCTATTGGAGCCAGAAGCGGTTCCGGTCCTTCCAACGACAGAGTGGAACGCTCTCAGTGAACCGGGCGTTGTTTGGTGCCCAAATATCGATGGATTCTTTGTTTATTGTAATATTTACTTAGTAATACTTACTATGTAATACTTATAGTAGATGTTGACATATATTGACTTAGTAATACTTATAGAATCTTATATATAGATCTTGTAGATGAGTAGATGTTCAACATCTCATCTTCGGAGGTTGGAGTGCGAATATTTCATTCTGTGGTTTTGCCGCTGATCTTCGGTGTGGCCACGGCATTATTGAGGTGGCGCAAATGGCATTGTCTTTTGGTATAGGAGCATTAGGCTGCGAGCAGAGCAACCCAGGACTGCAAAGTCTGTTTTCATAAGCGCTTCTTGATGTTTTCAGTAGATGCCAATGGTCGCCAGCCGGGCTGCAACCTTGATCCCCAGATTCCCAGATCTAAGTGAACTGAGCCGGGGGTAGCCAGTCTCAGGTGATGATTTGCGGCAGATGATCTTAAGCTTCTTGTTAGGCGACTTGCAACTTGGCAGCATCAAAACATATTAACACCCAAATGATTTGATGGGGAACTAACCACTGTCAAAAGCTATGGAGATTAAATCAAGAGACATACGAAACATAGACATAGATAAACAATGATAAACATAGGGGGTACAACTCAAAGCAACTGGCAAAGATATGGGGAATCAGTTTGGCTTTAACATTGGGCATAGCCCCAAAACCATCCAACATGGTGGATTGAGAAGAGCAAAGCTTCATGGAAAAACCTGCTCTGCTCTTTGTTTCCGGGAACGTAATTCGTAGAGTAAGGTTGGAGTGATCCAACATGGCACCGATCGGGGATTCAACCAACATTTCACGGACATTTCATTTCAAGTGAAATTAAACCCACAGTGGTAGGTTAAACCTCTATTTGTGATGCTTAAGCCTCTATTTGTGATGCTTAATCCACAATTTTTGATAGTAACATTTCAATATTTGATGATAACACATCAATCTTTGATAGTAACACCTCAATTTCTGGCAATTTTTTCCATCAAAATTTCCTCCAGAATTTATATCTTTTGATCTTTGCTGTGAAAAACGGGTAAGGAAGATGTGTGGCACCTTGATGGCCATGAACCACCAGAGTTGCCTCGCCGTGAAATCGCCCAACGCTTGGAGGGACAGCGTGATCACCGTTCCGCGGGAAGTCACCAGGATCAAAGGCGGCCACGCATGGAGTAGGGTTACATGCATTGTGGGATAGTATGTATAAAATTGTATAAATATATATATATGTTTAAAATAATGTAATGTAATATGATATTATATAATATTATATATATACACAGTGTATATTAGATATATATATATATACATAGTAAGCTGCAAGGTGGTATCACAAGGATCGCCTTGTTGCAGCTGAAACCCGTTGGGAGGTCTACTGGAGATGGCCCGCAATTGGAAATTCGCTAGCAAAGCGATCTTGCCGCTCGGATCAGCACGGATTTTGATGATTTTCTTGCGACGTGCGATATGGAGTCGGAATTCATTTTTTTTGAAGCTTCCAATGAGTTGAATCAGTTGTGTGATTTTTTGGTAGGATATATACCCCAAAACACACGAATTGGGCAGTATATACCATGAAACTCAGTGATAAGGGCACGGCAGAGGTTCCGACGGTTTTTCCACGCGTTGTGATCCGTTCCGAGGCCGGCGTTCCCACAGAGGAAAGTGTTGGAAGAGCATCTTCGACTGCAATGTCCTGCACTGACTGTCTCTGTCAAAGGAGAAGGAGCTGTTGAGTTTGGGCTGGGAGGTAATCGAAGCTTCAGGTGTCACTTCTTTGTCTTGTGTCTTGAAAAATAAGTTTCTGTGGCTTCTTGTTGAAACTAGACAGCCACCTTTTTGTTGGCTCACCGTGTCCCCTTTGTGCATATTTCACGGAAAAGAACAAGCGTACAGCCTTTGCGGCAAGTGTTCAGAAAGACACTGGAATCTAATCTATGCTTAAAGACTCTGCACAGAAGGGGAAGCTTCCAACTATCAAGATTGAGCCGGCCTGTCAAAACTGAAGACCCAGGGGACCACGGATTTTGGCCCGTATTTTCACTCATAAACAATTTTTAACCAAAATGAACACTTATTAGCCATCATTAACCACTACTAACCATCATTAATCAGAATCATTGTTGACCACTATCAAACCATACCGTTTTGGGCTTCCCAATTTTGCATTTGACCAGGACCCGTGATGTTCTTCGTCATGAGTTGTCGACTTCGCTTGGGTACCCTGATGCCTTTGCATCTGGTTTACGGTTCAGATCTAACTTTTCTTTACATCCCAGAAACATGGGAAGAATGTCTTTTATCCATACACTACCCCACTTCATGGGTCACTGATAGCCCAACTTTTGTTCATAAGTCTCCCTATGTTTTTGTCGTTTTTTTTTCTACATTCCCAGTAAAATATCCCCAATTTATGTTCCGTGTCCTTGGCTATATCACTGACATCCCCCCAAAGCATCCTTATACACGACCATTCACTGGCCAGTTGTTTTGAGTTATTTGACTTCCCGCAGTTATTAACCCTTAATATGCGTCAAAAATGGCCTACCAACAATCCCAGTTCGGTGACCCCCCTGAGGATCATCCCACTTAAGTGGCGCATATAACCCACTTCTATGAGGGTTTCCATGAATGGGAGGTACCCCAACATGGATGGTTTATAAGGGTAAATCCTATTAAAATGGACGATTTAGGGGTACCCCCATTCTAGGAAACCTCCACACAGGGATTTTTTAAAAAATAGGGGTTACTCAGCAGTTACTAAGTGGGATGATCCAAGCATCTATAGGCATTTCTTCGAACCCAGATATCGCTACATGTGTCGCCACCTATCCGTGGGCGGCGTCTTTGGCTTCTTGAACGAGGGTCGTGGTGTGCACTGCGGCGTCAGCGGGGTGCTATGTGAGGTGATGGCAGCTCAGCGAAATTCATGGGAAATGAGAGGAATCCATGGGAGATATTGGGAACATTGAGAAAAGTCACGGTTTTTGGAGGTTTCAATGAGATTTTCTTATTTGAGGAGAATTTCAGAATATTTCAGACCAGAATTCAGCAGATCTAGTTTGAGAACTGGGGAATCCATGTCCTTTAGCCTGGCTGTTCGATCCCCTGTTTATTTTGATGATTTTACAATACCCATGATTTTCTCGGCTCTTGCCCTGCCGTTTGAGAACCAGAGGGTATGGGTTCTTGACGATCGATCATCCCATTTGGTACTGTAACTGATCATTAACCACGCTGATGACATCTTATTGCAACCAAGTTTCTTCTTAATGGTATATACTGTATAATTAATTATAAAAGGGCTACGCCCTCTGCCGCTGACCCCTGGAGGGTCAGGTCTGCGTGAAACTTAGTGCACCAACGGACGCTGGTGCAGGTGTGCAATCCATTTTCGTCGCTTGCCTTTCTGTGCTTCCACCATGGCAACAAACCATTTAAAATGTATCTAACCGAAAGAAGTTTAGAAGTGAAACTTCCGACAAGAGGGCCATATCGAAAAGCAGAGGTGGGAAGAGTCAGAGAAGAGCAGAGAAGAAGCAAGAAGATCAGAGAAGAGAAAGAGTCAGAAGAAAGAAGATGCAGGTGCGCGAAAGGGTAGAAAAGTCGCGAATCACTGTGTGTTTCCAATGATTTGTGAGTCAGGAGGGTCGAAAAGTAGGCTCGCTAAAGCAGCAGGTGCGGAGCCATCTGGCCAGATGAGAGATGAAAAATTGCACGGCTTGTGGCGCGAAGCACATTTCAAAGTTAAAATGTAGAAAACACCTCCGCTCCGGAGCACTTTCAGACGTTGAGATGTCGAAAAAGTGCACGCCGTTGTGGCGCGAAGCACATTTCTAAGTCAAAACGCAAAAAGCGCACCAGGGTCGGAACACTTTTGGAAGTTGTGCTCTCGAAAAAGTGAACGTTGTTGTGGCGCAAGAAACTAGGTCCAAATTGGAGCTTTCAAGCCCCCAAGACGTTGCCTTCGCCACACCGAAGCACCATGCTACTGTAGGACGGACCTATGCCAGCAACCTCGCAAGCCACCAAAAGGCTGGCTTCGCCGCTTGCTTTTCCATGTCTTGCTAGCTCTTGCCACTTCCCTCTTGCTTTTTCACTTTTCTGTGCTTTCTAATTATCTTCTTGGTCTATCTCTTGGCCCCTCTTATCTGACGCGCTCCCCCTGCTGTCGGCAGGGGTCGGCGGATATCTTGCGAATGCTGTGACATGTTGGACCAGTCAGTGCATGTTGCAAACTTGGACTCCGCTGATTGTTTTGTAGTATAAGGCCCGCAATATGTTCTTAGAATGGTGTCCTGAAGCCTTTTCACAAGCTCGTGGCTGCACATGGAACAAAGTTGAAAGTTAGATCTCCAAATTCCCGCTCTCAAGCCTCCGGAAGCTGTAAGAAACTAGCTCCGAATGCAGCAGCCGGGCCTCCAAAACCGTGGCCAAGCCAAACGCCATGAGAGTGAAGGGGAGAGTGAAGGCGGAGGGGGTCTTTGGGCCCGCGGCTGCCTGTGCCTAAATGTAGCAGACACCATAACACCATAATGGTGAAAGCTTGTGCCCTGGTGCTGCTGGTAATTAAAACCGTGGGTTCTCCAGTCCCAAACACCATGAGAGTGAAGGCCGGACGGAGTCTTTGGGCCTGCGGCTGCCTGTGCTGAACGTTGCTTTCTGAACGGATTTGAAACTAGCTTCCAAAACTGTGGGCCTGCCAGTGCCAGACACCGTGATGGTGATGAATGCTTCTTGCCCCTTGCTGGTTGTAATTTCTCCTCTGACGCGCTCCCCCTGCTGCAAGCGGGGTCGGCGATATATAATATATATATATATATATAGCCTCGCTTTAGGGGAGTTGATCAAGGTTATCCAAAACATGAGGTCCGAAATTTCGGGAACCCCAAACTCCCATGGTTACTTTCGGGAACATCATCTTCTGGGGGGGAGGATTCCAGCGCTTTTTGGACCCAGGATTTGAGCATGAATTCCAATGGCACCTACGATGCCCTCATTTTGGCTAAGTCGTCCTTCACCTTGGCCGAGGCGAGATCTGAGTCGGCCCAGGTGACAAAGTTGATGAACATAACTTGGTGAACTGTTGGGTTTATGATGGGATATCTATAATTACTACAATTGATGGGGTTAATCAACTTGTAGCTGAGGCCTCACCTTGTATGCCGCTCCCTCTCAAACCACCCAGAAGTTCTTCCAGCACCCGAAACTCCGTTGAAAAACAAGGTCACGTCATAATTACGGACCCGTTGTCTTTGCGAGTTCTCAACATGGTCCATGCATAAAATCGGCAACCCTTACAGGGTTTCTGTTTTCTCTTTGAAAAACCGTCATCCATTTTCGATGGTATTTGCATGACTTTGAGGCTATGAATTCGCAGTTCTACCCATGTTTAGCATCCATGTGCAACACACGCGTTTGGAAAAAAAAAGGACTTTTGGGTCTCAGCACGTGGAGGCCAAGTCAGCCAGCTTCTTCAACGTGCTTGCGTCACCCCAACCCCCACGAGCAGCGGAACATCATCAGCTTAACATGAACGTTAACATCCCACCCCACCCCAACCCATGCTCAAAACAAGCATATTCCACGGGGCCGTACCTTCGGCGTGAGCAAAAACAAGGCCAAAAACGAAACTTAGTATGACACTCAGTCCAAAAAACAGCTCTCCATTCCTTTTAAATTCCAGGTTTGGATGGAGCCTATGCCCCGTGGTGACCCCTTAGCTGTGGGTTTCATCACCGCCGTCGATGGCGCCGCAACTGCACCAGCATCAGCTGTAGGGCGGCGCAATACCTGGCGTTGCCTGCAGGGCTGGCGCTGGCTGCGGTGCCGGCGCTAAGATGGGTTCCTTGGAGAACAGGGATATCTGTGGTTCAAAAGTAGGAACACCTTCTGAATTCACCGCCTTTTACTTTTTTTTGGCATCAGTTTGCTTATTATTTGGAGAGGTATACAGTACCTAACTTTCCGGCAGAGTTGGGTATGGGATATATTCTATAGGGACTAGTATCCAAAGATATCCATTGGGATGAATTAGCCATAGGGATTTGTCCCAAAATCAGATTATGGGACAGGATTCTTCATTATGTGAGTCGCTTATCAAACATATATCATCATATATCAATGTGCCAACTATCAATTGGTGTTTTGCCTCATGATGTTTGTATGAACTTCACCAATCAGATAGGTTAGCTTGTGGATCTAGGTACATCATATAGTGGAATTGGATGCAATTGGTTTCTGCGTAGTGAAACTCCAGAACTCGTGGGTTTGCTGCACTGATTTTGTAGACCTTGTTCGAGTCGTTCCGCGACGAGGGTCAAACAGTTGCGCCATGTTGGAGCTCATGTTGCGGACACGTAGGGTTGAAACGGTGACTTTGGACGATGTTGTGCCGAGATGAAAAATGTGAAACTTACATCAACTTACCACAGTGGGGAACCTTTTTTTTTGCGGAGGGTCGATCCTGAAAATGCAACCCCCCAGCTGGTTCACTCGATGCCATCGGCCGCTAAACTATCACGTCCGCACCTTCGGCGCGGGCAGATTTTTCACAGTATTCTTGGATTCGCTGTTACGAGATTTCAGCTGGCTTTGGTCAAGAAAGAACCAATCTATCCAAACTAGCAGCCGGCCTGTTGAGGGACAGTAAAACATTATTAATTAATTCATAGCTAAGGTGAAAACTAGGAAGTTCCAGATTCCAGGCCATTTCATAAGAGAGTTGGCACTTTTTGATATCATGAAGCTATCCAATCTGGGCAAACATGCGCATATGGGATGATGAACCCCAATCAACTGGCTAATATGGGTGGCTGTCTGAAAATAGGGTGCCTTCAAATTTGCTGGTTGATGATGATGATGATGATGATGATGGTTTACCCTTGAACAGTGTTCAAGGGTAAATCATCATCATACTTGAACACGTCATGAATCTACAATGAAAATATGGGTAGGCATTTTCAGTAAAATGGATAGGTCCCTGCAGATCTCAGGTGAACACGCATGAGAGGCCGTTCAAGGGGGTTTCTGCATCCTGTACATAGAACGGGTATGTCACAAACTCGGGATTAATCGTTCACAGCACAAATCTGATGGCAATTGTCTAAAGATCATAAAGTTTGGGTTCCCCAATTTTGTGAAATACCCAAGTCTTGCGCTTGAATTCACACATCAAGGGCTGCTTGTGCAAGCTTCGCTGATCAGTTTGAGATATTTGTCAGCCAATACCGTGGCACACGCCACCATTTTGAACACCAAACGCAGAGACTGTTTAAGGTCCAATCAGACCCAATCAGATTGTAAACTGAGACTTCGCTGATGGCAAGTTTAGAGTGTTCAAATATGTTCAAATGATCAGAGCGGAGGAAAATTGTATATACTAAAACCGCAGCTTGAAGTGCACTGGATAAATCTGGATAACAGTTTCTACTGCTTTGGTGTTCCACCCAGCATGTTTTTATTAGCAGCCAGTAGCTAGTTCCTTTGATGTCAACGCCACCAGCGCGTTCAGTGGCAGTTTAGAAGCAACGCCGTAAGTAGGGAATGCCTGTCAAAAACTCGGCGTTGCGCAGAGGGATTCGAGAGGGTGTTGATTGTAAAGTCTGCATATCTGATTATCCCAGACAATCGATCCAAACATGAACTACTGATAATTTCCATATAATTTCCATCTAATCATATGATTATACTATTAGTACACAATGCAATATCAGCAGGTTTCTGTGGAATCAGCACTTGCTCACCATTCTGCAGCACACCTGGGGATCTTCCCGAAGCTGGGCGACCCCTTAGCGGATGCTTAAGATAAGGCTTTGTTAGTTTATAAACCCTGAACAAAAACACTCCTGAAATTTCCTGAATAACCCCCCCAATAAATCTTAATAACCCCTTGATTGTTGGTTTATAAATGTTTACAAACCTTTATTCCCAGCTTCCAGTTGAGCACCAGGCCGCAAGCCGCTTGCAGTCGATGGTACGAGCCGTGGATGCTAAGAAGCAGCTGCTTGGACCACCGATCACGGTGCACTGATGGGTCGTTGAATTGTTACTGTTAAGAACCCTTGCAAGGTGATGATTTTATGATGGGGCCCTCTAAATCTGATTATGTGATGAGCCCCCCTTAGATCCCTAGATTTAGCGGTGATTTTTCTGTGGATTTATTGGTGTTTTACTGGGATTTAGATGGCTAAGTAGGCGAACATAATTCAAATAAGGGTTTATGGATGTTTATTGTAGATATAGCCTGGATGTTAGTGGGGTTATTGAACACCCCCATTCTATGGTCCCAAGTATTCATGCACCTTCCCTATTGAACCATGGCTTCAACGGGGCGTTTAATATTGTGGGAAGTAATTCCCAGTGACTACCCATTTATAAGGTATAGCAAACCCCCAAATAGATGCCGAAGAGTTTGAAACCTGGAGGTGATCGGCAAGACATCATCTACGACTGGAAACACTTGCCAACATCTATAACTGCGGACACTTATAGCATCAACAACTGGTCTTCATCCACCAGTGGCAAAATGGTGACCATCAATAGTGGGATCTAAGCATATCTAAACAATGTGATGTTAACCAACAAAACGATGAGTCATGGAAATGGTCATGCCTTCAAAACTGCTTAATGGTTTCAATTTCTTCGATTGTTCAATCTTAAAATGGGATAATAATCGCGACCTGAGAGTTTCAGGGGGTTGAAGCCACCAACTTCCCATCAAAATTGGACTACTTTGTGAGTCTCATGGTGCCACCCTTTGTAGCCGTGGCCAGTCAACTCAACCAACAAAGCTAACATCATTGGAGGGTTCCTAAAATGGGGGACCCCAAAATCATCCAAGTTATTCGTTATGATATGTTATGATCAATGGGAAAAAACAATCATTTGGGGCACCAATAGTTTAGGAACCCTCCATCTGGAATTTCATAGTTTGATGTCTACTTATCATGTTTACGAGTTTGATCATCGGATGTCGGAGTAGCAACGCATTGGATTTCCAATCGAGCTGCCGGGTATCAGCAAGAAGAATGGGATTGCGCCAACCAAGCGGAGATATCTACAAAAAGGGCTGTGGACTCAAATAATGTAGGAAACCCACTAATAAATCTACCATTGGGGGATGGGTTATGTTATCCATTTATGGTGATGACTTGGGGATGTGAAATTGAGATTACCACAGCCATGTCAATGATGCAATGATAAGATTATGACCAAAAACAGTCATGACATGTCACTGCCAATCGAGCTTTCAGGTTTTACTTCGATCAGGTTCCAAATGCTTTCAGCTGAAATATGGGATGATGCCATTTTCTGAGGTTCCATGTGACAATTTTGGGCGATCTTCTTGCGGAAATGCCAAGGGTCCAACTTTTCAACCTGCCAAAATGCGCTATGCTTCGCTATGCTTGGCTGAGGCTCAGACAAGGAACACTAATGCGAAGTGCTGCTGCACAATGGGTCTGGCACACAGCCGGAGGTATAGGGTTTGATCGATCATCCACAAAAGGACGTTCCGGCCCTCAAAGCGCCCTTAGAAAACGGGACAAATACCATGAATAGATACCATCAAATAGCATCCAGTGAGGGTCCAAAGTTTATCTTCTGCGGCTTTAGAAATTTTGAGAGGCAAATTGAATCAACTTGATGAAACGTATGTAATATACATAGACATACATACATACATAAATACATACATAAATACATACATAAATACATACATATTTGGAGTAAATTAAGTTGGCAAAAATAGGTTATACCCCAAAATCCTATGGCCTACAACCTCATTTTCCCATTGAAATTGCAAGTTTGGAGGATAACCCATATCCAATATCATGTTAAATCTGTCTTGTCGCCAGTCGAATTCCACTGTTCGGCGTTCATCTCACCATCCATTGAAGTTTACCATATCTCGTCCAAACTTATTGTTGATTTAAATCCAACTACTGAATATACATATTGCTGTTGGTTATAATATCCCCAAATTGTCCTTGTTTTCGCTGGTTAAACTCCTATTTTCTTGATTATATGCCCAAATTGTAACCATAAGTGTCTCATTGCAAGTTTAACCCACTTAGAAATATAGCCAACAATCGCAGTGTTGCTCCAATCCATTATAGACATATTATAGCCACAAGGGTGGACAATTGGTAATTTTCTTAGCAATTTTCTTCCCTTTGTACGTGGAGAAACCCTCAATGAGGGGTACATTGGCATTGCAAGGATTTCTCCCAATTTTTGAGTGTTACAAAACTCCCAATTTTTGAGTGTTAAATCCCAGTAGTGTTAACGTCTAGTTTTTTCAAGTTAACTCCTATTTTTTCATTCGACTCCCAGCTTTTCCAGTGGTAAGTCTGGTGAACTTCCCCAATTTTACCCTCTGGTAAACTAACATAGCTATTGAAAATGGCCCATAGAAATAGTTGATTTACCTATTAAAGTGGTGATTGTCCATACCTATGTTGAACTACCAGAGGGTTCTCCATGTTGGTTGCTTAAATCCCCATTCAATTCCCATTTTTCTTGGTTGAATCACCATTTTCCTGTGGTTTTCGTATGGTTTTCCCACAAGATCACCATGTCCAGCCTCAATTTAGATACCGCCGCAGATCCAAACCGCCTGGCGCCGGCACCGCGCCGTCCGTCGCTGCAGCGAGCTGCGACAGAAGCAGCGGCAGCTGGCGGCGGGGCTGCGGATCCAGTCGCATTGGAGAGGACACGTGTCGCGGAAGAGTCGGGGAGCACAGGAGTCCCAGGAGTCCCAGGGGGGGATGGATTTCACCAATATTTTAGCCTAAGCACGTCCAAAAGAATTGTGGCAAGGTCCATTTAAAGGGTCGAATGAGGTCCAAAAGAAGTATAGCCCATATTTATAGGGTTATCAATGGTTATAAGGTTTTGACCAGTATGCGGATATTCCGGATAACCAACTATTTATAGAGTTTTAACTGTTTCAGCTAACAGATGATGGTTGGTTGATGGTTTTTATGCTCACTTAATGGAATTTACTGGGATTCCACAGGGATCTCTATATACTGTCTTATTTGTTCAAAACCTCTCTTGTCTTAATTGTTCAAAGCCTCTGTCGGTTGATAATGATATCGAGATAATGGGGATTTAAAAGAACATGTCAATTTCACCCATCATCAATATGGGCATATGCTGATAGATGATGGTTGGTTGATGATTAAATTGATTAAATGGGATCCTAGTATCCAATATTATCAAATATAAAATGGTTATCATATGAAGTTAATGGTGGTTATCACAATCCATGAACTGCCAGTAAGGGACGAAGTCGCGGGTCTTGAACGCTCAGATGGATGATGGATGATGGAAAAAAACGACTCTTGAAATGGGGAGCTTAGGCCAGAAATGTGGCTTGTATAGCAAGATATTGCAAGTTATGGCACAAGAGAAGTACTGAAGTACTGCATATTGGACCCAGAAGCTCATGACAACCTGAGATTTGGCATAGCCGCGCATAGCCCCGCCAGCTCCAGCCAGTATCCCGTTTCATCTACTGCGTTTATCATTCTTTTCCACATTTAAATAGAGTTTTTTTAAGGTAGGTCCAAAGCACAAAGTTTTTGCATTGTAGCTATCCCTTTGTGCTTCGGGCAGACATTTGGTGTGCTTGCACTGGCTCAGTGTCAGTAGTTTTTCTTTTTTGGCATGTGGGCCTTGCCTTCTCCTCGCATTGCCTGTGGCAGTGTTCGGGGTGTGCAGGACGTCGCTTGCTTGTGTACATCCAGATCACATCAGAGTTCAGCATTTTGAACCATTTTGAGGTATCCATAGGTATCCACAGTTCAGACCTGTTGTACTCCTAGTTGGACCTTATTTTTAGACACGCTCAAAAGTATATTGGTGTCTATTGGTATCATTGATAATTTTACTTCGTTTCCAGACTGAAAGACACACCCCAAATCATATAGGTTTCATATTGTTACCATATCCCATCAAATATTCCCACTATGGTCGGTAAAATCCTATTCGTGGATATATATATATAGTGTTTCCTCTAATAGAGATAGTTGGTTTATATCCCTTTTCTTGATGATTAAATGACCCAAATTGCAATTTTCCCCTACTATGGTTGGTTGTAGCTGGCGCCGTGGTGCGCGGCCTGTGTGTGAAAGCTTTTTTTTTGGTCTTTTTTTGTCCTTGTTGGGGTGGGGTGGGGTGGGGTGGGGGAATAACGTTCATGTACGCTTGCTGAGCGACGTCATGCTACGTTGAGGTAGCGTTCTTGCACGCTTGCACATCTACGCTGTGTTACGTTGTTGTAGCGTTCTTTAGCGTTCTTGCACGCTTGCATATCTACGCTGTGCTACGTTGATATAACGTTCTTGCTAGACATGTATGTTAATGTAGACTACCCGGTTACGATGGGACCATTATCTTTATCTTGAACATCCTCATATGTATAACTTCGTTTATCTAGAATTCCCTTGCAGACGATGACGATGATGATGATGATGATGATATGATAAGATAAGATAAGATAAGATAATGCTGATCATGCCTGCGGCCCACAGGCCGCTGGCCACGGCGTGACCTGGTTGTAATCCACGTGTGTTGGTTACAGAGGCCATTGTTTTATATTTTGTGTGTGTGTGGTTTCACATGTTTTTTGTGTCTGCAACATATTTTTGATATTGTTGTTTGGTGAATCTTTCATGTTTGTTGGTTGAACATAGTTGCTTACATATGGAAATGGCTCAAACGATGTCAAGGCCGCAAGGCCAAGGGGACCGCAGACTCTGTTCATTGTTAGTATCCGATCCATCAACTTTAAGGGATAACTTTAGAGAAACACCCATATTTTCTTAGATTACCCTTGGTAAACTAACATAACTATTAGGAAAATCACAATTTTTGATGGGTAAATCAACTATAAATGGCAATGTGCTATGTCAAATTACCAGAGGGTATTTCGTTTTTGTATAGTCCATTCTATTCCCATGATATTCCCATGATGGTGGGTTTTTCTAGCATTTTCTAGCTCTATTTTTCCACTATATCCCCACTATACAAGGCCCTCCGGCTCCCTAGGCACTACTCCCATCTTGCGACGTAGGCAGGTGGCGGCTTCCCGCCAGGGTCCCAGAAGCGATTTGAACATTTTGAACGATCTGAGATGTTGTCTCAAAATGTTGGGAAAACATGGCAACATGTGGAAAAAAACACCAAGATAGTCAAGATATGTCAAGATCCTTTGAAAAATCATTGAGCATTCCTTGGCTTGGAAAATAATTGGAAGATCATACCCCAACATCTCAGAATCATTGCATTCTTGTTGGGGTATGTAATTCTCGGCATTTTGAGAAAACCAGCTGTGTTTTACGCAGAAAGGCTACAGCTGCGCGTATATGGGTTCCGTGACGGCGCCCGAAGTTTTGATCAGTTGAAGATTCGTCAATTTCTGTCATATAGTTGGTGATACATCCTATGAAATGAGATTACCCAATGGCCCTTTGATTGGTGGCAATTGACCCGTATATTTTTTGATAGAGTACTCATGAACTAGTTCCATTAATGGTTGCACTACTTTCTTTGTGGGTGACTTATCATGACTGTTGGTGAAAGATGCCATAAAATTTGGGAAAACCGTAATTTTTCCATCTCCAAAATGGTGTACTGGTCCCAACTCAAATCATCAATCCCTGAGGTTTGCAAGGTATGCTGCGCATGGCACGGGCGCGGGAAGAGGTGCTGAGGCGCGATTCGATAAATTGTGCAATCAACTGAAAGAAAAGGATATGAGCCATTGTCAAAAGATGCATTAGATACATTTGTGGTCATGAATATGGGGATATCATGTGAATATCATGTGAATATTCTAGATTTAAGCATGAAACATGGGGATGTAAGGTGTGGCCCAGTAGATGGCTAAGTTGGTCTTTAACCCCCATCAAAAATATAGTTCGATATATGTATCCTAAACCCAATCGTTGTTAAACTTATGTTCACCAACTATTAGACTCTGGTAGACTAACTGACTAACTATACCAAAACCCAGGATGTTTATTTCATAGCTAAATCAAGGAGTTCCTGTACTGAGGGGCAACGATGTTGCGGGGAGCCTACGGGTATGGCACCTGCTTTTCTAAGTTAGTTTCACATCCGTTTTCACAAACCATACCTGTGGCACGCAATAGCTAAATCATCGAAATCAATGGTTTTTACTGATCAGACTGAGACCGTGAGGGAAATTGAAACTCTGGGTCTCTATCGTTTTAATTCTGTGTTTTATTCAGCTTCATATCCGCTTCATTGAAAACTCATGATATCAATGATATCTACTTCCTGTGTGATTCAGCTTGTCTTGGCATGTCTTGGCCACATTGAACTCATCAATACCAATCGACAACCACCAGTTTTGGTTTGGGTTTCAAAGCCATGTGTTGTCGAAATATTTTCCAGGAAGAGACCGCTCCAGATAGGTACGCTAAGGTGTTGTATGTATGGCGGATATATGCCATGTGTAAGTCGAAGGCCCCGTAAGACGTCACCGGTTGTAACTGGGTATAGCTGGTTCTAGTACGTTATAGCTACATATCACGTTATATCAGTTAAGCCAAGTTGTATCACTTAAACTGGTTTATAGTTATGTACAGTAGTTATATATATATCATATTATATATATCATATTATATATCATATATATCATATTATATCATATATATATATCTATATATGTATATTATATATATATATATCATTTATATATATGTATATCATATATATATATCATATATATATATCATTTAGTTATAGCTATAGTTATAGTTATATATATATAGATATATCATGTTATAAACCCAAGATATCATATTAATAGATCATAGTTATACAACTTATATCCCCATAAACCCAACAGTTCACCCAGTTATATCTGCGTGCCTCGGTACAAGGCTTCGAGAGGAGCGGCAGCTCACGGAGTTCGTGGCCATCACCAAGATCCAAAGCCTCATGCGCCATGGTGTTTGATCAAGAATGGGCTTGATGAAGCCATGAAAACATGAGGAAAACATGGTGAGTTTGAGTGATTTCAGTCTATTTCAACTGACTTTAGTTGATTTGTTGGTTGATCTTGAGTAGTTTAGACTCATAGAACCCCCACAGATCTGATATCTTTCTTGATTCTTGAGCCAGAAGTATGAGGGGTTTGAGCCAGACGTATGAGGAACTTCAATCCAGAAATATGAGGATGTTCACCAGATAGGTATGGCGATATCAAAATGAGGATGAAAAGGTATCGTCTTTTTGAGCAAAAAAACGTGTATTGATTAATTACTCTCCGACTTGAGGGACTGACAATGAGAAGAACTCTGGGTACTGGCCGAAACTATGGAGGAAAGCATCTCTTGAATGATTAGATGACTACTAATGAGGATAAGACTGGCACACGCAACAACTTTGCATCAACAGTTTGATCCCCAGTTTCAACGGCAGTTTCTTGGATGGTACAAAAGAGCCTCCAGATATATTGGTTTGGTTTGCCCATCTGCACATAGATATGTACCATAAATCCAACAGTTAAGCTGGTGGTTCAAGTTGTAATCAACTTTCATATCTATCGTGCTGAACCGCCTATTTTGATGGGTATAATCATCATTTCTGTTGGATGCCAGGTGTAGATGGGTGTCATCCACTGGTTTCATCGCCATTTTCCCCATTAAACTGGCCATTTTCGGGGTATACTAATACCATAGTATACCTCATGTAAGCCTCGCTGTTAAACAATTATCCATGGTATCCCCAACTATATGGAGGTTTCCTAAAATAGGGCTACCCTCAGATCATCCATTTATAGATGGATTTGCGGTAAAAAAACACCAATTTTTGGATACCAATGTTTTAGGCAACCCCCATGCTCCCCCCTTTTTTGATATCCCACCGGTTGCAGAAATGCCACCATTCTTCCATCGGTAACCACCTTGCAGGCGTAGCTATCAGGCCAGGAAAGAGGTGCCCTGCGCTCCTTTTGGTGGCTGAATCAGAGCCACTTTTGGTATCTGATATGGTGGTATCTTAAAGAATTGGACCCCCAACTCATCCACTTTTGTTTGGGATGTTCCATTATAACCTATGGATTAAATAGGATAGCCCCAATGGAAACCTCCATCTACACGTATCTGGCGTGTCAGGAGTCTGGAGCAACCACGATGGTGCTGAAGTTTTGACCCGATTGATATTAAGAGTTTTGAACAATACGTGGAAAATGAATAAACATGGATGATGTGTATATATATATATATTATGGATTCAGTATGATAATGGGAAGTCAAGGAGCTACGAACTGAGTTTCCCAGTCACATGATAGTTATTGAATCAATTACAAGGTTGGATGACTAGAGAAAACTGATTTGTTGATGCCGTACCGAGAATATTGGATGGACATCGAGATAAATCGATGATGATGATTCTTTTGCCGGCATAAACATGTTTTCTATTCTGATTTGCGCATTCTTTCTAGATGTTGATGGGTACAATGACATGTTTATCTTGAGGTTGCTAAGATCCTTCTGATTCAGGAGTCTTTTTGGAGATTTTCTATTTTTGGCGAAGATTTTTGAAAGAGACCGCACGCAGTGACTGATTGATCGATCACAGTTTGATTGAGAACTTGTTCAAGCGCATTGTGAAGCTGCTTGCTTGTTCCACTTATGGGTTCGTCTGTAAACAGGATCCCCCGTTTTATCTAGTGGTTAATCATCAGATTGCAAGTTATATATCCCAATAATCATATATAATATATATATATAATCAGTAAAGATCCCCATGCTATTCTCATCATTTTCCAACTTTGCGAAGACATTGGATGGATAGTCCCCATTTCAATGGGACGAAACGCCTAAATCTTTCACACGTAGAACACCCGCCGGAGGTGACTCCACAGCTTCAAGAGAGACGACGTCAACACTGGGCATCTGTGAAGGTGGCCCTGTGAGAGAGCCTTTTGGAGGGTTGAAGTATGGCCTATATAAATGGTTGTAGCTCGGTTAATTGTTGGGTTTATTTGTTTTTTTTGTGATTTGATATGATCTAATTGTTTTACTGGAATTTAGATCGCGAAGTTGGGATCTACAGAACTCCAATAACTAGGATTTTAAGGGGTTAGAACATTTTATAACCATAGTATTCATGAGGCTACAAAGCAACTTACTACTGGGGGGAGCCTCACCTTGTACGGCTTCCAGTTGACAGTTGAATGGAGGGGTGGGGGAATCATTTGTTGACATCAAATACTGCGCAAGAATGTATGTGATGAACACATGGAGAGAACTTTTTTCGTTGAAGTCTAGATTCCATCCAATTCCATCCAACAAAAGGATGGTGGGTGAATGTATCCCTTGATTTTTCGACGTAACACTGGCATCCTCTAAATCCCTGAGACAGATCGTTGGAGCTGGTTGTGATTCCCCAAAGGGTTGGGCTTCAAATGGAATCCCATCCCTATATTTTAGGGCTATGCCTATGCATACCAAAAATTCATTAAATCACTATTATTCCAATAAAAAACTTCCACTTAGATCCCACCAAATCCCATTAAATCCTATCAAATCCCATCAAATCATCCAATCCCAGCAAATCTTCAAAGAGAACAATCCCACTAAATCCCATTAAAACACCGTTAAACCCATCACTAAATCCCATTGAAATCCCATGAAATCTCGAAGAGATCCCCCGGAAGGTGCAGAGCTCCTGGCGTCGCCAGATGGCGAAAGCCGAGGCGATGAAACGCCGTGCGTGGCCTGGCAGAAGCGTTCTGAAAAAAGGGGGTCCTGGTGGCTGCGAAAAGATCACATAAATATCATATTATATGATATATATATACATATGATATAGTTCTATGAGTAATTATAGTTATTACATTAGTTATATGGATATAGTGGATATTTCTGAAAGGATATGATGTTCTAAGATAAGATGTACCCTGGAGTAAACATACAAAAAGGTGTGGAAAATCGATGTGGAAACCCTAGAAACATGTTCTGCAAATGGCGGTGATGAAGAAAATATATGGTAGTTTTCTGGATAGTGCTGCCTATATATATATATATACACGTGTAATTCCATACAATGCCATATATATAATATGTGCATGCATAAATTATCCAGATATGTTGAACAACATATATATATATATACACCCATACTTAATACTAGTAGCATATAATAAGGAGTGCTATTTAGTTTTGGATTTTTTTTGCGGCAGGTTTTGGTTTTTGTTTTGGGGTTCCTGGTTCTATGCTTTCCTGTTTCTCTGATTTTCTGCTTCTCTGCTTCTCTGCTTTTCCTGCTTCTCTGCTTTTCTGCTTTTTGCTTTTCCTGCTTCTTTGCTTTTCTGCTTCTCTGTTTTCCCTGCTTCTCTGCTTTTGTACTTCTGTGCCTTTCTACTTCTACTATTCTACTTTTTCTTTTCTTCAGTCATGTGTTTTTGCTGCTGTACTTCCTGCTCCTTTGCTTCTTTGCTTCCTGTCTCTACTGTCTCTGTGTTTTTCATTGTCTTGTGCTTTATTCTGTTCTGTTTGTATCCTAAATGAAACCCTAGAGAGAGAAACTCAAAGAAACCCTAAAGAAATCCTGATAAGAAACCCTACATGAAGCCCTAAATGAACCCTGAAGAAACCATAAATGCACCCTAAAGAAACCATAAATTAATCTCCTAAAGAAACTTTAAATGACACCCTAAATGACACCCTTAATGACATCCCAAAGAAACCCTAAACAACACTCTAAAAAAAACTAAATGAAACCTTAAGTGACGCCTTAGCTGAAACCCTAAATTGACACCCTTAATGAAACCCTAAATGAAACCCTAAATTGAAGCCCTAAATGAAACCCGAAAGAAACCCTAAATTGAAACCCTAAATGAAACCCAAAAGAAACCCTAAACGACACCCTAAATGAAACCCTAAAGGAGCCCTAAAAGAACCCACTTGACGTTTAGAAATCTTGAAAAGAAATCCTGATAAGAAACCCTGGAATGAAACCCTAGCGAAAGCTTAAATGAACTCCTGAATGAAACCTTAAATTGAAACCCTAAATTGAAATCCTAAAGAAACCCTAAATGAAACCCTAAAGAAACCATAAATGAAACGCTAAATGAAACCCTAAAGAAGCCCTAAAGAAACTCTAAATGAAACGCTAAAGACACCTTAAATGAGACCCTAAATGAAACCCAAACTGAAACCCTAAAGAAAACCTAAATGAAACCCTAAATGAAACCGTAAAGAAACCCTAAATGAAACGCCAAATGAAACTTTAAAGAAAGCCTAAATGAAACCCTAAATAAAACCCCAAATGAAGCCCTAAATAAACCCGTAATGAAACCCTAAATGAAACCTTAAATGACACCCTTAATGAAAGGCTAAAGAACCCTCAAGAGACCCACATGAACCTTTGAAGTACCAAAATGCAGCAAATACCATGCAAATGAGAGGTTGAAATGCCAAAATGTGACAAAGACCGTGCAAAATGGAAGGCGAACATGGCCAAATGTAGCAAATACCATGCAAAATGCAAAGTGACCATGCCAAAATGTAGCAAATACCATGCAAAATGACAGGCTCTAGTTCCAAACTGTTGCAAATACAAGGCAAATGGTACCAGGAAGGAAAGGCAACAAAAAAAACCAAAACCTGAGGCAAAAAAAAATACCAAAAACTATTCCACACCCAATGATGCAGTATAATAAATCTATATATATATATATAGTATGTGGATTTGTGTAATGATTTCGTATGGTACAGTATGATATTTGTTGCAGATTTGTTTGACATAATCATCTATGGTGTATATACAATTGTTGACTCACACATGTGTGTTTTATAGCTTCGGGATGGGATGGATTCAGTTGACCTTCAAAGATGGAGATGCCAAGACCATCGCTTGGTGCGCCCTGTGTTGGCGTTGAAAGCACCTGCGAGTTCTTTCCAAGTCGATGGTTCTTGGCTAACATACACTGAGAACTGACTTCAATTTGCAGCACTTCCCAACTCATCTCAGTATTCCCCCATTTGGTTCTTAATGGGACATTCAAACATTCTTTTTTTAAGTGAAAAACATGCAGGTGCAATATATGGACCCCTACATCACATTGCTTCATGTACGTTGCTCCAAATACCACACATTCCCCCAGCCGCTGCGGATCCTCTAAGGCAAGACGTGAATCAGTTGCTGAGCAGTTTGCTGGAGGGACGTCCAGATGAAACCCTAAGGGGTGATGCCTGGCTACAGAAGGCGCGGATGCGAAGGGAGGGAAGTTGGGGGATTTTGGGCAGAACTTGTGGGAAAATAACGATGGTGATTTATTGGGAGATCGATAGAATGGGTTATAAGATGTTATAAGTTATAAGTGTCAAGAATTGGTCCAAAGAGGTCTAAATGTTAAGGTTACATGAAATTACTAGGTTGGATGAGCAATTTCACAGGAAACCAGGCTTTGGGGTTGGAACTGGCAGTAGGGAGATGATAGTAGCAGCTAGGCTGGCACCACTGAAACTTAACCCCTAAATAGCTACATGAGTGCTCAGCCATACTTCGCCCAATGATCATTCGAACTTAGCTATTACCCATTCATGTTTTGCATATATTCCCATCTCTCTAGTATTAAAATGTATTAAACACCCCCACAGATGTGCAAATCCCCTCCTAAACCATTTTCTCTGGGGGATGTTTAATAGGGGGAAGGGATTGATTGAAGGATTTCCTGTCGACAAACATGTCAATCAAGGGCCTATTTTCGGAGCTCGAAACCTTAGTCATGTTGAATCAGTTTGGATCAAACGTTTCGGCTTGGAATCACACCTCAGTTTCGAAAGGTGATGTTGAACATTTTGGAGGAGTTCTATCATGTTCTATCCATTTTTTTCTTGAATACTTTTTGGTGGATGAACTCACATATTTTTCTATTCCAAAATACAACGGCGAATGTTAGGTCCTGGATTAGGTCCTGGATCCCTTGAGGTTTTCTATCCACTGGCTGACTGGGTAGTTCCCAGAAGCTGAAATTGATCTTAAGTTTCCATGTTCAACCATTGACTCTTTCAACCACATGTTCATCTTCACTGACCATGTCGGAAAAAAACAGGTCACTGCGGCGTTTGAGTGGAAAACTCAACGAGATGTGGAATTGGAGGACTGGTGGCGAAATATAGTCGCCCTCCAAACCTCGGGCGTTTGAAAGTTTGAAAGAAATATCATGAAATGTCTATCTCCAATGGCTCCAATTTTGTTCGATTGTTTTTTGTTTATGCTTCTTGAATCCAAGTTATTTGACGAAATTCACACATATGTTTGCCGCCAAATCAAGAGTTATGCCCATAATATTCCCCATGCATTATCTTGAGTTATTTTCTGCCCGATCTCCCATCATTTTCCCCGCCATTTCCACATTTCCGGTGCAGGAGAAGGAGCTGCGTCTTCGTCGGCAGTCGGCCTTCAGTCACTTGCCAAGCGCCAGTTTTGAGGACTGCGAAGAGAAGTAGGGTGAACCCCCAATGATTTAATGGTGTTTCGATGGGATTTATATGGGATTTACTTACATGATCTTACATGTATAATATATAATAATATATAATAATATATATATACATATTATTTATATATATATACATATTATATATATAATTATATATATATAACTAAGTTGGTAAACATAACTCCAATAATTGTCGGATCAGGGAAGTTTAACAGCGAAACATCGGGATTCAACCTGATTCAACCAGCAAAAAAAGGGGATATGGGTTTGTCAGTAAATCTGGTGTACAGTATCCCCTGTTTTGTGGCCATTGAATGGGGATGATGATGATGAGGAGGAGGAGGAGGACGATGAGGAGGACGATGACGAGGACGACGACGACGACGACGACGAAAACTGGTGGTATAGAGCACATGTTCTTGGTGATGTTTTGACATGTTTAGGATGATGATCCCTAGCTGTCATTCTATTTTTTCTATCTTTCTCCTGGAAAATCAGCATCAACATAGACAAGCCTTATATAACCAGTGAATAGTCGGGATATCCATAAGTGACATCCATGGTCATTGGTCAAGACCCAGCCTCAATGGATCAAGATGGATCAAGCCATCGAGTTGGGTCCAATTCTCTCCAGTGTGGCTTGACAGGTGCCCTATGGTCGTTTAGATTCACCATGATTCACCCCACTAGTTCGTTATATCTACATATATCTACCATAAACATTCATATATCTATATACCTTAAACCATGGTTAATTCACAGCCATATCTCAACTGAACGCTATCTGAAGTCCTGGATAAACTGGTGAAGGAGCTCAGCCGCCCCGAAAGCCTCTCAGCTGCTGCATTGCTGGATCGTTCGATGGTCACCCAGCGGCACGTGCATGGGATACGGTATGATTAGTATGACTGGGCTATAGCAACCCCAAGTTAAGTTAAAATTTGATAAAATCCGAGCGAAAGAGTGATAATGTGAACCCTTTCGATCTTGGGGATTGCTATAGATGGAATGATGGAGATTTATAATGATTGTATATAGATGCGGTATTTTGTTTTATGCATTTTTATGGGTTAAACCAACAACAAATTGAAGGTAAACATGGAGTATGACAGGAATAGATTAGGATTCCACATTCTTTCACCAACAAAAATTGCTTTTTTTCAGGGGTCGAGTCATGGGAAGTTGCCCTAAAGACGGCCACTTATAAAAATGGCGACTCCCCAAAGACACCTGGAAATCATAGGGACAACATCATAATAGCCATATAGGGCCTATTTTGTTGGGGACCCCTATATGGCTATTTATGCAGCAATATCGTATAACAGTCATAACGGGTGTTGTGATATACACATGAATAAAAACACAGATGTGAAGTTGGGATAGATGCAACATGATTAAATGAGCTGATAAATCGGCGGTGAGCGGTCTTGTGTGTGTGTATGTATATACTTATATATTAAATATATATATATAGATATATAGATACAAGCAGATATTGCTGTCCAATAAGTTCGAACATACTATAGATGTATACATGAAATCATGAAGAATAATGATATGTTGGGCATCCAACGTATCCAATTCAAAAGCACTATTGCTGGCTTTTTCAACAGATATCTAGGCACAAAACGGTTCAACCCTTTATAGAAAACTATCAAAGGACACTGAACATAAGGGGACGATTGGGATAACACCTCACAAGGACAACAAGTGCACATGGGTGCACTCAAAAGTGCAGATGGCGATTGCTCAGATTTATTTGGGTGTCATGTTTCAATATTCAGCATCATTTTACGAGCCTAGTGGCCTAGTAATTGCGAACTATTGCCAAGTGCAAGTGACTGTTCATCTCTACATGACATTACCATAGATTACTCAAACAGGATGTTCCAGGAAGGATCCATGTTGCATGAATTTCCATACCCTCAGGCATCCTCAAACAGCGATGTTTTTGCCAGCGAACTAAACTTCCAGTAAATAGATGAGTATCCCATCTAAACACCTACATTTATGATCATTTATTGATGTTTTTCCCATTGAAAAACTCTATGTAACATGTATGTTGGGTTTTCCCATGTTTTCCCATATGTTCCTATGATTTCCCCATCTAATTTTCCTTCGCGGCACACGCCCCAGGCCGCGGTGTGCGTTGCAAAGCAACGTGCGCGGCAACGAATGAAGGCCTTGTTGCAGACACAGGCGCATGGAAACAAAGGCCCGGAGCAGCTGGGATCTTAGGGGTCTTAAGGATAGAGATAGCTGAGGGATCTCAGGAATATTTATATAGCGATCTTAGGGATCTTACAGATTTAGGGATCTTTAAACTTGATTTGTCATGTACTTGGGTATAAATATGTACAAATATACACCTGAAGTTGCAGCAAGTGGCATCTTAGGTGGCAAAGGGCTCCGCTAACATGGACTGCTAAGCGCGGGTCTCCACTGGCAGCTCATCAAGCTACATAGGGACACCAAAGGTGCCAGGTGAAATTCATTTGTAAGTCATCAACTCTCCCAAAAAACGTGACATAAGTCTTACATGATGATTGGATCTGTTCATATTGGGATCCCACAATGCGGCTCTCATTCTTGGGAGGACGAGTTTTTCCTATGAAAATTAGCTCCATTTTTATTTGGTATATGATTCAACCCTAGACAGGCGATATGATGCTTGCTCACTTTGCTTCGGCCCCTATTTTTGGTCCAGAAAGCATCGCCACTGACAGGGCTCCAGAGCCTGATCTACGACAACGAGATGTGCCGGTCCTTGGCGGTGGACCATGGAGTGCGGGGTCCCGGAAGCCAAGGATTCGGAGGCAGCAGTTTGTTAGTTTGTTCCCGTTTTGTTAAAAGAAAACAGATGTATATATATATATATATGTACACACATATTATACATTATATATAATATAATATAATATAATATAATATAATATAATATATCATATTATATTATGTTATATTATATTATAGTATATCATATTATTTTATTACATTATATTATATTATATATATATGAATATGAGTTGAGGTTTTATGATTCCGTTTTTCCATCCAACAGATTCTGAAATAGTTTTGAAGTGCTGTTGTACTGCTATCCCTGAAGATCATCAACTACAATTATTACTGCTCCAGTAAATCTACATCCCCCTAAAAACATAAAACAATTGCGGATCATCCACATATATATATATATACAATTATATACATACATATACACATAAATGATCATGACATATATTCCTCCCAAATCTACATCCTTATTAATGATCAGTTCATCCACTGGCATAAAACATACGAGGTGCTGATCCGGCTCAACGCCGAAGACGGTGTGGCAGAGGCGGCAGGGGGATAGAATGGGATATTGAGACAAACATTATATTAAGATAACCATTATATAACATATGGCATATATATATATATATGTTTTAGAAATATATATATATATATATACATGGGATAGTGTGCTGATTAATTAGCCAAAAGTGAATCAATGAGTAATGATGGATTTGTTAAAGTTGACTCCTAGAGGATTCTGGGATGGTTCATGGTCAACAGAGCCATGTCACCTCTTTCAGAAACAAAGTCGCTTTCTTCACCCAGTTCCTATACCCTCTGGTAATTTGACATAGCTATGGAAAATGGCCATTTATAGTTGATTTACCCATTAAAAATGGTAATGTTCCAGTTCGTAACTGTTAGTTTACCAGAGGATAACCATTCTTCACTAGCCTCAGTTGATCGTCCCTGCTTGGCTTTGTTATCACGGAGTCGTGGAGGCTCCCCCAGATAGAAGTTGATTTATGAGCCCATGATATCAAGATACTATACTGTAGTTATATATATATATATCCCGTAAAGCTTAACGAAGTTATGTGCATCGGTGAGTGATCGGCCCGCAGGTGGGCAACTTGTTGCAGACCGCCTGGTCCATCGCCTTTCAACTGCGAAGTGCTGCGCCAATTGGTGGTGCCTCGCCGGCCCTTCACGTCCTCACGTCAGGTGGGGGCCGCGTTTGTGACACAGGAGATGGGTAGTGGTTGAATATGTCATAAGTAAATAGCCATGATCTAATTCTATCATATGTCATTAATATAGATAAGCCATATTACTAGTGTTTGATATATCATAATGGTTGTTAGCCATATCATATGTAAGCCATACCTAAATGATATTATATAAACTGCCATAGTGTCCAGACATTTTGGATATTCTATCTGTTGGTGGCCACCTAGTTGACCTGAATCCCGCCAAGAAGATGATGATCCAGAAAAGGGGTATCTCGCAAAATGGGGATTTTGATGAGGAAAATGATGATAAACCCCTGCGTTTTGGGGTAACCTTTTTTTCCGGCAAAACCCAGTTTTCTCAATCTCAGATGCTCTCTGAACCTATTGCCGACATCTCGGCTCCTCAGGTAAAGGTGTTCCATGTTTGCTTCTATTCTCAGGAGTTTCCTCCAGAATGGCTCCAGACTCCAGATAGAATGAATGAAATTTGCCAAACAATGTCGACATCCTCGATTGATTCAACATGGCAAACTGAACTTCACATGTCAAAGAAGTGCAGTAAATGATCTAATGGGAAGTGATAGGATTAATGATTCCCTCAATAAATGCCATTGAAGTCCATTAAATCGCTTTCATATGGGATTTTGATTGTTGTGGTTGTTTACCACTCTTGGTACGGCCATGATACTCCTAGTGGACTTGAAAGTTATTCACCAGCTGCTTGCCCAACCATTGCGCGTAAGTGTGTATATATATATATACTACCAAGTATATACATATATGTTAAGCTATAAATAATGACACATCATAGTATAATCACATTAATTACATTATAAATTATAATCATTGAATTGTAGTATACTCATTTTAAATCATTTTATATTCCATATATTTCCCGATGGAATCGCCTAAGTTCACTGATTCTCCACTCGGCACCAGGTATCCACTCCTTGAAGCGAAAGCTGCGGATCGAGATCCAGGGGGCAGGTGAGGACTCCGAGACGTTGTGAAATAGGTGGTTATGAAGTTGATAAAGCATAAGGTTATAGAAATATCATAGAAATTAAGTTAATTTGATGGGTTTTGATGGTGATTTCATAGTTTTATAGGGATTTAAAGGGATTTGAAATGTAATAGAAATATAATGGACTTATAATCGGTCGAATGGGATTTGATGGTGATTTAAAGGCTTTTGATGGGGACTTAATGGGGGTTACTGGTGAGGACTTTAGAGGATTTTTTGGAGGACACCATCATTTGGGGGTTTAACCATCAAAAATATGGGGATCAACCATTAAGAAACAACAGTTTGATGGTTATAAAAGCAGGGAATATAGTTGATACATGATGGTTCTCAACAAGGGATATATCAATTAGATCTTTGACAAGTACATGAAATATGTGGCTACTCTCCAGTAATTTAACATAGTCATGGAAAATGAACGAACGCGGACCATTTAGTTCAACGATTTACCTAGCAAAAACGTTGATTTTCAATAGCTAGTTAAAGTACTAGAGGGTCTTAACCTTCAAACATGTCAGGATATAGTTGATAAATGATGGTTAGTTGATGTTGATGTGTTGAAATAGGTTATTACTAATCTACCTGGTTCATTGGCGGTTCATTAACATAGTCTAGAATTAATGGGACACTTAAAACCAACCAGTTCTTCACGGGGGATAGGGATGGGGCACACCTCCGAGTTGGACGAAACACCAAAAGATGCCGGGTTCAGCGTTTCTAGGATTCGTTGGATGATTTTTCCTCAATCTTTTTCCAGTTTTCCAAGGAAAATAATGTCAGCTTTTTTGGGATTGCTATCATTGCTATCCCCTCAATACATCTTTGGACAAAGCATGGGTTGTTTTCCCATATTGGGGGATGATCATCAATCCATGTTCATAGGGATTTATATAGCCCTTATGTTTGAAATCCCATGGCATGGGACGGATGAGCATAAACCACATACCATTTTTTCACCATGGCACATATGGATTTGTCTGAGAATAGGCTACCACTTGAAGGGTATATGCCATTTTCAGACAGCCCCATATCACACATGTAGCGCTCATTTTTTAAACAGTAAATATGAAAACCAAATATATAATCATAGTAAGTTTGTTATATCCCATGAGATTCCAAGTATATATCATATCCCATCTTATGTACACTTAAAGCGCTTTACGACTATTTTTCTGTTTATAGATGGGGTTATCATTCCATAAAAAATTGCATATTCCCTATATCTCCAATTTGTTTCTCAAATCTCATCATTCGCATTATAATCCCATTATACTATCCCATTATCATACCATTGATGTCTGATATATCAGAAAATATCAGGAACTTTGATATATCCCATGATTTATCACATCTTATGTACATGATATATTCCCATGATACTGTGGATGGTTACGAAATCCTGCACCACTTTGGATGGTACCCATATAAATAATGGGATGTTTACCACCTATCAACTGGTGGAGATTTTTTCCATCCACAGTATGTTAAATTACCAGAGGGTAAATCCTATGAACATCATGAAATCCCATTAAACTCACCATTTCAGACACTCAAACGGGTCAGGAAAGGTAGAGGACTCCGCCGCGCTGAAGAGCTTCATGGAGACCGCGGAGGAGGCCTGCAATGAGGCGCGGCGCAACGGAGCCCGATGAGCCGAAGCCGGCTGTTTTTTTAATAGATTATACAATAGCTATTTAAGATACTATGTATATATGTAATCATATATATATATTAACAGATATTACGCATATATATATATATATAATTATATATATACTCTATGGCCTTGACCGCTTCTCTAGATTTATATAGCTTATGTGTATATATCATGATAAATGAAGTATATAATGAGTTGTAAATATTATGGTGCGTTCACCCGCTGAACTCTATAACAAAGCCAAGCAGGGACGATCAACTGAGGCTAGTGAAGAATGGTTACCCTCTGGTAAACCAACAGTTTGCGAACTGGAAAATCACCATTTTTAATGGGTAAATCAACTATACATGGCCATTTTCCATAGCTATGTCAAATTGCCAGAGGGTACTGTAGGTTATGTGTATATCATATATGAAAACGAGCTATATGAACTATAACGTATGTGTGAAGCTATGGGTGATTTAACCAAGAAAGTTTTGTGTAGATGTTAAGGATAAACCATAGGATTGGTGAAAAATATATATATATGTATTATGAATTAAATGTCCATTCATAGTATGAAAACATAGATCCAGGTACAAGTAATGATATGTCACGTCAACAGGCAAGTTTATCTACATTCCATATTGACTAACACACACATATATATAATATTAGTTTTAGATATGTAAAATAGATGAAGGAAGTGAAGCACCCGGGAAATGTCTGTGCTTACTGGTGGACATGGCGCGTCTAACTGGAGGACGGTCAGCTGTTTTTTTCGGGCGCCCAAAATGGATCCAACAAACGTTTCACCAAGGGTCCTGATCCATGGGCATTTTGACACAAGGAATTATGCTTGATAGATGATGAAAGGGATGGTAGCATCAGCGAAAAAGGGTGAACCATACTGTTCAAACCACTAAAATGAAAGCTTGGCTTGACATGACATGATTCGTGACTGCTTAGTTGATGGAACTGGGGCTCCTATCCAAGAAGAGGAATACCTTCACTGGAAAACGGGTTGAAACGCAAACAAAGAGAGGTTTTTGAGCAACATGGGGATTTCGCCAACTTAACTTGGGGATAACAGGAAGCGGGACCATCCCATTTCGCGGCTACTCAACGACACGACCGGTACCCACAATATACGAAATCATTATTATTGATGCCGAAGTCTTAGTTGATATCAGCGGTGATAGTCATGATGATTCCAACTACTACAATGCAATTGTCAGCTGACATAATCGCATGTAATATACATATATGAACATTCACTATATATATATAACTTTACATACATATATATATATAGATAGTTGAATGTATAACAAAATGCCTTTAAAAGGTGGCCCTGCTAGTTAATTTTAACTTGCTTTATAAACCCCACGAACTAGTTCGTTTATGAATCCACCATAAACCATAGATATTGGAGTTTGTTTTCCGACTTAGCTATCGGAAACGGGCCCCCACTTGTACAACTCAATGTGTTTAATGTTAATCAATTACATGACATGATAATAAAGTAAAATAAAACATAATAAAATAAAACATACTATAATAAAATCTAATATAATATAATATAATATAACATATCATATAATATATCATATAGTATATCTCATAATATATCATATAATATATCATATAATATATCATACTATATATTTGTTGATTCTGATATAATAAAAAATAAATTTATAATATAATATATAATATAATTATATTCAATAAAATATATTATATAATAAATATACAAAATAATATAATATAATACACTTTAATATATTATAATTAATATAGTTTAATATAATATAATATACATCAATATGATATGGCCTATAAGTACACTCACAATCATGTTTCATAGAATTGGATGATGGGAAAATTTACACTACCATGGTGAATCCCTCAAATTCGTCCGAGGCGGTTCATCGGGCCACGGAGGCTAGAAATGCCACGCTGCAGCCGTTGAAGGAGGACGTTTGGAGAAAATCCGGACGTGTCGCTATCAGAAATGATGATTTGCTGGTGAAGTAGGTGTGATTCAATGGGATTTACTGGGAATATCATGGAATATTTATATATACATATATATATATATACAATTATACATTATTATATATATGTGTGTGTGTAATGTAATGCTGTGCTGTGCTGTGCTATGCTATGTATTCCTATGTATTCCTATGTATGTAAGTATGTATGTTTGATTTAATGGAAATTTAGTGGAAATTTAATGGTGCTTTAAAGGGATTGAATGATGATTTAGTGGGGTTTCAGCGACGCTGATGGTGATATAATGGAATATTACTGGAATAGTCATGGAAGATTGGATATTGATACTCTCCAGTGTCATCAGCTACATGGGCTGGAAAATCCTCGGAGTAGGTGGAGTTTTAGTTGCCATATGTTGCCATGTAGCTGATTACCGCAGGGTGTACCACCTGGGATTTTTTCACCCAACTATGGAAAAACATAATTTCTAATAGGTAAGCCATTTATAACTGGGCCATTTTCATAGCCATGTGAAACTGAGGGTATATAATCCTGATGGGGTAAAAATCGACAGTAAATAGGGAGCACATAGGATGACGAACCCAACCATAGTGGGGAAACAATGGGATATACAGATATACACGTATATAGATTGTATATGTACAATACATATATACATGAATACATAATAATACATATATGTATAATATAAAATATATAATATATAATAAACAAACCCTAGTCCAATCCATTTTTAAATTGGATGTTTACCCCATGTGGATATGGATTATCATGAATAATGAAGATTTGAACCAATAATTGATGGATATATCCTGATTATCCAGGTGATTTTCTTATGGATAAAATTACGTCGCGACTTCACATCACGACTTTATGACGTAGATGAATGTAAATGATGGTTATTGGATGTATCTATCCCGTAATGTACCGTATTACAAGATGGTGAATTGTGATGGTTTATCTCATTTTTTTGGGATGTCTACCGCAGCTTGATATGGGCAAAACAAACATTTATTTCCATTCAAACCGAGAAGTCAAGGTAAATACAATGGTCACATTTAAACCTGGTAATCTACATGATTGAACATTTACAGTATGATGTTGTAAATCATTACAGTAATGAAAAAAGTCAGGTTTGTCCAGAAATGGCAATCTTAATGGGGAAACCGACGGTTTAAAATACATGGTTTTGGGGTATCCTGATTTTCAGACAATTGCCAAATGGGATGTTTACCTCCGTTCGACAATGCGAAATTGCCCACTTACCAACTGGACTGTACATCCAAGTAGAGTTTACATGAACCTCGGCTATCAGACTCACAGCAGTGCATTTGGCTGTGACCATGTTGGCATTGCCAGATTGAAATTGCGGTGATAGTCCCTTTTTTCCCTTCGCATCTTAGCCGTTGATGGTGGTTATTTTTTTCTGTTGTTGGAGCAGCAGTTCGTATCGTGCAATACCAAGGACTTTTTCAGATGCAAATTCTCATCGGATCATATCGAATTTAGAATGATTTAGATTCTGCGCTTGGAAGTTTCAGATTTACTGCACTGAAATCTCTTAAACTGCCAGTTTCAAGTTGATGTAAGTCGCACTTGGCAATTAGACTTCTGCACTGCAAAGGAGCTGGAAGCTGCACTCGCGGAGAGTCAGGCAAGAGGGCCTTGGCTCCGGTGATGGATGCAGTAGAGCCTCAAAATCCAGAGGTTTACCCTCCGGCAAAATAACATGGCTATTGAAAATGGCCCATTTATAGTTGATTTTCCTACTAAAAGTAGTGATTTTCCACAGTTATGTTGGTTTACCAGAGGGTATATCATAACAATTATCTTAATACAACTGCCGTGACATTTGCGGTACACGGTACCCCATTTTTGGGCTGACATTTTTTTCAACATTCCAAGTACACAGCAAGTAAAATAGATGCGTGAAAATGGTACTGTTTGTAAATTTGGTTATAGGGAGCTTTGGAAGGCGTGAACACCCTCATGCTTCACAGGAGAATGGCAGGTTGAGGCTGCCAAAGCGCGACAGCACGGTGGTTTGTCATTACTCCGAAAGATGGCAGTTGAAAAGCGAAAAGGTATTTGATTATGATCAGATGATGCTTGATGGATATGTCAATCTATTTGTATATTAGTATGATTATACATGCGTCATTATTTATATACATGTTTAATCATTTTTATATATTAATATGTATATATATACTGTATATGTATCATCTATGTATGATCTACCCTGGGGTCATCCAACTTGACTTCGTGGAAAATCCACCTGTTCTATGGGGAAGATCATGGGCACGCTGTAGGTGGCACTGAAGGACTTGAACGGCCACATCTCCAAAGTGCTACCTGAGGCACGGTGAGATTCGCCATGGTTCAGGAGAAATCATCCCATTTCGGGTGGAGAAAAAGGAGGTGTTGACGGTGTTGAAGGAATTTGACGGTGTTTCTCGGATCAAGCTTTTTTGGAAATTGATAGGTTTCAAATGATCATTTGGCGTTTTATTTGGATCAGTTTTTCTTGATTCGCAGGTGGCACACCCAAATATATTTTTTTAAAAAACTTGGAAGTACCCAAAAATCCAGAAGTCCAATGCTTCATCAAAATTCGTCCCATGAAAAATGCAGTCTGTGGGGCCTCCCACGTTTAAAACAAAGCCAAGTATCATTTTGTTGGCTGCACATAATCCTGTTGTATATTCATATCATACCCCATCTATATCCCAAAAAAACAATTAAACAAAGCTGGTTGCATATTCTTTATTTATTGGTTACATGTTCATTCTTCATTACTTACATGTCCCTTATTCATGATAGAAACCCAATTCTTCATGAACTTGAAAAAACTGTAAAATAAGTCTTAACTTATATCCCAATAAACCATAGACTTAAATAACATAACAACGATTAAACCACCATATCCCAATCGTTCCAATTGTTCTTGTTTATGATCTCCTTCGGGTTCAGGTGAACGCGATCAAGGCGAAGTACAAGGAAGATGCGGTGGAGGCAAAGAGAGCATCAACCCAGTTCGTTAGCAGTTCGTTGGCTCGTTTGGTAAACATACGGTAAACATAGCTATGGCATGGTTGATTTCTATATTGTTGATAGATGTTGTTGATATATGTTGATATATTGAACGTGATTGAACTGTCGGTGAAAAAAACAGCTGTCGCTCCAAAAACTGCTGGTCACCTTGTGCTCACCTCTGAGCTGGGAATCTTTTTCGCCAGGAGTCTGGGTCAATCGACTGGGTAGAAACGTTGGTATCAATGGGATTATCTACATCCAGCTAAGAATTTGTCATTTTTTGCAGGGTATCTAAGATTGGCCATGAAATATACTAATGTAGTAAAGCCAATTCGTAAACCATCATAATTTCAGCATAAATGGGTGGTAAACATTTGATCGGTTTGCTATTGGGTTTACCACGCTATGTAAGATTGGCCATGGCTGCTTGGACCCACAAGATCGCCCGATTTTGTTCAGGACCACCTAACTATGTTGCTCTTGATCTTTTTCAAGACCGTTCAATACCAAAACCATAAGTTTTGATGTTATTTGCAGTCTTGGCCAAATGGGTTCAACTGTCCATGTGTAGTCTTTTTCATGTCGGTTGCCCATCCTGCTGATCGTCAATGGGCACAATGGCCGCGATGTTGCCGTTACCCATCAAACATGTGATTATCAAGGAAAGGAAACAAGGAATCGGTGACAACTCAGGGCACCGTAAGAATCTCTCGAGATATGTACAGAGTTTCTTAGGATACACAAATCATCAGAAGACCATTTTGGTGGCGGTGCAACATCGGAGGAACTGTCAGAAACTCTGGATGGTCAAGAGATTCACATCACACGGTCTAGTTTGGCTGCTGTCTTTCCATGCTACATTTATCCAGTGAAAGAGTCTATCATTGAATCATTGGCGAATAGGATTTGATGATCAAAATAACCATCAATTGTATATAGGTTGAATGATTTATCATAGGATTGTTTTTTCATCATGGGTTTCTCACAGTTTGAGGGTCTTCCAACCATCCCCGTTGGAGAACCATAAAGCATATCCCACTCAATTCTATACCGTAGCCCTTTGGGGAGGTATTTGAATTCCTACCCAACAAAAAATGTTTGTTTATTGAGTGTACCAAATCAATTCGGAATCCGGGCTGTTGTTCTGGGGATGGAAATCAGGCGGCTGCCGCAAATGTTCATCTTTTGGCCAGTTACTCAAAGCTGATTCTATGCCATGTGATCAAGCTTTGATGGTTCATCATTATTGAACGTTTTTGGAATTTGGAATCCACATGATCCAAATTTGATCATGTTTTTTCCCAATATTATTGTTGCGATTATTTCATGGCCCCTATTTTGATGGTCAAATGTTCACATCCCTGTCGAATGGTTGGTCACATACACGAATACAAGGAAAACAACGACCTCACGTCGAGACATCACTCGAGTGATGGTGAGATTTATAGATGATGTTTTCCCCGTGATATTCACATTACCTGTTTTTCCATATTTTTCCATGATATCTACCTTCTACATATCTACCTTCTACAGTATACAGGTATTTTTTTGAGTGGTAAACACTATTTTCAGCCAAACCTAACTATTTTCAGCCAAGCCAGTACATTTTATTCCCAGAGATTATATCCGCATTATATCACCATCAATTATTTGAGGGTTGCATTCCCATTATATCCCTGTGCGTTTGACAGTATATACATATATTCCCAGTATACCCCCATGTATTATTATTACTGTGAACATATATTGTTATCTTCATGATTTCCCCATATTACAGTAGTATATCAATATCGAGATTATATCCCCATGAATTGAGTTCCCAATTATGTTCGTTGGTTTAGATTCACCCCATGAACTAGTTCGTTATATCTACCATAAACCATAGTTAATCCATAGAAATCATTCATATCTCAACTGAACGCTATCGACTGGGGCCCCATCCGGGGTTTGGGCAGGCAGAAGCCAAGCTGCGTGAGGAACGGGAGATGAAGCATGCGCAGACCGTGGGAGTCCCGGAAGGGGCGTGACCCAAAACCGGTTTTGAGTGATTTTTTTCAAGAGGAATCATATTGAACTGGGGCTTTCTTAAATACGTAACTAATCTATACTAGTTTCTTAAAGTGGGAGATCCCCAAGTCACCATGGGTTTCAGTACTAGTTCATGGTCATCCATGACGACTGGATGATTTGGGGAGTAGCCCCATGACTTAGGAAACCTCCAAATGTTTTTTTGGTGAATGATGAAATTTATCCAGATTCATCCAGTTGGGGTTGAGAATTTTTAGATTTGACTAGCAATTTCTGGGGATATATATAATATATATATATAATAGGGACAGAGAATGACAGGGATACTATTTGGAGTTGCGTCAAAGATCCGGGACCAAAAAAGATCCCGTGGTTGACCATCATTTTGGCCAAAAGAAAGCCGTTGTTTTGAGACCATATGTACTTTTTCCAACATTGTGGCTTGATCCGCATACAAATTGGGTTTATGACCACAAAGCGTAAAATGAACAGAAGAGCAAATTGACAAGAATCAGCTCTTTTGGGCATATCAAGGGTTGGCCATTTTTCACTTGCCGACATCACCGTACAAGGATGTATTCTCAGAACCTTGCCCAAATCACCTTCATTGAAGTTGGTGAAATTCAAGTCAACCAGAAGATTTTGGCATGTTTCCCCAGAACCTTTGCAAGCTTGCAGAATATGTATATAGGTATATCAACTTAGTTGAACCATAGTGAACCAAACATCATGTGGATTTGACATGGGGATAGGATGGGATAGGGGCGAGCTAATGTAATGTGGATACAGTACAGGGCAGAACACTGCATGATGAGCTTCTTGGGAAGATGGTTTGCAGATGGTATTGCTACCCTCCGGACATCAAACGTGACAATGGAAAGTGTCCCATGTGTGGATGATTTTCCCAGTTTTAAACCTCCATTTAGTTCGGGGATTTTCCACTGCCATATTACCGGAGGGTATGCTCGAAGGCAATCGCGAAAGATCAAAATATTCAATAAGAAAAATCATGGATGAAGGCAAGCAGTTCATGTGGATTCCAGCAACATTCAGGACAAGTTCGCACCAGCAGCAACAGGTATATCATAGGTATATCTCGCCAAGAATAGTATATGTGTATACACTGTGTATACATATGTTTGCCGGAACAAAAATGGGAAAACAGACTGTACCTTGAGTCCTTGAGTTCCATTGTTTCGAAGCAACTTGTTCGGCCTGCAGCTGTTTGACCCGACTCCGAAGCTATGAACCATCCATGAAGCGTCTGGGAATGTTCAACTCTCCACTGGTTGCATCCCCAGTTCAACTGCTTTGCAGCTTCATAATCTTCATAGTAATCTCCCAAAAGATAGAAAAGGTTCAATGTATCACTATTTTTGCTAGGATTTTGCATATCCCATTTTCTATAATATCCCGTGTTTGAATGAACTATAAAATATGGATGAGAATTTCTATGAATTTCTATATGTTTGAATTGTCATACCCCATTTTTCAAAACAACTTAGACCAGGAATAGCATCATTCGCAGCGCCGCGTTCCGCGGATCACGGATCAGTCCGGACCTCCATGGCGCCGAGCGGTGCTCGCAGCCTGGAGGAAGACCTCGAAATTGGAGGCACGACACTGCAGACGAATGGTGGATTTGATGGGGATTTAACGGAACTTTAATGGGCTTTAATAGGGATGATAGTCCCTAAAATGCCCTAAAATATATTCTGCAGTCAGTACAAAAAAACTGTTCAAATGGGTATGGTTCAAAGAATCTTAGAAATGAGGCATCATTGAACCAAAAAAAATTGGTCATGTTTCGGATCTGAAACTGTGTATACACACCTATTCATATATATATATATATGTTATTTTTATATATATTACATATTAGTGTATACAAGTTTGGAATGTGTGTTTTTGTCTTTTGAGCCATACCCAAATGTCTTAGATTCCGTCGCTGAAACAGGGGGCTGCTTCAAAGGAGGTGACTAAGTACACTGGGACGGCGCTTACTTTGCCTACCAGGTGGGATAAAGTGAGTCATGTTGGTTTATGTTCAGCTTATGAATATTATATATATCCGCCATAATAAGTAACTTGTATGGTTGTAAATGGGCTGAATCAATTATAAATAGGATTTACAACTAGCTTCAGGTGTTTTCTTAATACGTCATCAGATGTAGTTGTAAATCAATTTAGCTATCCTTTGGGGGGCCCACCTTGTGCTTTTGTTGACCTTTTTGATGCAGGGAATGAGCCAGGAATCCAGCATTCGGATTCAAAACCTGACAGCATAAAAATGGGGACATGGTACATGGTATGGGAATAGTTATACATAGTAATACCATGGTACATAATGGGATATATCAACATAGTAATACAAGAATCAAGGTTCAAAACCTAAAACTACCATGTTGATAGTGAGCATGATGATGTACCATTGGAATTTTGGGTACCTCACCGGTGGCAGCCCATCGACAGTTTAGTATTGGATACCAGGCCCATTTGCACTGGGGAAGGTGAATCATCTACTAATGGTCAACATTGGTCAACCCTTCAGTTCACCAAACATGTCTCACAAACTGAAGCTGTGAGTCAATGAATTGACCCGAAGCGGTGTCATCAAGGCTGGACAATCATCCATAGTTCGATGATCCCAGCATTTTCCGCAACCATGGCTGGGATTTCCCAGGCGATGCACGACATCAATGGAAACTTTGGTTCTGCAGTGGCGCTGGCAACGTTTGATTCCAGCCATGCTTTGGTGACATTTGAGAGGAAACTATCACATTTTCCAAGCTGGTTGCTGGTTCATCAATGTGTTTATTTGCCATATGGGATCATATTCGGACCCATTCTAAGTATCTTAACTAACCAGTATTTATAACCATTTATAACCATATGTACATGGTAAGTAGCACCGATACAAAGTATCTTAGAATATTCAGTGACTTCACATTTTTCATCATTTTTCAATGCTGCCCTTTAAGGTCGCATATGAGTCGCATATGTTTGCCACATTTTCGGGACCAAAAAAGGTATCTTTGTCATCTTCGTCGGTCCAGGTTCAAGAAGCCGTGACTCGCGCAGTGGCCTTGGATTTAGCACGTCCCGTGAAAGCGACCGACATCTTGTGGTCCTCCTGGGAAGAGCGCCGGGGCAGTGGGTTACTTTGGTTACTTTGGCTAGGGCGGTATAGACAGTATAGACGGTATAGCCAAAAAAAAAAGTGATATAATGATATATAATGGTCATATGGTGATTTCATGTGGCAGATATAATGATGATATATTGGTGATACCTAAGGGGGGGACAACCAATTTTCAAACACACCACGGCCATATCATGGTGATATGCTTGTTGTGATTTATTGTCGGAACCCCTGGCTCCCATAAACGCCTACCATGACTGGGGATGGTTTATAGAACCCCATAAAAATGGTAATGACTTGGGGGGTGGTTCATGAAATTGAGTTTACCACATTCTGGGATATCCCTGAGTCATTGGTCAAAAAATACATGGTCGGTTCATGTTGGTTCACTGAGTGTTGCTTCGAAAATCCTTTGGACACCATTTTCTTCAAGTGCACTGAGTTTAGTTTGGCATGGAACGTTCGAATATCCTTACTTGTGTAGTTATGTAATGTTATATAGCTATAACGCGGTATATGTGGGGTCAAGACTTGGGTAGATTGCCCAAATCGGGATGGTCATCGATTCATTCATCGATAAAAACACAGGGACTTGCGCCGCATAGCCATGGCATGGGATTTTTTTCGACCAGGAAGACCATCCCAAGCGTCTGGCCACGTGACTGTTTTGATGGTCATGTGATGCCAGGATCATTGTTGCTCCCCAATCCCTCTGTCTTTGGGTCACTTGAATTGATTTGGGGTGGGTTGTGGTCACAATACTCGTTGGATCTCATTGGCTAACTCCCTATTTCTATGATTTTATCGTGTTATCTACCCATCAAATGGTTTGTTAAATCCAATCTTTGCCGCCCATGTTCCGCTAATCCCATGTTCCAACTTGGCCCGTGGCCACCTGCAGGTCAATTCCTCCATCTTTCGTACTTAAACCATCCTAATCTGTATCTATTTTGATGCTTAAATATCCCATGAATTGGTTAACATTATAACATTACAACATGGCTATTGGATGAACTATACCATCATATAGTATCATATAGTTATATTTGCTATACTAGGCTATACCTATTCAATGAACTACTTACTTACCTAACAACATGCTTGGTGATATTCCATGACTTCCATGTTATCATTTTTTATCAGTTCGAAGCTGCAAAGATTGCAGGAGAACGGTCAATTTCAAGCTGCCGTGGGAGTTCCCCACGTGGGTCTCATCGTACGAGGTGCTTGGAGCAGCACCAGTCGCACCGGTGCCCAAATTGATCAATGATCAATGTCGATTACCCTCTGGTGTCCTCAAAAAGTGTCAATTAATCAATTGGAACTCTGCAAACTCCTAGTTTTCATGGGACTTGGGGAAAATCATGGAAAATCCATCAAATTTGACCTGGGGAATTTTTTGCCATCTCCCAGGTCCCAAGCGGAGCTGGCCGCCTCGCATAGCGCCCTTGTGGAGTTGCAGCGCATCGCCAAGGCCAAGGGTCAGGCCGGATTTTCAGAGTTTAGCCATGTTTAGCCACAAAAGCGTGGGTTTCAAGGGGTTCTCATAGGGATTTCGTGGGTTTTTCATGGGAGGTGGTGAATTTACTGGTGATTTGTTTTGGTGAATTTCGAATGGGATTTAAGAGGTTTCATAGGGATATCATACTAGGGATTAGATGATAAGGTATTTGTACAGGGGATTAAATGGGAAGTTCAGTAGTTCAGCGACAGACATTGAAATTTGATAGAGGATTTGATGGGGATTGTGATCAACCGCGTTGGGAGAGAATGGGATACGAAAAGTGGTGATGTCATGAACTATTTGCCAAACTTCCGTGGTTAATCACTGCTAAATAGTAAAGTTTTGGGACATAACTCGCTAAAATGGTGGTGGAAGCGATTTAGATGGTGATACAGCTAATTGATAAAGGGTGGATTTGGCCCTTCGGGCAGATCAAAGATGGTCAAAGTGGGGATTTGTTCAACAAACATGGGGATAATTCAATGAAGAACAGTAGTAAAATTGTGGCGGATTGTGGCGGAGAAATCTGACGATGGAAACAAACACATTCGATAGGGAAATAATCCCATATTTGCTTAGCAGAGAGTGTATGAGTTTGTGTCATTCACCCTCGAGTAAACCAAAATAACTGCGGAAAATCAGCATTTGACAAATCGGAACTCATCGAACTTTCAATGCGCCATCTATATTTCATAGCTAATTACATTATATTACATTAAACTACCAGAGGTTACTGATCCATCAGACCCCCTATTTGGGCTCCAATTTTCTACGCCACGCCGTAGGTTCCGGTGACCATTAGCGGCGCCATCCCCCGACCTACCGCAGTTGTCCGTGCTGCTCTGCCGCACGCCGTTCGACCGGGTTTGGTCAGCGTGGCACCACAGATTGCCCCGGTGATGCCACTGAATGGCAGGGCGAAGATCTGCAAGTACTTCATGAAGGGATGGTGGGACTTGGCCAAACTCAACCTTGGGATGTCGGATATGTCGGATATGTTGGTCTGGGTCAAACGCTTTCAAATCAGATGTGTGTAGATAGAATATATACATACAACATCATACAACCATTCTTCTGGGTGAATATCCATTTATCTGCTTTAGTGTTCACCATAGTTGGGTCTTGACCTAGAACCATGTTTGACTTCAACTTTTTCGCCGTCATGGCTTTGAACTCGGGCGCCAGCTACCCGACCATACAGAGAAAAAGTGGCGCAAAGCCGAGGTTTTCAAAATAGGAAAATATGTAGCTCCTCCATGTTGACTGATGAGATCTTCCATAATCTTCTGCGCCTTTTCCACCTATCAACCGCCCCCTGCAGGTGCTATGATGGTCTCAATTGTCCCATGGTGCATGGGCCAACACCAAAGGCAGCCCCCACACCCACACCCAAGGCAAGCTGCGTGGGTTGAAGGGAACATTTACAGGAAAAGCATGGAAAAGCCTCATATGGATGTTTCCTAAGTCATGGACGTACCCCTTTGCATCATCCAGTCGTCATGGACCATGAATTCGTATTGAAACCCATGGTGACTTGGGGATCTCCCATTTTAAGAAACCCTCAGATTGAAGTATGAAACAATGGAAAAAGAAACGGATGTGATTGGGCAAATGCCATTCTATATGTTCTTTGGAAAAATAAACATGGAAAAAACGGCATTAATGTGGTAGACCCACCAATATCACTAACAAACCATCCCAATACCAGAAAAGAGTGGTACAAATCATCCCGGATTGGAGGTTCATTCGACCTCACTGCGACGTCACTGGATGGGGAAGGGGAATCCCCAAATGGCTTTGATTCAGGTTGGTGAATTACGATCAGAATATTAGTGAACTATTAAAAGGATCTAAAAGGCATTTTCCCCAATGAATCACAGTTATGGCCCTTTTGCAGGTATAAGTACTTATAACATTTATAACCACATTTATGGAATGTATACATTTATTATAACTAATAAATTGCCATAACTGCAGGTTACTGAATGCTTGAGTTTACCAGATGATTGGGATGGTTCTTCAATCAGGTCAACAGCATTGCGTCACTGGCAAACCATCCGGCAGTCTTGAAGGTTGGACGTCTTGTCGGTGGCCTCAGTGATGGACAACAACGACTGTAGGTTGACCAGATGGGGATGGGTCAAGATTTCTGTCAGAAAATGGATGGTTCAATATTAGGAAAGCTGGAAAATATAGGAAAATTGACCAACATCCGCTCTCTTCAAAAATTAAATTGTCAGTCGCCATTCACCATTTATTGCCTGATCATTCTTGATCTCAGGCACCGAAAGATACAGCAAGGGTGTTCACCAAATGATCGCAACAATGATCGGAAACATTGCTCCAATCACCGGTAGTTGGACACAACACATGGGTGAATCATAACACCCATAGCAATAGATGACTGGCTGGTGGTTGAATAAGTAGAGGATATTGATGGATATATCATCCTCCTGGGAATTTAGCCTAAAGACTTGAGGACATGATGTCTTTAAAAAACAAGGGACAGTTTGGCCGGCAAAAAAAAACAGTTTCATTTTTTAAGATGTATACTGTTGTTTAACGGTCTCCTATTCTTTAAGAGGCCTTCCTAGGAAGATTCTAGGAACTTGTTTTTTGATATGTTCATCAATGTTTTTGGGATTGTGTGTCAAATGAAAACCAGCTTGCCTGCCGCTTGAACAGATGCTCACAAGCAGAAGACGTGAAGGTGAGATGGAAGATGAAAACGTGATGAGTGAATGCATGTAAATGATCCCCCTTGGAATTTCCACTAAAAAATGCAACAGCCCGGGTTGTCGCAAAAAACGTTTTGTTAATGCAAAGCAGATGATTTTTCCACATGGCTAACCCGGAGTCCCCATTTTTTGCAAAGGCTTCCTAGGTCATGATTTTTTAGAGAACATTTTGAGGGGCAATAGACAAGCTCTTTGAATTTTTGCGATTTGCTAAAACTGTTGTTGTGCGCCGGCCATCGTTTGTATCGCAGATGAGCCAAACAAGTTTCAACATTGACAACACATTTCAACTGATTTTTCAACAAGGACATTCTTCAGGGACGCCGGACTATTGCACATTTATGAGAGTTTGAAAACAGAGCGTTTGAAAATCATATGGTGTCATCCCTCTTGGAAATTTCCCTGGCTAAAACATAAGTCAACCCGGGTTATCAGTTCCCCCTTGATTCTTTAGAGATTTAATTTGGAACCCTAAGTTGAGTTTGTCAATGTTTAAAGTGCTGGCCAAAACATGGCTCAATAAACACAACCAAACTGACACTAGATATGATAAAAGCAACAAATTGCATATATTGATTTATACAAATAAATATGTTTATCGTTTTGCAGGGTATAGCTCTAAAGAATCAGACACCAGCTCGAACCCAGTCCAGTTCTCATATCCAGACGTCCCCGGAAATCCCCAAGATCCCCAGGCATAACACCAATTGTCTCTAGAAGATCCATCGAAACTAAACCCACTGTGTCTGGAGGTATGAATTTATTTTTTAATGGCACCCTCCCAAAAAATACCCCAAACTGTGAAAAACTGCCAGGTTTTGCAGGGTCAACACGCCCTGAGCCTCTAAAGAATCAAAACACCAGCTCAAACCCAGTCCAGGTCTCATATCCAGACGTCCCCAGGAAATCCCCAAGATCCCCAGGCATAACACCAATTGTCTCTAGAAGATCCTCGAAACCCACTGTGTCCGGAGGTAGGACCTTATTTTTTAATGGCACCCTCCCCAAAAATACCCCAAACTGTGAAAAACTGCCAGGTTTTGCAGGGACGACACGCCCTGAGCCTCTAAAGAATCAAAACACCAGCTCAGAAAAACAGTGTTTTGGCAGGACTTGATTCTTTAAGGGCACCCTTTCCTGTGTCGGGAGGCAGGACCTGATTCTTTAGTGGCACCTCCCCAAAATATCCCAAGTTGTAGGGTCGACAGGCCTGAGCCTCTAAAGAATCAAAACGCCAGCTCGAACCCAGTCCAGGTCTCATATCCAGACGTCTCTAGGAAATCCCCAAGATCCCCAGGCATAACACCAGTTGTCTTTAGAAGATCCATCAAAACTCCTCGTGTCCGGAGGCAGGACTTCATTCTTCAATGGCACCCTCCACCAAAGAACCGGACACCCGGGTCAAAGCCTGAATACAAAGGGGGATATGCTGTTTACAATCAATTTTGATCAAACCAGAAAAATGAAACAAGAGTAGGCAGCCAAAGGCAACGCTTTGGCAGAAGCTTCTGCCATGACAAAAACAGAAGCCGCTAATCTGGCATGGGCAAAAGAAGGGCAAATTTCATCTCCGGTGTGCAATGGAATCATTTGGGTACGTTTGGTGTTTTTTTATGTTTGTTGATGTCCACATGGCTAACATGGACGCCCTATTTTTTAGAGGTTTACTTTCGTATTTGTTTTTTTGTGTATTTTTTGTATTTGTTGTAGTTGGTTGCCTGGGCCATGATTTTTAGATGGTCTTACTAGGTAGGCATTCTTTAGATGTGCCATTTCAGTAGTGCAAGGTGGACCTCAGACCTCCGTTTTTTGTCTATAGAATGCTGGAGTCCATGTGAGCAGGATAATTCCAAGGAGAATTGTAAATGCAAGAATTTGCGTTAAAACACCTTCCAGAGTTGAAGAATGTTAAAGATGTGCTTTCAAAATTCACCTAAAGATGTCTAATAAATTCCAATAATCCTAATATGGACACAAATAAATAAGTCTATATGTTCTCATATGATTGCATGCGCATCTTATTGATGATGCTTGACTGCGCCGTCGTCCATTCGACTGCAACTTGGGTATCCAATTCTTTAAAGGGGCACCCCTTCGTGTGCAACTTGGGGTCTCCAATCCTTTAAAGGGACATACCTGGCTACTGTGTGCAATCTTGGTTCATTGGGGTTAGATTCTTCAAGGCTGAAATTTGCCCTGGTTCGCATTCTTTAAGAGGCTACCAGTGGTCCCTTAAAGATTCAGGGGCCAGGGTCAGGACCCGAATTGCAAGGGGGATGATATATCTATAGAACCCCAAATTCCCAAGAATTGGCATTTAACCAATAAATAAATGATGGATATGAAGGTATAATGTGGTAGAATGGGATATTAATTGGTTGGTTTTTTCAAATATCTTTTTCAACCATAGAAATGGGAGGACGATCCCCCCACATGGTCTCCATGGTCTGCAAGGCTGGCAGCTTTACACCGCCGGTCACTGTGACAACGCCAGTGACAACGCCAGCTGTGAAGAGTCTGGTGAAGACGGAACTGTGCAGCTACTTTCAGAATCTTGGCGAAAGCTTGGCAAAAGTTGCCACTGAACATCCAGCAGTTAAGGGATGTTAAGGGACTGGTGGTGGAAACGACTGTTTCCAGCATGGAACGAGGGATATGATATCATCAGGGTATGATATGATATGATATGATAAACAATTATGATAATTATGGCCCAAAGGGCCGCAAGTGTCTACAATGGACAGTATCTGATATTATGATCGTTGGTATGGTGGATAGTAATGACATCATTATTGCGCGCACTTATGAATCGGAAAACATGTGGATTAGCATCCCCGTTTAGTCGTCTACTGTACCGGCGCAACTGCCACGGGGGGAATGTCCTCCAGTATTCCAACATGGCCACGGAGAATACCTCTGTACTTCTTGGTGACCTTTTGGGCAGGTCTCAGAGATGGTTGTTCTCCTGGTAAAACCCATGAGAAATGGGGGAATCTTCACCAACGAACATGGACTTTAGCTGTTGAAGACCGTCACTTTTGCCTTGACGATCAGACTCTGATGCGTCAGAAAGACAAAGCGTTTTTTTTCTATATTGTTTCTCCAACTTTGCACTTTCAAAAGTGATATTAATATACATTCATGACATCTTAAGTTTCCTGCTAGCTCTTACATACTCAGCCCGTACCTCCTGCAGAGGAGAACTTGGTGCCACAACATGATCATGTAATTCACGCGGTTCGTTGTTCAGCGCAAAGACTTTGTTAAGGGTAGCATGTTGGCATAGACATAGAACATGACAAACTCTGCATATCTCTACAAGCAATTTCAAGCAACGTTTGTTTGTATAAGGAGAGGTGAACAATTCTTATCTAGATATATGTCTGGTTTGTATAAACGCTTGATCCATAGACACTGGAAACACAGTATTGTTTGGTGGTTTTGAATATTCTTATTTGCAATGCCTCAATTTTGTGGTTGTGTCAAATATTCGGTTTTCCAATCTAACTAAATTGATGATGATGCTTTTATTATCATTATTGATGATCACCATCGACTAAACAAACGCATCGGTTGAAACTACCGACCAGCAACACATCGACTGGTGGATGGTCGCAGCCTCTCAATCACCAAGCAGTTTTGCACAACAAATCGGGTGAGGTTCGTCTCACGGACCAGGATCTGAACGTGCACAAATTAAGCTCTTTTCAGAGCTAAAGTAATATATCTACACTACACTTATCAATCTTATGTTCATCTGGATGTAGATGTATTTGACACCTGGATGCACATAGGTATACACACAGATATTGGATGAATGCAAACATACAAACATACAAACAAACATACATACATACATACATTCATACATCCATACATCCATACATCCATCCATCCATCCATCCATGCATCCATGCATCCATGCATCCATGCATCCATGCATCCATGCATGCATCCATGCATCCATCCATCCATCCATCCATACATACATACATACACACATACATACATACACACATACACACATACGCACAGACACACAGACACACAGACAGACACACAGACAGACACACAGACAGACAGACACACAGACAGACACACACACACACAGACACACAGACACACAGACACACAGACAGACACACACAGACACACACACACACAGACACAGAGACACACAGACACACACAGACACAGACACACAGACACACAGACACAGACACACAGACACACAGACACACAGACACACAGACACACAGACACACAGACACACAGACACACAGACACACAGACACACAGACACACAGACACACAGACACACAGACACACAGACACACAACACACAGACACACAGACACACAGACACACAGACACACAGACACACAGACACACAGACACACAGACACACAGACACACAGACACACAGACAGACAGACAGACAGCCAGCCAGCCAGCCAGCCAGCCACCCACCCAGACAGACAGACAGACAGACACACATACACACATACACACATACACACATACACACACATGATCTTTTATGTCTCCATGATGGCCACAGTCTTCAGGGGTTCAAAGTGTTCAATTTGGGATGCCCCGCTGACCGTTTGTCGCCCGAGTGCATCAGCAAGTGGAACAGAACGTTCAGAACTGGAACAAATCACAAGGAGCCACCATTTGTGTAAATCATCCGCGTTGCGTGGTGCGTCCTGGACCGCGAAGATCCAAACTTTGGTTGAATCCAGACAGTTATTCTCTAAAGGTTTTCCTGTGGGCATGAACCGCGGTGACACACTCTACCTGCGCCTTGCTGGCTTCAAACCAGAGTGGCGCCAGGCTGTTGTCATTAGTGGGAAGCCCCGGTAGGTCCCTGCAGCTTGCGGTGAAGGCTTCAAGAGAAGAAGCAGAGAGCAAGGCAGGCTTGCTGTCTTCCTTTCTGGTTGAAAAGGAAATCTTTATCCTGGTTGAGGGCGACGTGTCTAGACTGCGACCGACATACACTTTCCCATTTCGTGCGCTGGAGCAGGAGGTAGACCAGATCATAGAGAAGGCCAAGGACTTGCAGTCCTCAGACGAGAATGTGCAGTACGCCACGGCATCCAAGCACCATGCCGAAGAAGCGGCACAGAAGAAAAAGGAGGAGCTCAGTTCGAGCTCAGAAGAAGAGGAGTCAGAGAGCAGTGGAGACGAGGTGTTCCGGCTTCTTTCGAGAGCTGCAAAAGTCGGAATAGAGCCGGCTACTGGCTTCGAAAAGCGCGACAAGAAGAAAAGTTCAAAGATGACATCAAGGTACCCGCTGCTGGCTCAGAAGGAAGCTTCAAAAGGTTCCTCTTCAAGTGCCTTACCCAAGACCGAGGATCTCCTGAAAAGTGCTCTGAGCTCAAGCTCAACCAACCTGGATGGCAGTCAGTTGAATGCTTTAATCCAGATGGAGCTCTAGCACGAACTCCGGGGAAAAAAGGAGAAGAAGAAAGATCGACAAGAGTCCTCTTCAGAGAGGAGCTCTTCAAGCTAGGAGTTTTCGTCGTCAGACGAGGACAAGGAGAGGCTCCGTGGTGCAGGAAAGCCATGAAAGCTTTTCGAAAAAGCAAAAGGAGGATGAAGAAAAAACCAGAGAAACACATCCGACGTTACATCAAAGACGTCGAAGACTATTTGGGAGTTGGCACTGATGGAGCCTACGTCCTGACCGACTACACGAAGAAGCTGGCCTGGGGCAAGCAGCGCACATTGATGCGGTACCACTATGCTTTGTCAGACCTTCTTCACACGATCTTGAAGGGAAAGATGCAGCTGGCAGGCCTGAAGGTGACCCAGCTCCTTCGAGCGACACACCAAGCATCATTAGATCAAGGCGACTGGCGAGCAGCATGGCTCCTTCTGGATCTGCCAGATCCAATGGAGCGCCCACGCTTCGGTGGCGAAGCACAACAGCTGGAATTGGTAGCCAGTTATGTGACAGCCATGGCGAACCTCGAGAAGAAAGGAAGATGGCAATCCCATCGAGGCAACGAGGAAGATCCAGCTCTAGGAAAAGGAAAGGGAAAGCGAAAAGGCAAGAAGGGCGACAAAGAAGAAGAACCGCGACGAAGCTCGCCCAATACATGTTGCAGCTTGTCCTCCTCGCACAGAAGTTGATGAGGTGGCTGCTCTAATGAGTGCACAGCATGGATCCTTTTCCAGGTACATGAGGATCCACCAAAAGAGGTCTAATTGTGAGACTGGGCCATGTACACCCGCCCTGTGGCTGCGGATACGACTCTGTTCCCGTCTAGGGCTCCCGTGGAACCATCCACCGGGTAAGTCCCGAAATAGACGAGGCCCCCTAGGTAACAAGTATTGAGACGCTTATCATTGGATGCATATGCTATGGGGTTTGTTCAATTTTTTAGATAGTGGGTCCCCTAGTTCAACCCAAGCCATCGTATCGTCTGTTGACCGTGCCATCCAAGGGGAGTGGACTGCCCTTCATGAGAGCTATGCTAGGACAGTGTTTGCAAAGTTGCTTAAGTATTGTGCCCATCCTAGGGGGACCATGGATTGCGGCCCTGCTAAGCTCAACCCGAATTAAAAATAGCCAATATGATCCCAGTTTGAATTTAGATACGGCCATGTGTGGCGCAAAAGAGGTGGATCCCAGCCGCATCTCGCTGCCAGAACAAGGTCTCGATCCGCGCAATCACTTGTCAGGTCAGCGTCTTCAACAGTTTCTAGCTATGCCAGCAAAAATCCCACAAGCATGTTCTTTCACCAAGGACAAACCAGCCTGTCACAAAGTTGACCCAGAACGATGGCCTAGCTTGCTACGTAAACTCCATGATGCTGACATGATAACTTTCCTTCCTAAAAAGGATGTTTTGGCCGAGGGTAGAAAAAACATAAAGGGGGGTCTGTTTTGCGTGCCTCACAAACCGGAGTCTGACCGGCTCATCAACGAGAGACGCCCACTTAATGCACGCGAAAGGCGCTTGGAATGGTGCCAGCTGCCGGCAGGACCCATGTTGTCACAGTTGATTCTTAGTAAGACTGAGAGTGTTCGTGCTAGCGGCGATGACCTCTCCAAATACTTTTATCTCATCAAACATTTGGATGAGTGGCAACATAGGAACTGTTTTCGCGAGCCAGTAAAGGGCAAGCTAATGCCAGGTCTTGGGCTCAACCCGAACGAATGGTACCTTCCTGCTTTCAAAGTTGTTTGTGTGGGGGACACTAATGGACTTGACTTGGCACAGGCCACCCACGAGGCCATACTAAGGGAAGTTGGTTGCCTGCATCCCTCTCAGACTCTCGTGTATGGAAATGTTCTTCCCAGCTCTAATATTTTGGAGGGTTTGTATATCGATGATCATCTTGCTTTTCAAGTATGGGATAAGAAAACATACCGGGATAGGGGGAAGCAGGAGGACGAAGTAATCACGAGTAAGGCTAGGCAGCACTATCAACACTTAGGGCTTCCAAGGTCTGCCAAGAAAGCGTTCGATAAAGAATACTCGTTCAAAGCTTGGGGCACCAGTGTTGATTCTAATACGGGACAGGTATCCTCACCAATTGAAAAACTGAGGCAGATCGAAGTTTTGACACTCACCCTATTGAAGCATGGCCTTGCCTCCAAAAAGGCGCTGCAAAAGTTGGTTGGCTTGTATGTTCATCCCTTTTTGCACAGACGCGAATGCATGTGTGTTTTCCGCCATGTCTACCAGTATATGGATCACCTACCAGACCAGCATAGGATTCCACAGCACATTAGGGATGAACTTTGACTGCCGCTATTTTGCTGCCACTTGCCCGCTGCAGCGATATGTGGCCAGTTTCGGTGCAAATTGCAGCGACTGATGCAAGCTCGAAACGCGGAGGTCGTGCCTCATGCCTCACTTCAAAGGCCCTTGCAAAGACCCTTTACCGTTTCAGTGAAAAACGTGGGGAATATACCCGAATGGATTGGGATAATCTTAGCATAGACCCCCCGACTAATATGGAGCTTGCGCCAGCTGCGTTAGTGGACACTTTGCTGAAGCACCACTGGGTAACCACCCAGTCCACAGCCTTCTCCAGGAAAGAGCACATCAACTTGTTAGAGTTGGAAATGGTTAAGCAGGAAATAAAAGATAGGGTTAATGGTGGTAGGGGTCATTGCAGGGTTGTCAACCTATGTGACTCAAGAGTTGTGGTAGGGGCATACGCGAAAGGTAGGAGTAGTTCGAAGCAGATGAACCACCGCTCAGATCCTGCCCTCCTTGGTCACTGGCTGGTGACATTTCGTTATTTAACCTTTGGGTAAGCATGGATTGTAACGCAGCGGATCACCCATCACGGGGTAAGCAGATTCCACCACCTAAACCTGCTGTCCTTCCTGACCTTTGTTAGGCTACCAGCTCTTGAAAGGCGTTCAGTCCTTTAGGCCCGTAAGTGTTCAAAATTTTTTGGAACAAGAAACCCAGCGAACTGAAAATGAGGCTGTCGTTAGTGCGCTTGTTGGAGAAGACGTAATCCCTAGCGAGATGTCGGCCAATTCAACCACATTTCAGCCAGCTGTTGAACCAGCTTGCGAACAGTCTGGAGGCCAGCTTCATTTCCGTGAAATCTTTGCTGGACAAGCCAGATTAACACGTGAGCTAAAAAAGCTGGTTAATGTCAGGGCGCTGATCAAGCGGGCCTCAAAATCCAGGGGCCCACAGAAAATCCTAGATGATTCCTTTTTTGAACAATTGAAGCATGAGGCGCAGCAGCCTCGACAGTTGGGGCATTTTGAGCTACCATGTGGGTCATTTTCAATTTTGCAGCACTCTAACGGAGGTACCCGACGGAAAAATAGACTTCAGCATGTGAGTTGGAAGGGGATGAGATACTTCGTAGAACTCTTATCCTTATTGACATTTTGGTTAGTTCGGGGAATTGGTGGACCGTAGAGACCCCGTGCACTTCTTATGCCTGGTTGATGTTGGGAATGCAGAAGCTTGTGAATCTTTCTTCAACCCAAGAAGAGGTTATGCATCAGTGCGCCTATGGCTTGAGGTTAAGAGACCCCACGGGTAAATATAGGCCCTGTAAGAAACACACCAGGATTGTAGGAAACATGCCCGGTCTAAGCCAGCTCAGCCGAACATACCATTGTACGCTGTTGGAGGGGTCAAGACAAGCCGGCTGGAAGCGCAGGTCTGAACTGGCAGGCCACTATACGACAGCCCTGTGTAGTAAGGATGCCACCCTCGCAGCACAGGCTTTACAACTTGCATGACCGCATGGTTTAATTTTTTTAACTGGGATTTTGTATAGTTTGCTTGTAGTTTTTTTAAAAAATGCGGTTGGTCTTTAACTCCTCACTCCTAACCAGTAGGTACCCTAGGTACTCCAGAGAAGCCATGCCGAAGTCGCGACCGGCTTCCCCTGCACCAAAGCACCGAGCACAGCACTCGAGTAGACAAGTGGCCTACCGTTTCAGTCGCTTTTCTCCTGCATACAGAGCTAGGCTCCTGCGCGGGCTTTGTGACCTCCAGGATTTTTGCAGAAGGTTTGCTTGTGCCAGTCTGCGACAGTTGTTGAAACTTCCCAAGCTCGCAGACCACGAGTTTTCTAAGTATGTCATGATGAAATATGAAGATGGTAGGAACAGCACACGTTCTACCGTGAAGCACGCCCTGCTGGGCTGTCAGCACTTAGCGCCACAGTTGAAAGGACAACTTGCAACTGTCTGGGAGAACATGCGAGTTTGGGAGGAACAACGAAAACCCAGACTTAGACCTCCTTTGCCCATCCCAATCTGGGCCTTTATGACTGGACTCAGTCGTGCTCATGCAAAAGTAGCAGCTAATGCGAGGTGTCAGCGGGAGTGGTGCGTTTTTGCGCTAATGTTGGAACTAGGCTTATTATGTTTGTTGCGGCCTGGGGAGCTTTTCAAACTTCGATGGAATGATTTTGCGTTGCCAGGAAGCTTTTCTTGACTCATGCTGCGCTTAGATTTTTTTCTCCCAAGAACAGAAGGCAATTTGGAGATGAACAGTTTGTCACACTACAGAACCCAAACACCATTGAGTGGGTTCGTACTTTGTCGCGGGGCTTTGCAACCGAACTTGTGTGGCAGGGCACCTCTCACAGATTTTCGAAGTTGTTCAAGCAGATCTTAACGGAGTTGGGGGTAGCAGACTGCAAATTTACTCCTGGGAGCCTTAGGCCTGGGGGAGCCACGATGCTTTTTGGTCGTGGCACTAGCGTTTCTACTCTTCGATTTTTTGAGCGTTGGACGGTTGAAAAAAGCTTTGAGCATTACATTCAACAGGCAATGGCAGTTCAGATTCTTAACCGCCTGGATGAATGCACGGTGGCTAGACTATGCAAGTTAGGCCCCAAGTGTCTTGAACATATCCTGCTTCCTGAGTGCTTTCAGTGCCTAGCCTCTTTGCCCAAGTCGAAGCTGAATCACGGCCCTTCACTATTTGCGTGGTGTTCTGCCTATGCAGAGCTTACTTGCCAAGTATGGTAAGTCAGTGGTCAAGAGCGGACCGCTCTGAGCGGTGCCTCATATGAGTCAGTTGCGCCTGAGCGGCTTCAAAAAGCAGCCAACAGATACACTGGTGATGCGGATTTCCAAAAGTTTGCCAGATCCTACGTGCTGTTGGAAGAGTTGCAGGCCGCGGATGAGCCTGCTGCTTGTATCCCAGTTTTGCCCAGCGCGCAAACTCATTCCATGGAAGTGGAGCCAAAGTCGTTGTTGAGACGCTCGACCAACGCATGCTGGAAGTTGTTCGTTTATTGCTTGAAGTACACGTACGTTCGTTTGTTCTTTTTGTTTTTTCTTAAGCTCGGCCTGTTGATTCGACATTCCTTTTCAAAAGCAGTTGGCAGGCTCATGGTCACCACCGTCAGATTGAAACTGCGTCGTGCCATTTCTTTTGTAGTGATGATCTTGGAGGGAAATTTTGATGAGCTTGTTTATCAGCTGGGCTTGTTACTGCATGAATCTCCACCACAAGGATTCTCAATGCCTGAGGGTCCAGCAGAGGCTTTCAACTTGGCGTCGCATCTGATTTCTGGCCTTTTTGGAGCGGGTTTAACAATGCTTTTGAACATGCGGCGAATGCCAGTCCAGCAGTGACACCGCCTTCGGGTTGTTTTCCCGTCACGTTGTTCCTTTCTCCTCCTCCACCCCGCCTCTCTCCTTGTGGTGGTTTTGGGGGTCTGGGGCATATCGATCGATCTTTGCTTGATGATTGTTGTTTGGAGGATGCACTTCACTCGAGCCTTGTCGATTTGTGCCCTTTGGAAGGCCAACGTTAGCCCAGCTTGGCTGAGCACACAAGAACCGCTGTCGCCCCGTTGCACCAGACAAAAGGGCCGAGCGCGGATGCAGTGAATCTGGAGTCATGATCTTTTATGTCTCCATGATGGCCGCAGTCTTCAGGGGCCGCCGCCTCCCCTCCTTCCTCTGTGGCAAATTGATCGATCTTTGCTTGATGATTGTTGTTTGGAGGATGCACTTCATTCGAGCCTTGTCGATTTGTGCCCTTTGGAAAGCCAACGTTAGCTCAGCCTGGCTGAGCACAAGAACCGCTGTTGGCCCGTTGCACCAGAGAAAAGGGCCGAGCGCGGATGCAGTGAATCTGGGGTCATATACATACATCCATACATACATACATACATACATACATAATCATGCATAATCATGCATAATCATATATAATCATACATAATCATACATAATCATACATAATCATACATAATCATACATAATCATACATAATCATACATAATCATACATAATCATACATAATCATACATAAACATACATACATCATACATAATCATACATAATCATACATAATCATACATAATCATACATAATCATACATAATCATACATAATCATACATAATCATACATAATCATACATAATCATACATAATCATACATAATCATACATAATCATACATAATCATACATAATCATACATAATCATACATACATACATACATACATACATACATACATACATACAGACACACACACACATACATGCATGCATGCATGCATACATACATACATACATACACCTATATTAATATACACGTTTATATTATATGGCTTCCCGATACCCCTCCTGAACCAATAATATATGATATATAATTATGTAGATATAATTATATAATATAGAATATGTACTAGTTTCAAGCCTCCGGAATCGTTTCATGGGCTGAAAACACCATCTGTCCAATTCGCAGCCATGGACACCAGCGGCCGGGTGCGCCGGGGCGTGACAGATGACTCAATGAATTCAGAACTTGGAAGAAAACGGTTGCTGGGTGCATTGAGTGATTGGGAAATGTACTGGAAGGGACACCTTACCGGAAACCATGGCTTGTATTTTGTGCCATCATATAGAGGGTTTTCTCATAAGTTTTCCCTTTAACTTAGTCCTGGATTCAGAGAATATCCATGGTGGGTAGTTCCAACCAGCCCTGAGGCTGCGAATACCCGATCACTCAGTATTGTTCATTGTCTCTTCCTGACCTTTCCCCCAACCAGCCCTGAGGCTGCGAGGATCCGCAAAGCCTTTGGAGATCAAAGGCCTGGATGGATCTACCTTTGAGTTCCAGGTTGACGATGATGCAACGGTGGAAAAAGTGTACAAATACATCTTAGAGAAGACTGGGCTAAAAACGGGCAAGAAATTGTTGCTGACTTCGGGCTGCACTATCCTGGATCATTCCAGACCACTCCTGCAGCAAGTGCAGGGTGGAGAAATCAGTTTCATTGTCCAAAGCATCACTTTGAATGACTTTGCAAAAAGCTTTTGGAGCGCCATCGAAGCTGACACCAAAGAAAGTCTGACTGCTGAAGATGTGAACACACTACGTGCAGCTGCAATTGTTTCAATGCACTTGGGCGCAGATTTCCATCAGAGTTTGGCAGATGTCACGTTGCCGAGCAGCCTGCAGACCTTGACCTTTGGTGGGGATTTCAATCAGAGTTTGGCACGGGTCACATTGCCATGCACCCTGCAGACCTTGACCTTTGGTGCGGGGTTCAATCAGAGTTTGGAAGGTGTCACGTTGCCAAGCAGCCTGCAGACCTTGACCTTTGGTTGGTCGTTCAATCAAAGTTTGGCAGGTGTCGCATTGCCAAGCAGCCTGCGGACCTTGACCTTCGGTCGGCTGTTCAATCAGAGTTTGGCAGGTGTCACATTGCCAAGCAGCCTGCAGACCTTGGCCTTTGGTTGGGATTTCAATCAGAGTTTGGCAGGTGTCACGTTGCCAAGCAGCCTGCAGACCTTGACCTTTGGTGGGGAGTTCAATCAGAGTTTGGCAGGATTCACGTTGCCAAGCAGCCTGCAGACCTTGACCTTTGGGGAGGGGTTTGATCAGAGTTTGGCAGGTGTCACGTTGCCAAGCAGCCTGCAGACCTTGACCTTTGGTGGGGAGTTCAATCAGAGTTTGGCAGGTGTCACATTGCCAGGCAGCCTGCAGACCTTGGCCTTTGGTTGGGATTTCAATCAGAGTTTGGCAGGTGTCACATTGCCAAGCAGTCTGCAGACCGTGACCTTCGGTCGGCGGTTCAACCAGAGTTTGGCAGGTGACACGTTGCCAAGCAGCATGCAGACCTTGACCTTCGGTCAGCGGTTCAATCAGAGTTTGGCAGGTGTCACGTTGCCAAGCAGCCTGCAGACTTTGACCTTGACCTTTGGGGATGGGTTTGATCAGAGTTTGGCAGGTGTCACGTTGCCAAGCAGCCTGCAGACCTTGACCTTTGGTGGGGAGTTCAATCAGAGTTTGGCAGGTGTCACGTTGCCAAGCAGCCTGCAGACCTTGACCTTTGGTGGCGGGTTCAATCAGAGTTTGGCAGGTGTCACGTTGCCAAGCAGCCTGCAGACCTTGACCTTTGGTTGGTCGTTCAATCAAAGTTTGGCAGGTGTCGCATTGCCAAGCAGCCTGCAGACCTTGACCTTCGGTGAGCTGTTCAATCAGAGTTTGGCAGGTGTCACGTTGCCAAGCAGCCTGCAGACTTTGACCTTTGGGATTGGGTTTGATCGGAGTTTGGCAGGTGTCACGTTGCCAAACAGCCTGCAGACCTTGACCTTTGATGGGGAGTTCAATCAGAGTTTGGCAGGTGTCACGTTGCCAAGCAGCCTGCAGACTTTGACCCTTGGTTGGGATTTCAATCAGAGTTTGGCAGGTGTCACATTGCCAAGCAGCCTGCAGACCTTGACCTTTGGTGGGGAGTTCAATCAGAGTTTGGCAGGATTCACGTTGCCAAGCAGCCTGCAGACCTTGACCTTCGGTCGGCTGTTCAATCAGAGTTTGGCAGGTGTCACATTGCCAAGCAGCCTGCAGACCTTGACCTTCGGTCGGCGGTTCAATCAGAGTTTGGCAGGTGTCACATTGCCAAGCAGCCTGCAGACCTTGGCCTTGGGTTGGGAGTTCAATCAGAGTTTGGCAGGTGCCACATTGCCAAGCAGTCTGCAGACCTTGACCCTTGGGAAATGGTTTGATCAGAGTTTGGCAGGTGCCACATTGCCAAGCAGTCTGCAGACCTTCACATTGGCAGGCGTCACATTAGTCCAAGCAGTCTGGAAGCCTTGACTACTGGGTGGTTCTTGAATATGCCTTTGGACTCAGGTTTTTGTCGCCGTAGTGTGCGACAAATTTGTTGGCAAGCGGCAGGGTGCATTACTTAGACCTTTTCGAAGACGAAAAACGGGGAGATGGACTGGATAATGCCGAAAACAAACGTTCCAAAAACATTGGGGTACCGTAAACTTTGGGGCGTCCCTGGGATGGTGACCATGTGGTCAGCTGATAACTTTGGTCCTGTTTCCCAGTCACATAAGTTGTGCTGGTCAACTTCAGATGATGAACCCATCCAATGAAAATGATCCGCCGCTGGAAGGTTTACAATGGAAAATCTTCACAAAAACGATGATTTAGGGGCACACGCAGACTTGGAAACTTCCATTGAGTAATATTCGTTCAAAGGAGGGGTTTTACCCCTGGAAATTTCGGATGTGACCAGCACAGATTGGGGCGTCCATCCCTTGGATGGCAAATGTGGTTGGCAACTGATGGGATGCTGAAGGGCTTGACGACTTCACCTGCTTTGAAGTGTGTCACATCCAATTTTTGCTGATTACATCCCAGTAAACCAACATGAGTTTGGAAAAATATTGACAGTGATTCTTTTGAATGGCTAATTCCACTAGAGTTCACCAGAAATTGTCATTTTCGCAATGTTACTGGAGGGAAACTGATGAATCCAAGATCAATTTGACAGGAAACTTTCCTGATTCTCCGTGTGCTGGGAGGATCTCCAGAGTCGACCTAATCCTAGATTTGGATGAAGGGAAATGTACACGAACCAGGCCATATTTGGCGGTAAAAGCCATGGTTTCTCTAGATATTTCCCTTCCAGCTGGACAAACTGCATATCATTTTGTTTTTTTCAACTTAATCCTTGAATTTAATGAAGCTTACAGGAACCAGCCCATATTTTTGGTCATATTTCTACGTTCAAGAGGCAGCTGCACCAAAATTTTATCTAAATCCGCAAACTTTCCCTTTTACCCTAGATCAATTCTCATAGACCCAACAATCCTGATATGTTTTTCCCGTGGATGTTCGTAGATTTTCTATCTTGTTCTGTTGACTCATTTGCCACCGCATCTGTGGCGAACTGTGGCCCTGCGAAGGAAGGGCTGGTGCTATGAGGGGCAGAAATGCCCAAAGGCTCATGGCGAGGAGGAACTGGGACAGCCGCGACAGCCGCTGGCGAAGAAGAGAGGGCGAGATGGAGAGGACGCGGCCAAGATTCATTTGGATTTTTGGGGGAGATTGAAATCCTGGAGGTAGATAGGGTTTAATGGATTTATAAGATGATTTACATTATAACATCTATGTCTATATATAGAGGACATTTGGGGAGATTCATTGATTCATAACAAAAAGAGGATTCAGGCCACATTCAACAGGGAAACTCTCCTCCAGACCCATTTGCGCGGTCCATGTACCGTTTTGGAAATGTGAGACTTAGGGGTGCAACCAGATTGATGTAATTTTCCAATAACTTTCAGTATATCAGCCGAACATGATTGTTGTTTTGGTAAAGGGGTTGGCAATTGTTCTCAACGGTTGGACAAGTTATCAACAAAATTGGAATATTTAGTTATGTCATATGTAGATAAATATAGAATATTATATATATATATATCTCTCTCATTTTTGTCTAATATCTGCCACAGGTTGCGAATGCTAGATTCAAATTACCCAACATCTCCAAAGCTCTCTGAAGAGATTACGTGAGAATCTCAATTTGGATATTGGGAGATCTAGATTGACCTGGATTGATCTAACAGGTTGTATCTATATAAGGGTTTCCATAAATGGTGGTACCCCAAGTTTATAAGGGAAAATCCTATTAAAGTGGATGATTTAGGGGTACCCCCGATTTATGGAAACACCCATATGTATTCCATGAAACATATCATTAATGGTGTCGTGCTAACAGAAGAACGAAACCCTGCTATCATTTGCGGGAATTTCCAAGGAACTAAGATCATACTTTGCCATTTTAAGTCACTGGCTGCGTGAGAAACAGCCTATTTGTTGGTTGATGGTTGGTTCAGGGTTTTTGTGGTGCCCTATATCAATATTGGATAATATTGTATTATCACCGTCCATCCTAGGACATGAAATTGTTCATATGGTATTTTTGGTCATCGCGTGATCTGGCGGCCGATTATCAGACCTGTCCCGACATGTTGAGTGACATTGGGGCAACCAGCGGCCCGACAGCTTCAGTGTTTTTTTCAGTTTATAAAACCAAGAGTTTCAGCATGTTCCAACAACTCGTCACGTTGAGCTCAGCGATTTCCCCTGGGATAATCCTCCAAGTGCCGCAGGATGTGGGACTCACTGCTAAGCGGCTGAAGTCCAACGAGGTCGGGCGCGAAAAAATGGCTCACTGGTTCAATGGTTTATCAATGGGAAAGTCATCACCGGGAAATCCGAAAAATGGAGATTTTAATGGAAGCATCCAGTAGTCTTAAATGTTTGAGTGGAAGACTAATTGTAAATTCCACTAAGTCATAAATTCAGAAATGGAAGTTTAATGGGAAAATCATCAACGGATAGAGGATTTTCCACTTATCATCCATTGCCAGACATTAAACAATCAAAATTGTGGGAATGAACCAACTCAGAAGAATTGCAATGTCGCATAGTTAGCTGGGTCATGCTGGGTCAATTATAGCAACTTTTCCAGTTTAGGGGTTGGGTCGTTGAGATCTGCCCAGGGTTCTGGGATACCCCAGAGTGATAACTCCAGTTCAGAGGGAGGTTCTGGGACAGATTGCCTACTCAAGCTGAGCCAAAGTGAGTGGATTTGTTTGAAGGGGATTTCAGAGGAAACTCACGGTGCTAATTGTCAGAAGATGTCAGATGTTTTTGAGTTTCCAGCATGTTTTTCCATTGTTCCTAGGATCCTAGACTCCTAAGATATGTACTCGAGCTTGCGCTCAAACAAGAACGGACCTGTTGAATCCATGGAGAAAGGCACGTGGAAAACACATAGCAACGCAGCAACGCCTACAGATCCATAGATCCATGAATCTGCATCCCATATGAGCGGCCAAAATCCCATTGATAAGTCAATACAGGGGGTTATGAAATTGGTTTAGGGATTGTGATGTCCATGACCTGGCACCCTATCAGGTCACCGAGAAGTATATTTAATGGTTGCGGACGTATTTGTTTTTAGGCGTTGCAGGACACAGCAGAATACGAAGAGTGGCGAGACGAGAGACTGGATTTGGGCGTTGATCCAGAAGGGCTGAACGCTCAATCACTGGAATTGTGGCAGCTTGGTGCAGATCCTGGGATCCTGATTGATAGGGGCTGGGGTTCTAAATTTCTTAAGGTACGGTAATGTACGGTATAATTATTGGGGACTATCATGGATTATGATGGATTATCAGATTGCATGAAGTGGCAATTCTGGCAATTCTGATTCACCAGCCATGATTTGAGAGGAGTTCAAGCTTGTTTTTGATACTGCTCGGCTGGGGAGCCAAACAAGAAAGCACCATTTTGGGAGGTGATGATCCAATTTTAAGTAGTTGAACCCTGAGCAATTCGCTGGGATTCTTTTGTTTGTTTTTACCGTATCTTCCCAACTCTTCATCTTTCCAAATTTGGTCGATGATCTGGTCGATTGTTTGCACAAAAAAGACAACTACATGGTCTATTTCTAAAGTTCCTTTTCCCTGGTTCCCAGGTGTTTTGTGTTGGGCTATGGCAAAACTGCCATGCCGCCCCCGAGCCCCTGAGGTATGCGCAAATTTGCCTCATCTGCTCCACCCCTATCTCTGGGCTTTCGAACTGGCCGATCCATGCCAATGGCTCAAAGCATATGCCGCTAGCAAGGATATCGGGAGGCCTAAGCACGAATAAACAGAGAATAGATCGCTATTCTTGCCGGCATTTTTTTCGTGGAATTCATTGGGTGCACAGCAAAAATGCAAATTTCAATATTTGGAAAACTGCCATATTTGTTCATATGTGGTCGGTTAAAGCCTTCCGATTCAATTTTCTTCAAGCAAGCGATTGATTCCATGTCAAAAATCGTCAGTGCCCATCTGCGCCTCCAGGTCTGTCCTTGAAATCGTTTGGCACGTTCATCTTTGCTTCAAATCCTGGTGCCTGTTGTATCCTCTTGTGAGTTCCTCCAAGGGCTATTCTTCTCTACTACTTATGGAAACAAACAGTCACAAGGGATTCTTATGACCCATTTGCCCGAACCCTAATATAACCAGCCCCAAAAAGTCAGATGATATATATATATATTATATATATACCAAAACGAAAACCGCTCCGCACGGGAATATCAGAAAGGCTCAATAGCATCATGGAGCCATTTCCATCAGCAGGGCTTGTAAATGTCCCATTTTGATTCCTTTTTTGGGGGGTTAAACCTCACTTGAAAAGTATCTGTTGGAAATTACTCTCTAGTTATTTAACAAAGCTCTGGAAAATCCTCTTTAATCGCAAAACCATGATCAACCACCGAAGTATCATCGAAGTAAATGGGCTCTTCTGGCTTCCATAGCTAACAGTTAAATAGCCAGAGGGTATCTCTCCCTTTTTTTGTTGGCTGATCTTTCCATCAGCTCCGCTCCAAGCTCCGCGCTCAGGTCCAGATATCTCGCGCTAGGTGGCGCAAAGCTGAAAGACGACAAGCATCGACCGGATCCACAGCTCCAGGACGCCCCAGTGGCACCTGGTGGTTCAGTGAGATTTTGCTTGGGTTATCGAAGGAAGTTTAGAAGTCAAACTTCCGACAATATGGACAGATGAAAAGCAGAGCAGGGAAGAGGCAGAGAGAAGAGAAAGATTAGAAGAAAGAAGAGTAAGAAGAAAGAAGATGCAGATGCGTGAAAAGGTAGGAAAGTCGCGAAACACTGTGTTTTTCCAATGATGTGGGGCTCCGGAGGGTCGAAAAGTAGGCTCGCTAAAGCGGCGGGTGCGGAGCCAGCTGGCCAGATGAGAGATGAAGAATTGCACGCCGTTGTGGCGCGAAGCACATTTCGAAGTCAAAATGCACAAAACACACCAGCGTCGGACCACTTTTGGAAGTTGCGATGTCGAAAAAGTGCACGCCGTTGTGGCGCGAAGCATATTTCGAAGTCAAAATGCACAAAACACACCAGCTTCGGACCACTTTTGGCAGTTGAGATGTTGAAAAAGCGCACGCCGTTGTGGCGCGAAGCACATTTCCAAGTCAAAATGCACAAAACACCACATGTTCGCGCCACTTTTGGAGGTTCGGATGTCGAAAAAGTGCACGCCGTTGTGGCGCGAAGCACATTTTGAAGTCAAAATGCACAAAGCACACCAGGTTCGGACCACTTTTGGAAGTTCAGATGTCGAAAAAGTGCACGCCGTTGTGGCGCGAAGCACATTTGGATGTCAAAATGTACAAAGCACACCAGGTTCGGACCACTTTTGGAAGTTCAGATGTCGAAAAACCGCACGCCGTTGTGGCGCGAAGTACATTTGGAAGTCAAAATGTTAAAAACACGAGGGGTTCGGACCACTTTTGGAAGTTCAGATGTCGAAAAAGTGCACGCTGTTGTGGCGCGAAGTACATTTGGAAGTCAAAATGTTAAAAACACTCGGGGTTCGGACCACTTTTGGAGGCTCAGATGTCGTTTCGCGTGGCAGGCTGGAGAACCACACCCCGAACTCTTCACTTCAAAAAGACAATTTATTGATTGTCGCCAGGCTCCGCTACCTGTGCTGCCTCGCTTGAAAACCAAGCTTGGCAGAGGAGGAGTGATTGAATTTCGATACTCCCGCAGCATGTGCGGCCAAAAGATTCAGAGCGGCTGCCATAGAAGTTTGTCAAGGGATCACCGAAGCAAAGTATTTTCGAAGGGTCACAGAATTCAGAGTTTTTGTGGGTCAATGAGTCTTTATATATTCAGGTGCTGGCCTGTTCCTGGACTACCGGTTTTGTGCCATTGTTTGGGTGCCAAATTGAACCAGTCTGAACTCCTGACTCGCAAGACCTTGGTCAGTTGATGTCAGTGGGTTGGAAGATACAAAAAAAGAGGAGAGTGGGGCCATGCCCGCAGAGGGAGAGGAGAGGAGGGAAGAAGAACAATAACAAAATCAAGAAACACGGAAAAAGGAACAAAAAGAAGAAAGACAAACAGATGAAGAAAGGCATCAAGAAAAAGGACGAGCAAAAGGTGAATTAATCACGAGCAAATCACTTGAACTGTAGAAAAGGCTTAAATCACCCAGGTCCTGCATTGACTTGCAAGGACCCTTGGCACCTCTCCTTGAGAGCGTCCTATTTTCTGTATGTACAATTAAATGGGGTTTCAACGGGTTTGCAGATGTTTACGCCAGTGTTTCAAACAAGGACATGAACTTGGACAACCTCATGTTGAGCAGTGTCAAAAGCCCATTGGCTTACGGTTGGTATTGGGGCTCTGTTAATCGAAAAGGGATCAGCCAACAATCTTATTGGAGCAGCTATATGCTGCAAACCGGTAGAACCAGTCTCCAACCAGGCTTTTGACGCTGCTCACATTGTTTGTGGATGTGTTTTTCTTCCGTTTGTCCCCCCAACCTGGACAACGGGTTCAAAATATCGAAAACCTGCATGAGGTCATTTTGAGCAACTTGGGTGCGAAATTTACAGCTCATTATATAAGTAAGAAGTTTATGTTTTGATGTGTTCACTCAAGTAGTCTGATTCAATGAAGTATTGGTGGGTACATTCGTTCCTCCTCCTATACATATGGTTTTCCTATGGACTGGGGGGAAAAGGTCGCTGACACGATGGGTATAAAATGGTATAATTACAGCATTTCTGGGCAAACCCGTGATTCTGTGCTTTATTTTTGGCAAAATGGAATGCTAGGTGAAAATTTCTTCAAAGGGTACTTCCCAAGCATACGTACAGTTGTTCCCCCTTATTCGTGCAGGACGCGCAGCCAATTCCAATCCAAATGAGTCCCTTGACGCAAATCAAGACCTTGTTTGTTCAGAAGTACCCTCCGGTAATTAATCAAGACTGGCAATGGGAAACCCTCCGTTTATAGATGATTTTGCCATTAAACCTCCATTCATTGGTGTTTTCCGACCAGCCACGTTTGATTACCAGAGGGTACACATTTTAAGACCAACGGAAGTGCAATTGACAGTTCAAAAATTGACGTTCTTGCCTCTGAACATCTTACAAGATGATTTATAAATGGTGAGGCCTTACGCAGTTTTCTTTCCATAGGATTGCCACCTCCAAAATGACAGGGATATAGCAAATGTATATATGTTTGATGCTTATGCTGTATTCACAGGTTGTATATGCAAGTATACACATGCGAAGCTGCTATTGTTTTTTCCCTTGACACTTTTCGCCCACTGTTTTTGAGTTGTTCACGTTGATGGCTTGGACCTAGGCATGTATGTGCAGAAACAGTTGGGCCTGGCAAGCCAAGGTGGACTGGCTGTGGAATGATGGGAAAAGGATTGGGGTAACTGTCAATGGTTTTATTTGGTTCTTGAAATAGGGGTACCCCCAAATCATCCATTGAAGAATCTCATTTTCCATTATAAACCATCCATTTATGGAAACACCCATTTGGTTTCATGTCAGGTTGGTGAATTATTACGGTTCAGAGAGTTGGGATCTGCCCAGTGAGGGATCCCTTGAGTGAAGTATGAAACAGCTGGTCGCCTCCGGAGGAAGCGGCTTTTTGAGCTTACATAGTTAGAGTAATGGGACAGCCCTTCCAACATTCTACGATATCCTAACTCTATAGGATTGAAACTAAGCCTGTAATGTGGCTAAAACAATAATAAACCATCCCCAAGTCATCACCATACATGGGTGGTGTAAGAGGCTTAATCCACATTAGTATCTTATTGAATCTTTTAGCATCCAATAGATAGCTTAACTGTGACCACGACCGATACTCCTCGCGATATCACCTGTCTGAAGATCGAAAAACTCATCTCTCGATGTTGTGTTCCAATGCAAAGATGTATTTTTCTTGGTGGTAAATTTGCTAATTTGCAACATTAACATAACATAATAATATAGTTGGATCTGTTTGTTTAATGATTTTCGTAGTGATCCTATATTTAGATACTATAACTATATCCTATGATTTAATGTATTGTGTGATATCCCCAATGTCATTGAATAGTCTAAGATATTACATATGAAGAATAAATACATATTAATACCAGTGACTATCATCAATTACAATGAAATGGTGTGTAAGAATCTAGATATCTTAAAGATGTTGAATAATCATCATGAACTGGTTACTATGCTAATTGATCGAATGATAGGTTTTGCAATGGAATCTTATATGCTGATTTAATTGTTTATGATAGTTTATAGTTTCCCATGGATCCTTTATCCTCTAAAAACGGAAAATGAACATAAGTTGGAATCCCATATTTTTTGTATAACTCCCTGTTGATTGTCCACCAACTTCTCCAACAAATGCCACAAATGTCCAATGTTTATATTTGTTGACCAATTTGCTCCCATGATTTCCCATGTTAAAACAGTTGTTTTACCCAGTTTCTTCGGCAAATGTGCCTATCTTGGCGATCCAAAGTAAGGTTAAAACATGTTTTCCAAGTTTTTTCCCAGGTGTTGCATCGGTTTTTCTGCATTGTTTTCACCACCAGGTTCAGTTGACGTGGATGACATCGATGTGGCGAAGCCAGGGATGGCGGAGTCGCTTGGGCCGTTGATTGGGGATTGGACCATCCATTGTATTTACCCTCTGGTAAACATACAAAAAACTATGGAAAATCACCATTTTTAATGGGTAAATCAGCTATTTCTATGGCCATGTTCAATAGCTATGTTAGTTTACCAGAGGGTGTGTTACTTTAGGTTCATATCACCATCCAATATGATTGGGGTTTCTAATAGTTTCTATGCGTATGTTCTTATGAAATTTGATGGGGTTGAAACACTCAAGTCTTCACGTAATTTCATAGATGTTAACATATTTTCTATTTTCAACCCTATTTAGGATGATGGTTCCCGTTGGCTATAATTTTTCAGTGGGGTTGAACCCAATCAGTAGTGGTTGTGTTATGATTTTTGTCGAGCGAAAGCATGTTAAAACACCTGTCACACCTTTTTGACTATGAAAAATATGAGGATATGATTGATACATGAGGGTTGATTGGGTATGAAATGCGGGTTTTACTATACTTGATTTATTGGGATAATGATAACCCATCATCAACGGTGTACTTATTAGCCAACCAGTATATATATAACTATATACATATACAATTATATATAGTGGGATGGGATAGGGATGTTTGACATGGCTCCCCTGATATGGTGGTGTCCCTAAACATTAGCTAATTGTTGGGTTTCTGGTGGTAATGGCTATACGTACTCAGGTTGGTGATAGGCCAACGTATAACTAGGCCAACTAGGGGTTACCACCTTGTATAACCCATCTATTGCGTTTTGCCTTTAGCCATATTCATAGCCCATCACAACTGGTGAGGATTTACTGTAGTCAATACAATCAACGGCTGAATTTCAATTTGTTGGTGGTTGAATCTCCATGTTTGTTGGTTATACCCTCTGGTAATTTAACATAGCTACTGTATTGATTTTATACACCATGTAGTTCGTTGATTTACCTATTCAAAATGGTGGATTTTCTATAGCAAACTCTTAGTTTACAAGAGGGTATCATGTTATCCCATGTTTGCTGGTCAAAAATCCCCATTTTGTTAGCAGCCCAGCAGCCCGGTTGGCCTGAACGTTTTCCATCAAACATGGCCATTTTGGGCGACCGCATGCGACCGCATTTTTGGACCATAAGCCATATGGATCCATATGGATGTTATTTGTTATCTATCTACTACTGATTGCTGATTTGATATTGACTTCATATCGGCTTCACAATAGTGCTGAGTTTGTCTTTGACTATAGGTTTACCATCAGAATTATTGGGGTTTCCGAACTGGGAAGCCCAATGAAGCTATATTCATACAGATTTGAAGACGAACATTGAAAACTAAAATCTTTTTGGTGGTTGATTCTACTTGTTTGCTGGTTACATCCCCATTTTGCGTTGGTTACATCCCACTTTGATTTGTCTTTATATCATCTTCCCCCTTGCTTTGCTGTGAAAACCAGGCTGCTGACCCCGATATCATCCCCAGATCCCGCTCAGGTTTTTAAGCGTCGCTGGCTTTGATGGTGGAATGGTTCTCTCCATCGGTGAGCAGGCATCAATGACGCGACGTCGTTGACAGAAACCAAGTTGCGTAGCATCGCTATGGAGAATCACCATTTTCACTAGGATCATCATAAATCATCTGTGAATGGGCCATGGCTTCCATAGCTGCGTTAAATAACCAAAGGGTATCTTAGAATGCTACAAAGAAAGCCTTGAAACGAGAGAGAAGTTGGCTTGGTTTCTCCATGTTTCACCCATTCTGCTTGTAGATAAATCCAGCATAAACACCAGCTAGCTTGACCATAAACCAACTTGCTGTAGCTAGTCTATACCGGTCACCGGTCACTCATTTGGCAAATCACATCTAGTTCAATGTGGCCCCCCCAGTTATGTTCGTTGGTTTATTAAAACCCCTATAAACCCCATGAATACCATAGGTATACTATAGGTATAAAATGTTATTAGTATCACAAACCATAGAGTTCAACGTTCACCAACTTAGCGATTTCGTAAACGCTCGTGCTGCGCTGTGTTTTTCGAATAGCTACATGTGGGCCCCGACTTGATGCTAGATTCCCCCATTTTCAGACACCCTTCTGGGACCCAGAATCTATTGTCTTGAATCCCTATGTTTCGATGGTCCCCATTTTGAACGCTAATTGTATGTATATATACGTGTATATATATATATAATCCCCCGCCAATGCACCTTTATAGAATGAGCTTGTGGTCGTTTATGGAATGCAGTTTTGGGTATCATTCTATAAACCCAGATTTGGGGGGAATCGATCGGACCGGCTGGAACAAGCAAGTACATGAACCTTCCCTACTCATTCTATAAAAACAAGGTTTTGCAACCCTTTAACTCATTCCATAAAAACCAAAATGCTTCAATAAATGGATGTTAAATGGAAGTTAAGCATCCTGGTAGATGCATTCCATAAATCTCATGGAGTGTCATGTTCGATTCAAGTAACAGACTTGTTTCGAAATGTTTGGACCAAACACGCATTTACAATAGCATTCTATAAACCGACATGTCCTGCTGGCTTTCCTCCTGCTGAAATTCTTTTCCGCAGGGTGTCTCTTGTCGAGCCCTGGACAGATCTGAATGGACCTCTTGCTGTAAGCTTCGGCATTGTGAAAAGTGCGCAAATTGGAAGTAAATGGGGGCCTGATGCACAAATTCCTGCGTTGTCAGCTTTACCTTGCCTGGCACTGTACATTCATTGGTCGCTGGATCAAAAATTGGCACAGTGGAAAAGACCATCCGATCCAAGTCACAAGCTTTCTGCACCACTGTGCGAATGGCTTGTCGTCCTTTGTCATTCCTGGGGATGTGCTCTGGATACACCTGCTCCTGAGGCAGGCCAACCAATGAATTTGTGGGTTTATGCAATGAATGTTGCAGGTTAAAATGCCAATATTGGATTTGGTCAAACCAATGCTCATTCCATAATCACCAAATGAATATCAGGTGGTCCGTGGAATGGAAAAAAAACAAGCGTTTATGAAATGAATTAAGATGATAGCATTGTTCAAACTAATGCCAAACATAACACTTCAAAACCATTCCATAAACACATGGTTTGCTGTATCTCAACGAACGCTTGTACAACAGTCTCCAACCGTCTTACTACCATACGTAGGTTTATAAAATGAACTCTGCAACATTAAACCTCTTTTCTCTTGCTTTTTTCATGACATTCACCACCACCATGCATTCTATAAACATCTGTCCCTGTTGGCAAATCACCAAGTTTCCATCAGATCAGAAGCTTCACCTGGATTCTGGTGTTTTTTCATAGATCTCAAAGCAGTGCCGCGTAGTCAGCGATGCGCCGCCTTGAAGCCTGTTCCCTTGCCTTTCTTGGGTTTCTTCTTCTGGCTCTTCTCACCATCTGCCTTGTCTTCTTCACACTCCCCTTATCCTTTCAAATGGTGGAATGCACCCACAGATCGCTCTGTCATCATAATGTGCCCTTGCTCCATGCTGGAATCCTCAACATCCAAAACCGCTACCACCTGCGAAGACAGGTACCTCCACATGTGGTGAGATGGGAGAGATGAAAAGGATGTTGGAAAGAGAGTGATGTGATCATGATACTGACGGATGGATTTATGTACGTAGTACTTGGACACATTATTATATATATACATACATACAGGCAAAGCGTGTTCAACAACCTCAACCTGGAAAACGACGTCAGACTATTTTCTTTTTTTTCACAACCTCACTTAATTTCCTTTTTGAATTATTGAAAATAAGGTACGGCCCAATAAATAGCTTAAATTGGTCAGATCATTTGACATCATTTGAAATCTATATTTTTGGGATATCATCATCCAAATCTAGGCATTCTATAAATGGAAAGTGCTTGATTTTTGTTACTTGTTGACACTAGGCTGATGCATTCTATAAAAAAAAATGTTTTTTTTACTTGTAACTAGTCAACTCATTCTATAAAACTACTTTTTGGGTTTTTTATCCATCGAAATCTCAGATCCTTAAACTTGCCGGACCATTCCATAAATATGCCTCAGATTCATTCTATAAACAAAAACACCCTCAGAATCATTCTATAAACCAGATTTTTTATAGAATGCAGTCAGCCACAGTCTAGGGCACATTCACGGGGGATTTATATATATATATAAATATTAAAAAATGTCCCGTGATCACCAATTTGTGTTCTGCTCTAAGTTAGCGTAGTAGTTGGACAAGACCAACAGGGGGTGGCAAACCCGGTCTTGTCGATGGCCAGAAGATGTCCAACTGTTACACTTGTTACATAGATGTATACAGCATATGAAACCCATTTTTCTTGGTGATCTGCCTGTATCCAAAAATCATCCCCCAACAAGCCCCTGGGAGGATTTCAGCTTCTCGCGGAGCATCGTGCCTGGGATATCAGAGTATCCCCATCTACAAGCAGGAGAGTCTCCTTCCTTCCAAAGTCGCCAGATGAGCAGCCATGAATTTGGGGTTGATGAATCCTGGGTCAACCTTATAGACCATGAAATTTCTCCTAGACAATTAAGATGGCGAATGCGCATCTTAGAGTATCACTGGTATCATATGTTTTGGGCACACCCATATACATGAAAGCCCACTATCCGTTGGTGAAATCTTTTTTTGTGTGCTGCTAAATCACAAATTTGGCAGGTAAAATCCTTTCAATATCCAATTTTTTGTATATCCGAAATGATCTGTTGGTTAAATTCGAAGGAATCCCGGAAATCAATTCCCATCTCGAGGCGAAAGTGCAACACAGTGCTGGTTTATCCACGCAACTTGTTGACACTTGGCTTTCGCAGCACAAGTTTCAAAAATCTAGGAATTAAGGAACCAAAATTGGGCGTTAAACATGAAAAATAGGGATTTGTCTTATTGTATTGGTCAGTTTAATCCAAAGATACCGGCACAATGCGGATATAACACTTACATATCTCTCATCAGATATAGCAGGATTTAACCATCAAGATGATATTTAGGGGCGTCCAAAATTCGCAAAAATGGTGGATGGACACCTTTTTATGGCAAGTTTAGTGGGGATACGCTGCTTTAACCAGGGGGTTTGGGCATTCCCAGATTCCGTTGGTCAAACTACAAAGCACTTTGCAGTTGGTTGGTATGGCTCGCTTGACAGCATTTTTTTGTCGATTGGATTCTTTTTGGCGGTCAAAATATGTCAGACTCCCATATGGTTCATGTGACCAAGTATTATTTGGTCATATTTTAGTATTCAATACTTGGAAAAGTATTCAAAAAAAATCCACCACTCAATTTTGGAGTGTCCAAGTGTCAAAAACAACTCGTCCATCGAAGACCTCAGGCCACATCATATCTTGCAGAACATGATCCAACAGAGCCGGAGGTCCATGTTGCAGATGACGGGGAGAGAGCTCAATATACCAGGCGCCACAGCAATGCTTTTCTTTTCTGGAATGATGGTCATTGTCATTTAATACATATTATAGGATTTTGCAGAGGGCCTCACAAAATTGTAGTCAGAGGTTTGGATTTCACCTGCTTTTGAACTCACTTGGGTTGCATATCTTGTTGGGATTTCGCTGATTCTCATGGGGTCACCACGGGTCACAGTTCACTTGCCCCTGAAGGAAGAGTTTGCCCTCCATGGGTGGTGCCCTCTTCAAAAATCTTGCGGCGATCCAGGAATTGGGAGGAATCCTGGCCAAAGGTCGATGCCAAAGATGGCCCTGGCTGAAGAATCAATAAAAATCATGAACGGCACTTAAATTAATTGTGAAGAATCTGTGAAGTGTATTCAATAGGGAAGAACTTGCGGGAAACATGGCACATTCTTCAACTGAGAAGATGATAATTGCCAAAATATTTTTCCTTGCAGGCTGAATTATTCAGGGTCTGCCAACTTCGGTAGGTGGAATCATAAGTATACCCAGTTGAGTACTCCCTTATTTCCTTGTGAAGCCCGATTTGTATCATCAATTTTGTGAGCAACAATTCAGAAATGTGTGATTGTTTTTCTATGTTTTTCTCATTCTTACTTATTATTGTCATCATTGTCGCTTTTACTATCATTACTCTTCCTATTATTCTCATGATTGTTATTACTGGAATTTCTATTATCATTCCTCCCGTCTTTTTCAGTCGATCCCCATGTTATGTGCAATACGTTTTCACCATGCCAATATTAGTTTGGGGATTGTTCCAGCTCAAAACTTCAGTTTTTTACCGATTTCCCTTGGCGATGACTTTCCCATTGAACACCCTGAAGCACACTGAAAAAGAGGTGTTGATAGACAAACACACCATTTTTGGGTGAATTTTCCCATTGATAACCACATTAATCCCATGATCAGTATCATGACCGCAACCCTTTCCCCAAGATGTTATTATCAAAAAGTGGCATTTCCCATGGGATACACATTAAAAGTCGCTATTGATTATCCACATTTCATCACATTTCCCTCGTTTTGATTATCATGGCATTTCCCATGGATCAATATGTGGGCCTCGTGGCTGAGGGATCTGTCTCCACAGCGTGGACGCCACGGACCTGAACTCCTTGGTGTCACAGGGCGTGGATGGTGCCTTCGATGTGGTGGTCTTCGCCTTTCCCCGGGCATCGCTGAAACGAAGCGTGGAACCCAGGAACCTTGGGAGACATGTCTATGAGATGTCTGTGAGTTTTTTACCTACATCATACCTATATAATCCTCTTATATACACACAACTCTCTGGTAATTTGCTACGTAGCTATTGAAAATCACCTTGATTAAAAAGTTTATTATCATAAATCCTCCATACATGGCTATGTTGGATAACAAGAAGGTAAGACAGGTTAGTATATGAACAGTATATGTCTATGACATTTATATATTATATACTTATTTATATTTCACTTATGTTTTCATAGAAAGATCGAAAAACAAAGCAAGGAAAAAACTTCTTGGAAGGGCATGCATAATATCTCACAATTAGTAATATATATATATAATGTATATATATAATATACATTGTGCATGTCATTACCTACATAGTTATGCATATACTTTGATATTTCGTGTACCAATCATTTAGATGTGCGCACATGAATGTTGGTAAGAAGCTAGTGTATATATATATATGTACATAAATGTAAGGGATCTCTAAATCATGCTATATCATGGTAATCTACTATTTGATAGTATAACATACTGTATGTCATATGTATAAGATGGACTAAAAGGTGACGATAAGTGGTTTATGATCTGTATTGCATGCTTTGTGGTCAAGAAAGGTAACAGTTTTTTCAGTGATCTAACGTGAGTGGATCAGCAATTTTCATGATCAACTCGGGTTGATCCTTCACAATACTTGAATAAGATGCCAATAGTGATATCATGTGATACACCCTTTGGTAAACATACAAAAAACCATTGAAAACCACCATTGTTTATGGGTAAAGCAACTATATATTTCTATGGCCATTTTCAATAGCAAACTGTTAGTTTACGAAAGGGTATTGACACTGAGAATGAATGGTTTCAGTGCATAATTGGATGATCAACTCAAGGAGCCATGACAGCTTCCTTTGAGGGACATCCATCCCCCCCTTAGATATTGTAGTATAATGGGTTTTACCACATGTTTTACTCCACATTTTTTCAGTGAGGCTCATGAATCACTTGGTTGTACCTCGCTGCTTGCAGGAACTCTTTGCTGATCCGAAAGTTCTTCCGCAGCGTGCTGGAAGCAGGCGAGGCCGACCTAGCAGACCTGGCATGAACATAGCTGACATAGTTCGAAAAGCTCAGGGGGTATTGGCCATGGTAGAGTACTTTCCGATGTTTTTTTCATGGCCCATCCTTTCCGGTGGTGATATGGTGTACTGTACCTTTTACAACTTTCATTGACTTTCATCAGTCGATTTTTTTCAACACAAAGCATTCCCAGGTCCCAGAGGATCAGATGAAATCATCCCACTGGGGCGTTTTACGGGATGATGATCCTGAGGTGGATGATTATCAGATGTCAGGGTACAAATCCCAAGAATGATCAATTAGATATCAGCATTAAACCCATGATTAGATGTTGATTACCCTAAGGGGAATCATTAGATGTCAGAATTGTCAGAGGCGGATGATCAGATTCTCAGATTATCATCTCAATCCCCCAAGGTATCTCAACATGATCATTCCCAATTCCCTTGTTCCCACTGTGATATAACTATCATTCCCAATCCCAAATGATCAGATCAGATGACTATCAGATCATCACCCACTCTGGTCATTCAAGGTGGTTGCCCCTGTTTGGAATCGCTAAGTTGGTGGACACAACTCCAATATATCACGGTTTATTATACATGAACAATACTGAAGTTCATGCGGTTTGTAACCAACTGATAGCAAAAAAATATGGTGTTTATGAATGTTTATGTTTATGATACATATATTGACTATTATATTGACATATACCCATCGTTAATGGAGGTTTTTCATCAACAAACTTAAACTCTTCACCGGGCGTCCGTGGCACGGTCCGTTGAGGTCTCTTGGCCCCGCTGGGCCGTGTGGAGCTGCTGATGTTGGGCATGCAGTACGCGGAATGGGACGTGGCGTGTATGGCACAAGAGGAAGGCGGGCGAAGGGACGGCCAAAAGTTGGGCAAAGAAGGCGCCAAAAAGTGTTGAAGGAGTTTTGTTGGGGTATGCTTTGGAGAGTCTAAATTATGTCATTCTAGAGTTAAGTGATGATTTGTGATTCGTTTGGGGGTCACCAAGATTTTTGTATTTGTCATGTTTGGAGTTTTTAGTGTGATTCTCAGCCAACCAGGCTGGGATGGCTCTGGCAAATCATCGAAATTTCACTGGGCCAGCTATACCATAGTAAAGTGCAACAAATTACCAGATATTACCAGTATACGATAAATACCATCCTCAACACAGACAGTACATATTTCCCACACCAGTTGTAGTGTGCCCAGCTGATGATGATGATGATGATGTTGATGATGATGATGATGACGATGACGATGACGATGATGATGATGATGATGATGATCATGATCATGATGATGATGATGAGGATGAGGATGATCATGATGATGATGAGGATGATGATGATGATGAGGATGACGATGACGATGACGATGACGATGATGATGATGATGATGATGATGGTCACGATGATGATGATGGTGGTGGGGGTGGGGGTGGGGGGTGACGGTGACTTTGATGCTGATGCTGATGATGATGATGATGATGATGATGATTTTGGTAGTTGTGGTCATGCTTGTGTTTGGCTGGGGACCCTGGATGAAAAAGCCTTGAAACTTACATCGCACCAGATGCAAAGCAGAACCAGAAGGGCCAAAAGGCGGCTGACATATGCTGAAATGATATGGCTGTGTTTGTCCCAAAAGTACACTCCCAATCTCTCCCAATCTACCGCAGCTGAGCACATATTTAAACATAATAGAACGTAATAGAACCATATTCAATACAAATCAAATCGCTTGATCCCAAGTGTGCTTGAGGATCCTCGCCCTTGGTACCCAAAATCTGTCGGAGGTTTTGAGCTCTTTGAATATGCCAAACTTCCCAATGGCTTCTACCAAAGCAGGGAGATGACCGGTAAGGCATGGGGGGGGCCGAAACTCGTTTGAAGAAATGCAGCATATGTGAGCACTGTTCAAAACCACTGTTGGTTGATGATTGTATGGGATTATAATAAGTGGTTTTGTAGGGGTGTCATTATCATATATATATATCTGCAACCCCCCAAGACCTACATTTTGTGTAGCATATATGTTCCTGAATGCCATGTCTTCCTTCTTATCTTATCACCTATTGTAGCACTGCATCAGGAAAGTATCTTGGGCGCATGCGCCTGTACACATCCTTCCCACATATGTAGCTGCAGCATAGCACTGCAACAGAAATATTTGACGTATCTATTTCATTGTATTTAACGTTTTTTTTGTTTTCAGGTGTTTTAATATATTAACACGAATTCAATATCTATGATCTGATTCTTGCAAGTCTGCTTTTTCACTATGTTCTTCAAGATTTGGTATTTTCACATAATCTTTACGATTTGCAGCCATATGATTAGGGGAATAGATGGATTGACATTTTGTTAACTGTTTTTACAACAGGGTATAGTCTTTTTTGTTCTTGTGGATCTACGTTATTTCCATTAGCTTTTTCTTCAGCATCTACAATCTTTTTTTGTAGAACAGTTGATATTTTTTCGCTGTAATAATTCATTTTTAAAATCTGTATAATGTAGATGATCTTGTAATTTCATTGCTTTAAATCCAGGAGTGCTTGGGTTAGATATTTTTTGTTGATCATAAATGATTTTGATGATAATAAATGAATAAGTAAAAGCAAAAAACTAGATCAGTTTTTAATATATTTGTCATATTTTAAATTGCCTTACTTTTTTATAGTTCTTAATTTTGTGATATTTTTGAAGGTATTATAGGAGTTTCTAGCATTGGGTGAATATGTATTTTTACTTCGAAAGATTCTTATTTGTTCTTTTAGCTCTGAGGATCTAGTTTTAGGTTAATCATGTTTTATCTTGAATCTGTTTTTTCAGATTGATTCGTTTGTATTTTTGAATGATGATATTATACCGTTTTGTGATGTGAACTTTGATAGCATTTCATGGTTTTTACAGTAGTCTATTACCTTCTTTCTAAACATAAATTGCGGCCATGTTTTTTTAAGAAAGTTTTCTTTGCCGATCTATCTGCAACCCTTTCGAATACATTTTGTTGGGAAGGTTTTGGTTGATCTGCAGATAGAGAAGTATTGCTATCGGATGAGCTCATGCTTGTTTACTCCTTATTGTTTATTCTTTCTTCTTGTTTGCCAAAGCAATTACTGTTTAAGATTGCAGGAGGTTCTTTTTCAATTTATTTTCTTTTTTTTGATGAATCTAATTACCTTTATTGCATTGATTTTTCTGTGTTTCGTTATTTTTGTCAAAGTTGATTGATTTGCTTGGAAAGCAAAGAACAAATAATGGCTTTAGAATTTTCTTTTACAGGATAAGCACGTTTATTTGAGGAATGTCCTTCGCAGACAGGCCGGCCGGTCATTTGCAAGAAATTGCAAGAAACGGCAATTTCTGGTGACTCTAAGTATTGGACTCAAGATTCAAGATTCAAGGCTCAGATGTTTTTTCAATCCAACCTCTTTGGATTCAAGATTCAAGGCTGAAGGCCTTCGGATTCAAGAAGAATTTTGGGGATCTTGAATCTTGAATCTTGAATTCGATGTGCTTAGGGAAGGGCGGGATGGGAACAAACTTGCAACTTTTTGCAATTTTTGATCACCAAAAAACGCTCCAAGTTTTAGAGTTCAAAATGTTAAGAAAAACACTGTAAATACCACTAAATTTGTTTGAAAGGCAGATCTTGGCAGGGTACCATATATACATATATATATCAAATTGTATCAAACACCATCATTATTCAGTTATATCACTTATCATATGATTATGCGGGAATTTATAGAGGTCAAACCGCAATGAACATAAGTGGATATACATCTATATATATGTATATATATATGTATATATATATATGCATGTATGTATGTATCTAACTGCTAAACCATATTTGGTTGATGATTGGCTCAGGGATTATACTACCCAATATATTAGAGATTGTTTTTATCCATTCATGAGAATCTTGTTCTGAACCAGGCAGTATCAAGGGATACAGAGGGTTTTGAACACACGGATCTTACATTTTCACCCAAACCCCCGGCCAGTCCCAAATTTTCAGTAGTCAATCTACTCTCAGTTCACACTTCTGCAGAAGACATGCGGACAGGAAAGATCCCAATAGCAAATCCATCGTTTCCAGGACCGTTCTAATCCAATGCAATTTTTCTGCAGTTTTCGCCATTTGACATCTGAACTTTGAGGCGTGGACACCGCAGAACGGCATGCTCTACACGTTCTGCCTTCGCACATAGCGTCGAAAAAAAGACAGCGGATTCAGCAGATTCACCTGGGTGAGCCCACCTGGAGCCCTTGAACCACTTCCACCGTTTGCCAATTGGGGAACTTTCCAGGCTTTCTACCCTCTGGTACTTTGTTCCATATGGAAAGTCACCATGTTTAATAGGTAAACCATAGATGGGCCATTGTCCCGATGTTAGATTAACGAAGGGTAACTTTGCCCATACTTGGGACGCCTCTTGATGCCGTCTTTTGGGATTTGAACTTTCAATTGCTGGAGATGCTGGAGACTACCCCCACGTATAAATGTTTAAACAGAATTTGTGGCCGTCCCTGTCTTGGATTGAAATCAATCAACTGCATCTGGCAATTGGCCTGGCCGAAGAGGACGCCATTTTCCCCTATTGCTTGAATTTCTATTTTCGCTGGTGAAATGATTTTGAATATTCTAATAACATGGGTTTGTCTGAAAATATGTTACCCCCAAATCCAATGGTTTAAACCTTCGTTTTCCCATGAAAATTGCCATAGATTGGGGCGGTAAATCCAGCATTTCTGGTGAAACCCAACTGTTTTTAGGTGGCTTTGAACAAGATCGCTATCTGCACCCAGATTGAGAAGGTGCCGCGCAGGGACTTGAAAACATAGCTCCGTTGTGGGCCCGCGTGGCGGTGTCCTCAAACGTGGCTGGGAAATCCCGAACCATGGAGGTTTAGTTCGCTGGGGAAGTCATCGAACTATGGCTGGGGGATGTGAAACAGCAAACCATGTTTGATGAATGGAGGGTATACTGGTAACACATGGAAAATCATCATTTAAAATAGGTAAGGCAAGCTGCTTCAGTGACTTCAACACCCAGGTTTTCCGGGCCCTCGGATAAGTCATGGACACGCATGGAACTTTTCATGGGCCATGCCATGGCTCACAAAGTGTGAAACTGCCAGATGTTCCATCATTTTCCATTGCTAGGTACTGGAGGGTATATACATATTTTTTTACATATATATATATATACACTGCATATATATATATATTAATGTATGTCATGTCATGTCATGTCATGTCATGTCATGTCATGTCATGTCATGTCATGTCATGTCATGTCATGTCATGTCATGTCATGTCATGTGTGTATGTATGTGTATGTGTATATATATATATATGTGCATCTGCATATATGGTTCCCTACCAGATGATATCACTGTTCATCATTTTTCGGGTCATCCAGCCCTCAACCAGCTGGTAGGAACGCCTGGAAGCTGGTCTGGTTGACAAGAACAAGTGCTTTCCCCAGCGAGACACGGAATTTCACAGGTGGATTTCATGACAGTGCCATGGTCAAGACATGGAAAAATCTATGAAAGGTATGGTCATCCATCTCAGAATGGGAACCCAAACATATTGTATGTAATGTAACGTAACATAACGTAATGTAATGTAATGTAATGTATGTATGTATAATATATATAATACAATAAATAGACGCATACATACACATCACATATATCACATATATATATATACATATATCATATATATATATATCTCCATCCCTTTGAGAATGGATTGATGACCATGCCCCATTATGGGTTTGTAATCCGACTTTTGACCACAGCACCAATATGAATATGGGTTCAACATGGAGTAGCATCGAAACCACAGGTAGCGGCAGAGACATGAGCAGTGGCTTCGATCTAAATAGCCCTGTTGGTTGATGATTATTATAGTCATTTAATACATAGGGATATAAGTCGATAGGACTGGTAAATGGTGGTTGGTTTATGATTATAGATTTTTATAAGGTTATGACCAAGAAATTGGAAAATATCACAACCTATTATTGGAATCTTTAGTTGCAAACAAGTATATCGGCCATGCCATGATTTCAAGATCTAAATTTTACCAGCCAAGATTCCTAATGCCAGCGAATCCATCGAATGATGCCGAATGGCTGAGTTCAGCTGCGAATTGCCAAGGCCAAAAATCGCTTGCTACAAGAAGGTCTTTGCCAATGTGAAAGAGCTCCAGCATGAGTTGAAGGAGCGTTATTGGGGGTAAGTTCTGCAGGTGAAGATCGACAGTGGTTTGCACGTGAAATGAAATCAAGGAAACAAATGATAGACTTTCCTTTTCCTCATCAAGAATTGATGCTGTGGCGTCTGAAATTTCTTGTACCCCTAAAGTCATTGGGCATTTCAATCATGTTCCCCTTTTTTCCCCATTAAAAGATAGCCGTTTTTTATCGTTTTTTGGGGCATACACCATTTTCACACCCATGTCTCGTCGTGTTGTGGGTTCATCGGAGCTCTGGCATGATGACCTTTCCAGGACCTTGAAGTAAGCGGAACGGCCAACCGGTCTCGGGTCCCAGCCACCGTTCACCGGTCTCGGGTGCAGGTAACGGGGATGTCGCCAGAAAAAGAGTGGGAGTTGTTCTTTTAAATAGGGTATGTTTGACAAACTAGATTCTAGATATGAGAACATATTGTATAATTTTGGATTACAACCAGCAGGTGCGAATCTGCAAGGCGTAAAAGGATTATTCATGCCAGTGATTCCACGTGTATTGGATATTATCACATGCAAAATTTCGGATTTGCCCTTAGATTTAATTTGCTCTACATATATATATACATAATTATATAAAAATACATGTTCTGGATAGAATCTACTTCACTGCGACGTCGATGGCTAGGATTGGGTAGCCCTCCAGAAATTACCTCACAGATATGTCAGATTGGTGAATTCTCATAGTTTGTCTAGGTATATACACATATATATGATGTGTATACATATATAATGTGTCCGATACAAAGTGTGAAATGTCTCAACAGTTCCAGGTACACCCCAGGTCCCCCAAGTTCCACTTTCCCAGGTCCCAGCTGCTAAATCCCCCTGGTTGGATTGGTATCTGGTGAAACCCCCATTGTTTTTGCAGTAAAACCGCCATTTTTCTTGATTAAATTGACTAACCGTTTTTTTTCTGGTAACACCTACATTTTTTGGGTGGCCACGAAAAAGTCAGGAAGAGCCAGGGCATCCTTCAGCATACTCTCCGTGCGCTCGAGCCGAACTCTGAGCGGAGTTTTCATGGACAATCTTCAGCCAAATTTTGGATATCTTACCAATGAATACTTACAGGATGGGGCCCTGAAGATAGCGTTCAGTTGAGATACAAGTGGCTGAATTCTTTGGTTTATTATAGTAGATATAATGAACTAGTATTCATGGAGTTTATAAACCAACGACCATACCTGGGGGGCACCATCCTGTAGGATATATCCAAGATACTGCTGCAAGAAATCCTGCACCAGCTGGAAACCATTGGATAAACCATCTACCAGCTGGTGCAGGATTTCTTCCATCCACGGTATGTAGGTTAAATAAACTAAAATCAACTAAAATGGGAATATTTATCCGACAATGATGGGGATTGAACAATATTCAGACATTTATACCGTATTCCTATTGTATCTGTATCTGCATATAGCCTACTATTTAATATCACAAGGTGGTGCCTTGAGTGAAATGTGTGTTGGTTTACAATATAACAGTCTAAACCAAGATTTTGAGGTTATAAACCCACTTCGCTAAGCAACGCATAGCAATGCAATGATATAGCAGTTTCTAGTGATAATTGCAACATTGTGTTGGCTATAATGGGTATACATGGTTGAACGTGTCTATAGTTTGATCCATTTTGACATGTAGTTGGTTTATGGTTGGCATGCATCTCCTAACCAATAAACAATGTAGAATAATGTAAGTCTTTTTTGGGTATCATTCACCAGAATTGAGACATGAACATGGAGCATGGGATCTTCATCAACAATAGTGGGTTGATCGGTCCAAAACGGGTTTTGTGCCAAAAATAAACGTATGAAACCAAGCTTCAGACAGGACCTTTGAGGGATAGAACATGATATAACCAACAACATGTTCGGTGCATTTTCAATCGTGTGATATGTTTTTGATTGAAGGGGAACATTTGCAAGGAAATGTAGGGAAACCGTTGGATTGGGGGCATCAAATCCATGGTGAGGTCGCGCGCACAGAAGGCTGAGAATGACAGCAAGGGAAAGGTGCTCTTCGGCCCCTCATCTGGAATTCAAGTCCATTTGGCAAGAAGTTTGAACTGGTGTGGACATGAAATTCATGTGGAGAAATGGGGATATCATGGAATTAACTAGATGGATTTGATTGGGACATGAGTGGATCTATAGTTAATTAAAGTACTAAAGAAATAAAATATACACATGTTTGGGAAACTAGAATATCAGCAGTTAACACGGACAAACACTTGGAATATTAAGTGGACTTAAACATTTTAATTAAACCCAGTCATAAAGGTATAACATGTCACTTTGAATGTTGTTTCATGGGTAACTTACACTGACTAGACTATTGATTAAGTAGGTGCATGTAAACGTGTAAAAAATGCCGGTTCAGAAGGTGTCTAACTTTTTTCATGATGAGTAAGATGAGCAAATTGTAACAAATAGCTTTGTCACCGCGACTTTAGGCGATTCTCATCCGCGTATGGCTCAAATCAGAATGGACCCCCCAAAAAAAGGTCATCTTTGGTGACCGTTGTTGGAGCAAGGCCCCAAACCCATGATTTTTGGGAGGTTTGAAAATGGGTTTCTCTGAAAACAGAACCTAAAGATGCCTAAAGCCCATGGTTTATCATTGCTTTGCAATTTTGGGCAATTTTTGATTGGTTTTTGTTGGGGCTCCAAATGTGCCGCTCAGGTGACGCTGAAGAGGACCTCAAAGATTTCACGCCCAGCGAAAAGGTGCCGCCATGTTTGACCTGTGTGGTTGAATGCTCATTATACAAATACAGTAACAACCCCTCATCCAATGTTTATATTTCTCAATCTGATTATACATATATATATATATAATTAAGTTGTATCAGTTCCATCCCTCCAATTCGAAGCTCAAGCTGGCTCGACACCTCCATCGGGTAATCGCGTTTCACGTGTTTCACGCGTTTCACGTGGTGGAGGTGGCGCAGAAGCAGGAACGCGGGGAAGAGCAAGAGCTCCAATTTCGAGAAGCCTTGGAGTCCTCTGGTGGCAAGGGATGCAACCCGAGGTCGATTTTGGAAAACGAAGCATCCATTCGGGGGATCAAGAAAATGACACATAACTGAATGGGAAGAAAGGCTGGAAGAGTGGGGGGACAAGAAATTGAATAGGGAGGTTTTGTGGTTTGGAAATCTTTGGATACTTTTGACACCGCAAATTCCGCCATCCTCATTCCCATATCCTATCACCTATCACCTCTAATCTATCATCTCTCCTCATCTTTCACCACCTATCAGTATTCATTCCTCTTCCTCCTCATCTTCCTCATCATCCTCGTCATCCTCATCATCATCATCATCGTCATCGTCATCGTCATCAGATTCAGAAAACCAATTGAGCAACCGCCAAGACCTCCCCAGTTACCTTATGAAGGGGTGTTAAAGTATCATGTCTCGCAAAAGCTAAAACCACAGTTACGAAAGATTCGAAATGTTTCGCGAAGAATTGTTTCAAAAGAAAAAGATCATGTATTTTACATAGTATATATATATACGGTAACAACATTTAGATACGTGGAGGGCGGGCCAGACCGCGAGGCCCCATATATTTAAAAGTTACCGTATATTTACATAAATGTAGTTACCGTATTTTATATATATATACATACATACATACATACATACTGGTATTAAATAGATACATGCAAATATACGCGGGTAGGTCATCCAATTAGTCCGCTTCCATTTTGTCAGGTCGGAGGTGCAAAGCCTTCACGCTGACATGGAAGCAAGAGCGAAATTTGAGGCCCGTGCCAGGAAGCCTCTTGGGGAAGCTTTCAGAATACAGAAGTGGATAGTGGTGGGAATATATCCATCATCTACGTGTGTGTATATATATATATATATTACATCCCATTTATAGTTTATTAGTCTCTGGACTTGGTTATAATTAAGCGTCATGGGATTTACACTAGAATCCCATGACAGTTGATAATCCTATATGAGTAATCCCAACACAGTAACATGGGAAGGAAAAATCATTAATTACATAATTATCTATACAATGGGATATAACTATCCAACTTGATTTTATATGTAATGGAATATGGGTGAGCCTGGGGATTTATAAAAATGAGGATATCATGGAAAATGGAGGTATAAACCAACATTTGATGGGAATATCATGATATGATGATATGATATGGATCAGCTATCCAGTGGTGTTTCATTGGGAGCCAGTTGGAGATACGAATTGAGAACCTCCCAACCACATGATACAGTAGACAAACAAAGTTAAACATTGCTATTTGATGGGGAATGAGGAGTTCAAATGCGATTGAAACTGTTGTTCTATTTAGTTTTCGGCTGAAACAATCTGAAACACTGTATTTTTTACATGCTTTCATGTGACCCGCGGATTGGTGACAACAAGGCCCCACTACTTCCGGATTTTGGCCTTAGGGCTCCTCCACTCTTGCGGCTTTTGTTACTGACTTGAACGTAGACAATAGATTTAATGTATTTGGAAATTTCAAAAATCCTGAAACTTGAGAGCAATATAGCCGGTTTTTTTCGGATTCTGTCATTAATTGGCATTCTGTCATTAACTGGGATTCTGGCAGCCATTGATTCGAAATCATGACCTACCAAAGATAGATTCATTCATCTCGTTTTTTTAACCATACATCCATATGTTTGATGGGCGAGTTTTCCCCTCTCATGGGCTCGCATCCGGGAATTGATCTTTTACGGTTCAGGCGGGTCAGAATTTGATATCTGGTGGATCTGGTATCAACATGGATCAACCATATCTGGTATGGTCGCGACAACTTCGGACGTTTGATTTGTGCCACATCAGTCCTATCCAGTATTCATTGGGATTCCATCCCGGTTCAACTCAATATCCCATAATATCCCCAACGCTTGGGTGCCATGAATAGGGCTTGATATTTGTTGTAGGCTATTGTATCCCAATGTACGGAATCCCAATGACGATGCCAAATGAGACCTGTGTAACTTGACCCATTGGTGGTTAATGGTGGTTAGCTGTATCCCCACTGGCAATCATTGCAACACCCATTCCTAATAGTTACACCTCCATGTTTTTCCAAGGAAACCACACATATACATAGATATAATTACATGTAACTATATATACATATACATATACATATACATATACATATATATATATACATACATATATACAAGATCTACACATGTAACTTTGGCACATCTATGGAAGATCATGGCACCAGGCGGGCACCCTAGCAGCTCAACTTCGTGCGGAAGCTGAGGATTCTGGTGAGGCGCGTGCCGTGGGAAGTTCGTCATGGAGAAATTCCAAGAAAAATTGTCACTGCAATGGAGTGTGTATATATATACATATATATATATACATATATATATATATACATATATATATACACATATATATATATACATATATATATATACACACATATATATATACATATATATATATATATTTACATATATATATATACACATATATATACATATATAATTAATACACCAATATATGGGTTGTTTGAACGTCCATATTCGATCTCTGGATGACTCTATCTATATATTGGGCGCGTCTTTTTCGATTCCATGGAGGTGGGCAGGGTCATTCAGTGTACACAACATGAAATTTGGTTAATTTATGTCAAATATGTACTAGCAACACTTAGTTTAATGTTAAATATTAGTATTAACCAACTGCTTATATAAATAACTTCTATATGTTCAATATGTACTAACAAACTGTTTAAAATTAAAATACCTCTGTTTTCATGGCTTAACATGTGATGATCTAAGAAACAGTTATAATGGTCAACCATAGAATCATAGAAAACCTGAATTTGCTGGAGATGATTTTGTGCTTTCCCAATGGGAAATCCACTAACACTGGGGAATAATATTTCTGTTTGTTTGTTCCTCAGGCAAAATCAAGATCCAGGTTCGTTGATGTCAAATGCTTGCGTCAAATGGTGATCCAGAAGTAAAGTTGGTCATTTTGGTGAATGGATATGACTAAGCTTAATCCACCAGTGATCAAGTTCCTTCAATTTTTGTCATGTTTAGGCAGTTCATTTAATTTCAATAGCAATAGATTATCGATTTCCTGAATCAATGGACTACTCATTGACATATATCGTCAATAAATATTGTCAGTTATCAAGTGATTGATCAATTTTTGGTCAACGGATTATAGATCAGTATTGTTTCCGTCAATGACAAATCATTTGATGCAAACAAACAGATGGACGATTAGCCAGCTGATCCTACTTTCCATCAAACGATTAAGTAATCCGGGGTTCATGATACAAGAGGTGTCATAAATTGCAAATGATCCCGTTCTCAAGCGTGATTATGATTTTCATCGTGATGAAATGTCACTAATGCTAATTGTGTCTATTGACAAATAGTGATTCAATGGTTATCCCATGTTTTTGCAGAAACTACCGTTAAACACATCATCAAATGTGAGTAATTCAATTAGCACGCGATCAAAAAGAGTCAATCCTATTTTATTAAACCAACATTCTGTTGGTTAAACCAGCATTTCCCACCAATTCTGTTGTTTAGACTTTCATTTCTGTGAGTTATATCCCATTGAATCCAGATGAAATTCCCATGAAACTCCATGACATTAGCATTGAATCCCATTAAATCATGCGAAATCCCATGCTTTCCTGGTTGAGGCGCTGAAAATCCCATGATTTTCATGAAATCCCCGCGCCATAGGCCGCCAGCCGCGCGCTGGCGCGGCTAGTGGCGTGGCGCGAGGCGGCAGACCCGCGAAGGCAGTGGCTCGCGGAGGCGGGTCGGACTGGGGTGGTAGCAATGGTAATAGTAATGGTATCTATCACTAGTCGCCATATTAATCATTATAAATCATTATTAATCATTATTGTAACAGTAATAATGATAGATAGTAGCAATAGTAATAACAGTAGCGAAGGTAATGGCAATGGTAATGGTAATAGCAATCGAGAATGAATAGTTAGTAGGATCCTACACTGATATGGTTTCAGGGAAAACCGAGAGGAAAACATGGCTGTTCCTATGGACTATGGTTGAGTTCCTGCATTTTCCAATAAACAATCCATTGACAATTGTACCATTTGATTAGTAATAGATAACACTAAATTATGTTTAAAAAAAAGTATTATATCATAAGAGAAAATAATCAACAATAATAATAGATAATGAGAATAGATAATAATGATAGTACTAATTAGATCTAAATAGTAGTGACAAACAGAATACCAATCTTATTCTCAAATTAGCCCATCCCAGAAAATTGCTTTATAACTAGGCGAACGATCAGTTTTATTGCCGGTTGTATTCAAAATATCCCACAACCAAATCTGAATATATTCAGACTATTGAATAACTCCACAATCCATACGTATTTTGGTATAAAATACATCAGAAATTCATTATTTTCAGTAATAATAGCAATAATTCATAGCAGTCCAAACAATACAATAATATATTCAGATCCCCTACAAAAATGCCATGAATTTCCCATCGCCAGGTGGTTCCAATCGCCAGAAGTTGCGCCCAGATCCGAGCAGCTGCTGAGTTTATCAAGGCCGCAAGGACCGCAAGGAACAATGAAGAAACAGAAAAAGTCAGACAAATGATCTATAAAAGGTTCAAGTGGGATTTTACCACCTTGATATATGATTTAAATGGGCTATCAGTCTATCTATCTATCTGTCTGTCTGTCTATCTATCTTTCTTTCTATCTATCTATCATTATCTATCTATCTTTCTTCCTAACTATCTATCTACCTTTCTTTCTTTCTATCTATCTATCTTTCTATCTATCTATCTATCTTTCTATCTATCTATCTATCTCTCTATCTTTCTATCTATCTATCTATCTCTCTATCTATCTATCTATCTACCTATCTATCTATCTATCTAATTATCCTCTATCTACCTATTTATCTATCCATCCATTCGATATCTATATATATATGTGTGTGTATATGTGTGTGTGTATGTATATATATATATACGCACTATATGTTGGTAACTTGGAAGAAAGCTGGGTTAAACTGGACATATATATATATATTTATTTATTTATGTACATTTATTATTATACATAATTAGTATGTACACATAGAACGATCACAATATTCAACAATATGAATGCTACGATTCCATCCCGCAAACGTGATAACTCCCACTGGTGGGACCTTAAAATCCTTAAAACGAACAGATTCCTGAAGCACATCGCCTATCAAAATCAGGAATAGTCATAGTCATTTCCCATTGCCAGTTTGAATTACCAGGGTAAAGTTCATTGGTTGCCGACTTGGGATACCGTCTTACCTCTGAATTTTACGGCACTTTGGGGTTTCTGACAAACAGACTAAAACCTGGACCTATTCTTAACACATGGTCATCCCAGGAATGATGTGAATATCTTGGGAAAGCCTCCTGTTTTGTCCGGTCTTATGAAACCACGAAGCGAACATCCGCCAAAAACCATCCAGTCGTACCAGAAATGTCCCAAGATGGGATGAAGATTTTTTTTTAACCAACCCCAACCCATCTTGAACCATTCCTTTTGGTGCAGTTCCACTTGCATGGGTCCTTTAGCAAAAGTTGTAGGGGCCTATCCCGAACTTTTGGAGCTTGGAATCTCACAGTTACAGCCTTTAATAACGATATGAATGCTTCGTAGCTCATCCCACTTAGTCACGAATCCTTTTTGTGGCTTATATCTCAGTTTTTTGAGTGGATTAATCCTACTCATCCCAACAAATCTGAGATATAACCCACAAAAACCTTTTGGGATGAGCCACTAAGTAACCCTGGCCACCCCGTCCCCTGTCACCGGCAGGTGTGTAAAACGCCGCCTGAGCCACCGCACTCCTTGGGCGCAGCATTGAGCGCTGTGCAGAAGCAGCTTGGGACGCTGGAAAGCCAGGCGTGACGCCCATCCTGTATATAGTTATATATATATATGGAAATAGATAAGTATTATATATATATACATATTAATATTCATATTTATAGAAATAGAAATAGGATACTAGTATTATAAGTGTACTACTATATAGTTTGGCTCTAGTGGTTTTACAAAACAGTATGTATAGATTGTATTTCCACACTTTTGATAATATGTATATGTATATATATATGGTATTACGGTTTTTGTAATAGTTGTATCATAATTATAAGTGTTTAATAGCATAGAGTTTTGTAGAGTGTTTATAGTGTTGGGAGTACACTCCGCACTTCAAATTAGAGTCTATCTACAACTGTAGTATTATATTTGGAGTTTAGTAGCCTTCATTGTTATTATACTTCATATTGAAGCGTGATATCTTTCATACTTGAGTTTATCTATGGATTATCTATATTTATCTACATAGGTTATATAATCCTGTGTCTGTTTAAATTAGTCGGTGACATGTTGGCATTCGCAATGGGAAATCCACCACAATTGGGAGGTTCCTTACTCAAATCCAAGAAATGACTACTTCCAACTTTTTGCTGGTGAAACCCTCTACGCTTGATGGTGCATCATAAGTTTCCCACCAAAATGGTCATAAATTGATATAAATTGCTTATTTCTTCCATTTTTGGACAAACCCGTATACCTTATTTTGCCTCTTTCATTTGTTAAATTTCAACTTTCATGGTTAAATCATTTGATGGGTAAATCACTATTTCTGATGGTTAAATCATGCTTGTTGATGGATTTGATGCTTAAGTCACCAGCAAATGGCTGCTTCACTGGTCCCTTTATTGGGTCTCCAGGCAGAACGCGCTGCTTCGGGAGCGGAGTCTCCACGGGAAGGTGCGATTTCGATGTCCCCCTTCAAAATGCGAAAGCTAGGAGATACTCGATCACCATTCAAAATGGGGAGGCATTCACCAGAAAAAATGGTCGATGTTCATCGCCAATGTGTGAATTCTTTCGTGGTTTTCCTGGTAAGAATAAGGATTCAAAGTCAGTTTCTTTTTTTGCCATGCCAACAATATATATATATATATTTCTATTGTTTGAAGCCACCAACAACTTTGAATAGAGTAAAGTTTAGTGGCAAAAGTGCAGATACACAGATACTGTAAATGGTATTCTCTTGGAATGGTTGTTAGTGGTTATTGTTTTGTTGGTCGTTCCCAGCCAATATCCCCAGGATTTCAGCAAAGATTCGTCTGTCACGTCTGGCTGAACAGTTGATATTTCAGTGGCTTTGGCGGCCAGCCATGATTTGCCATGTCGGTTCTGAACAAAGTTCAGAAGTTCAACCAATTTTACAACGATTGTGTTCGGAACCTCTCACAAATGATGATGATATCGTTTTCAACAAAACAATGAACAAATACCATGGAAAGATCTGGGACAGATGACAAAAAATCATTGGATCGATGAAGCTTTGGACAAAAAACAGCTGATGACCTCTGGCTGTGGTGGCTGTTCTGTCACTCAAGCCATTCACGTAGTTTTCGGGAGCCCTTGAAACCTCAGTAAAACATCCACAACTTCTACACCATGGTGCCCATTCCATATTGTTCCACGAAACACAGTAGATTTTACCTCTTCTAACAACATCGTGCTAAGGGCTATCACGTGCGTCCATGAATGCACCATGGCCATCTACCCACCCCTGACTGCGTACTTGAACAGCTGGAGGTGTTTCCAAGCCAACTAGTAACTAATACAACCAAATGTAGATCATATTAAATATTATGCTAGTGAGCTGCATACCCCGGTTACGTAACCATTTATATCCATTTATCATATATCCTGTGTATCCCAACATCACACCAGTTGCCTGTTGTATACGGGGCCGCGGCATCCAGGTCAACTGCCACAAGTCTTTCAGAAGCTGCAAAATGCGCTCAAGGCTGGTGGGAGAACTGGGATTGGAGCCGTGGAAAAAATGGCATCGCTAGCCATGATTCATACTTATGTACAGTTATTTTATCCCTTTAGAGATGGGATCATCCCATAGTTATATATACCTACTATATATAGATATACATATTATTATATACCCATTTAGATCTGCAGTAAGCCACCATGGCTTGCTGGTGCTAGGAAGATCATCCCGCAGAGAAAGCGGTGACTGTTTTCAGCCACCAGCCATGTTTTAACAGTTGGATGATTTTCCCAGCGACCGAAACCTCCATTTATTGCCATTTATTGCCATATACACACACACATATATATATAGATATATGATCATCCCAGCCATTAAAAATCCTCTAATCAAAGCTCCATTTAATTCCATAAATGGGGGCACCCCAAAATCATCCATTTTAATAATAGTTTCCCTTATAAACCATCCATATTTTGGTGCCCCCTATTTTAGGAAACCCCCATATGGTGCAACAGATTGTATATCCATGGTCAAAGCCAGGCCTTGGCAGAGCTGAAAGTGACCTACCCGGACATGCCCCGATCGCCGCACAGAAATTCACCCATGGCCTTCCTTGAAAGGACCATGGGGGCATCGCTGGCGAGGATTTCAGCAATAACACATTTGGATAGTTGATATGAATTAATAGTGTTAGGAAAATCTTGGGCCTGCAAACATTGGAAATTCCAAAATAATTATTTTGTCATTTTTTTGCATTTTTGTTGCATTTTTTTTGCATTTGGGTTTGTCATTTTGGATTTGTGTTGTCATTTTTTTGTCATTTTTTTGTCATTTCTTTGTCATTTCTGTGTCATTTTTTTGTCATTTGTTTGTCATTTTATTGTCATTTTATTGTCATTTTGGGAACGGGAAAATGGAGAAAAAACATTGTTTAAAAATGACTACCATGACAGACCTTTTGTTATCTCGTGGCAGCACCAAATACAAGGAACAAGTGGAGAAACTCTTGGAAAGCCAGCCGGCGGTGAAGAAGGATAGGGCAGGGGAGCTTGCCCTGGGGAATTCGTTTTTGGGCCTGCCTGGACGAGGAGTTGTCTCCCGGCTCGGGGTGCAGGGCCGGCTCAAAAACCGGGTGGGGGGGCGGGGCCGGGGTGAAATGGCCCGGGGGGGCGGCTCAGGCCCGAGAAGCGGGGCCGACCTGGAAACTCCAAAAACGCAACTTTACCAGCACGCGAGTCATTTTTTTCGCATTTTTTTTGCATTTTTTTGCATTTTTTTTGCATTTTTTTCGCATTTTTTTTGCATTTTTTTTGCATTTTGTTTGCATTTTTTTTGCATTTTTTTTGCATTTCCCAGACTAGGAGTCATTTTTTTTGCATTTTTTTTGCATTTCCCAGACTGGGAGTCATTTTTTTGGCATTTTTTTTGCATTTCCCAAACCGGGAGTCATTTTTTGCAATTTTTTGCATTTCCTAGACCGGGTTTGCCACCTTCACCGCTTGCCTGATCCTTATGAGAAAACGACAAGAAAATGAACAATGCTAGAAAGTAGAAAACGACAAGAAAACGACAAAAAAATGACAAGAAAATGACAAAAAAATGACTTAACAAATGACAAAAAAATGACTTAACAAATGACAAAAAAATGACAAAAAAATGACACCACAAAACAGGAATGACAAAAAAATGCAAAACCAAATGACAAAAAAATGACAAAAAAAATGACAAAAATAAATAACCAACAACCCTCAGAGTTTGCTGGTAAGATTTTCATAATAATAGTGATTTCATGGTATTTAATCATGTTTTGCAGGAATTTCGATAGCTAAGTTGGGGTCTACACCACTCCAATAACTGTTGAGTGTATGTTGGATATATCGACCTAGTTCATGGGCATAAACCAAAAAATATCAGGGAGCAGCACCCTGTAGATGTTCCGATTTCCCTCTGGTCTGTTGATGAAAATGTTGAGGGTGCCGCCGATGACAACCAGCCAATGTAGGTGATAGTTTTTATACCAGTCACCAGCCCCCGATTTAATTCTTCCCAAGACGACAAAAATGTTGTGTTGTGTCTCAGAATTGATGTCCCGACCACAATTGAAAACAGATGAAAATCGGGATCTTTGACCAAGAGACTGCGGGTCAAACATGAATAAACTACAGCCAAAACACCAAGTCGTTCCTCTTTTAAAGAAATTACTATATTTAGTTGCAGCGAAGCTTTCCCTGGAAGTCGTGCCTTTTTGCAAGCAAAACGCAGGGAACTCTGCTGATCTCAGCGCAACCATGGTTTAAGTGTTTTTGTGTTTTTTTCTTGCGCTCGGGTTGGCTTTAGGTATCTACTTGTGCTTAGGTCGCATGTCATGTTTGCTGCGTTCAGGTGGGGGAAACTGACTTTGTTGCAGCTGCTTTCTTATCCGTGACTTTTTTGTATGTTCAGAATTCTGTCGTTATATATTTAGCAACTATTGTTCAACTGCTGCTCATTTGCTTGCTACTGCCAAACTGCTGCTGGATTGCTTCTGACCTATATGGAGATATTGCTAAGACACCTGATCGGATATGTAACCAAAATTAACCAACAATATGCAGTGGATGTGCCTAGAAATACGGTATTCACCACACATGGCAGGAAATCCATGAACATCCTCACATAAGACTAGAACGTGACATCAAACGTGGTTTCCTGTACTTTCCTCTGGTTTTTTTACCCTAGACCAATCCGTTGATTGTGGTGCAGGTGATGATCGGTTGATGTTGAGACTTGACGGTGTTTCATTTTTTGTTTTCTGTTTGCCAACGCAAAACAGGAAGATTTAGCTTGATTATCAAGAAGAGTATGCATCTGTGAAGATCATGGGAAACTGTACTCCTAGAATTGTTTGGAGGGAACCACTGCACAAGAAAAACATCTACAGTATATTGGCTGCTAGAAACCGCAGTTTCCCGCTCAAAAGTTTTGCCACAGGAAGTTGTATGGAAGGGAAGAAGAGGCCGATGCAGAGGCTGCTGGGGTTTAAAAGCTGCGCATGTCCAGCTCTATTTGAGGCACGAATATATTATAAAGAGTGGACAATTAAAATATAATAGATAGTTAACATTATGTCTTTGTACATGCGATACATGACATTTATATTGTACATGTGTATATCATATCTATGCGAATGGAGATATTATATCTAATATATATATATATGCATGATTATATTTATGTATATGACTCGACAAAATCCTAGAGACCCCCCAGTCCTTCTTGGGGCTTTCTGCAGTGTAGATGTCCTTAATTGTTAAATTTCCATTCTGGTCCGATCCCCCATCATATCTAGTCTATATAGCATGATATGTTTGAATATATCAATCAATATACATGTATTGTTTAATTCGGTTTGTCATAGTTGAATATACCATGTTTTTTTGGGTAATAGTTTCTGTTCATTAATAAACACAACTCAATATTGGGTTGAACTACCAGCTGAGACATTTGAGGCCACAGCCGAAGCGTCCGAAGCTGAAGGGTCAAGGTGCGATTTTGGTCATTTTTGCTAGGGGAAGCCATTGGTACAAGGTGGTGCCCCACCGAGTTCTAAATTGGCTATAAGTCCATGAACTATAGGTATAGCGCCTATAAAACATAGTTATATATTGGAGTTATAAACCAACTTAGCTATCTTGGGGGCACCATCCTGTAAGAGACGTAGCCCAACTCTAAGAAGCACCATGAAACCTCCATGTGTATCTCTGAAATCAGGGGATCCCAAAACAATGGGCTTCGGATGGCTAACAAATACCAAAATGTTCTAACTTTGAATGATTTGGGGGTAGCCATTGTGAGAAACCGTCATATCGGCTACTGGTACCTTCTAGGCAAATGAACAAAACGATGTAGTGATGTAATTGATGATTCTCGGGATATATCGTTGTGAGTTTGATGGGTTTGTCAAAGCATTGATACGCCGATGTATGACAATGTTACAGTATGATTTACCACTATTGTTTTTGCGTCCACCTTGTTTTCAGACAAACCTATATGGGTAATTATCAACAACTCAACGACCCGGAAAATGTTGGTCACGGAGCCACAAAAGGTCGTGTGTATTTCTCATCATAGTTTTTCAGGCATTGAAAACCCCAAACCATAAATCATGCGCAGTCTGGATTTATGAAATTTCATGATTCATATACACACCTTTTCTGGGTGATGTTCGCCCACATATTTGGGCTGGATCATCCCATGGATCTCCGTTGTGGAGGGAACCAGTTGGGGCTGCTAAGACTTTCCCAACCGATAATCATTTGGGGATATGATCAATTATTATCAACTAGTATAAAATTATTATTCATATTAAACCACAATATATGCGATCGTTTTTATATGAGATAATCCCAACAAGCGGAGGCTTATATATAAATCACCATGGTTGTTCACCCGCTTCGACCCGAGGAACGGTCCAAATAGGTCATGATGGGTATGATGGGTATGGGACTATGACTATACATGAGCCATTGAAAAAGCTTTGTTAATATTTGGGGGTTCTACCTGGTTTAAAACGGGGATGGTTATCAAGGATTATCACGCATAGGGATACCGACTTGCCAAGCAGTGGGGTATGACATCGGAGCAGGAGCATGTCCGTGAGTGGCGCCCCACCACCCTTCGCGCCAGAAGAGGAGAATGGTCGGGTCTGGGGTCTGAAGATGACTAAAAAAAAGAAGGGCCAAATCGGTTCATCGAAACCCCGCACGATCCAGTATAAAGATGTAGAAAGCAACGACAGAGTTTTGAACACGCCTCATATGGTCTTAGATAGTTGATTATGGTTGCGGTTGTTTCCTCCTTTTTTTGACAGTAGACCGTCATTTTGAAGTAGGTATGACTGATTCAAATCCCAAGCGCTTTGAGCATCAGTGGGAATTCCTTGGTAGCTACAGTTCATCCGCAGCAACTTCAGTTACACAGTGGCCATATGTCAAGAAGTCAAAAGAAAAGTTGGGTGCTATCCGCAGGGTGGCTCCTCGGAACAGATCATTCCTCAGCAGCCCAGTCGTCCATGACCCAACTGTCATCAACTGTCAGTGTTTACCAGCATCCCACTGAAGGTGTTTTTCGATCATGTTGCCTTCCGCCATCATCTTTAAGAACCACAAGGTAGAAAGAAATCAAACAATCAAAGCATATCAACACATTGGTTGTTGATGGTTGTTGTCTCATTTTTCCCCATTCGCAACATAAACTAAATATCCAAACCTGACCCCGCCTCCAGCCCCGTGCCACACATTGGTGGTCAGCATGGCGACGTCTCGGCAACGGATGGTCCATGCCAATGGCATTCGCATGAGAATCGCTGAAGAGGGCGATCCCACCAAACCTTTGGTGCTTCTCATGCACGGTTGGCCGGAATTTTGGCTGCTTGGCTTAGCAATGGAAACCCAACAGAAAAAGGGCGTACAGTCGTTGTTTGAGATATGAACCTCTCATTTTCAATGTGTAGAAATACATAGAAATACTCCATGGTAAAGTATGTAGATGTTCTGTTTTCATCATTCAAATTTATACAACAAAAAACTTCTCTAACAATGTGTGTATGGTAATCATTGATTTTTTTACGCCGCAAATGATAAATAAAAATATGGAAAAACATAGAAAATCCTTGAAAATCCTTGAAATGCATAGAAATACATAGTACAAATTCACAGAAATGCCATAGAAAATCCATAGAGAATCCCCGGTCTCCGAGGTATTCCTGGCGCGCTCAGTTGGCTGCCTTGGCCTCCGCCGGTTTTTACGCGGTGGCGCCCGACCTGCGTGGCTTTGGCGCCACGGAGTCGCCCAAAGAGGTGGCGTCCTTCGATTGCGATGCTTGGAGGATCAACTGGGATCAAAATGGGGGAACAGGTGAAGCTGATGGAAAATGATGGGAAAATGATGGGAAAACTGACTTGGGGGCAAAAAGTAGGGAAAAGGTAACGCTTCGGGGCAAGAAAAGATGCAAGAATTCAGATTTAGCATGATTCTTGGCAAGAATTTAGATGCAAGAATTCAGCATGCTTTAGCTGGAAACAGATGAGGATTAAGGCTGCAAAAGAACAGCATGTTGGAAAAAGAAATAGGACACCACCTGTACCTATACCTGAAATTTCACAACCCCCAGAAAACAGCCTATCGAGCGCTTGCCATTTTGGATGTCGATGTGGTGGCGCTGTATGGAAGCTGTTTCATTTGTTCCCATAGACCTGGCCCAGTGATGGAAAAAGGTGCAGCGATGAATCTATCATTTCTCAATTCTCCCCAAATTCAGCCATCTATTTCGCCATTTGTGGATTGAGCCATTTTTCACAATTATCCAAATTATCCCCAAGTCCATCATGGATAATATGGATAATTTGGGGAGAACTATCATAATATCATGGGGATATCTATCCATATTCCCCAATTAATTTATACTGCCATCATTTTTTTGCCAGATATTTGCCATGGAGCATCCGACAATCCTCCTCGGCTCGGCGGAGCTGATCCAGAACAAGCTATGGTTATATTGGTGAGGATGACCCAATGGTTTTTTTGATGGGAAAGTTTTAGATGTTGCTGTTTTGGCTACATTAATTATTTAGTGATATGTGGTGAACATTGTAATATACTATAATCTATATTGTGGATTGGGCCTTAAAAGTCACAACTCATTCCCATTTCCCAGCTGTAACTTCCAACGAAAATCCCATCACTAGCGTTCGAGTTGTGGACCAAGGAATGCATTGGCAATGACATGTTGGCGCTGCTGAAAGTGCTGGGACGCTCATGCTATGCGCTGGTGGGCCACGATTGGGGAGCTATTCTGGCCTGGCACTTGGGATGTTTGTTTCCAGAGGCCTTTCCAAGGTCATTCGGAGGCACTGGAGTCTGGAGGATGGGATGGGAAGTGGAGAAATGGGACATGACTAAGGTGATACATGCTGGTCATTAGAGAAAGACATATGTTTAATCACAGCGGTTTCATTTCTGAAGTGTTCTCACGTCCATCTCAGAGCATGTTGGGGCAAAGGTTCACCTAGCTGCACAAATTTGGCACAGGGGTGCCAGCAATATGTTGGTATTTAGCGATTTATGAGGGTACTATAAACTATACCTCTGGCAGTAATGGTTTGATTGTTATATAATCAAAAATTTACCTACGCTGCGGGTAGTAGTCCAATATATGATAATGTGACCTGCCACTAAAAAGGCCCCACTTGCATCCAAGTGTTCCATAGATTTGCCCTGGGTTACTGTAGTAGGTTCTGTTTAATTGCTTCTAATTGCACCATAACCTATGTCGAAGGGGTGAACTAGTCCTGTCTGGACCTTCCTGGACCCATGAATGCCGAAACAACCAGCTATGAATGCCATGTCAGACTTGATGATGTTATAACTTTGGTCATACCTAAATAATTCATCTACATCATTGGGAGTTTCTGGACATTGATTCCCCCGAAACCATGTGTGTCCATATTGACAATGACCAACTTTGGATGATTTTGAGGCCCCCCATGACTTCGGAATGTCCGATTATACACCAAAGATATGCCAAGGCTTCACCCTATAATGTTAATTCAATTTTAATTGGACATTCCTAACTCGATGTTACAATTGGTTTTATCCTATCATATCCCCGTTCCATCCCCATATTTGTTGGTTATAATCAGGTTTCTAGTAATTATTTGGAAGATCACACCACTTAGTAACTGGGGTTAGTTCACCCATGTGATAACCCACATATCGAAGACTTATGATCACCAGGGTTACTAAACACTTACTTTTCGTTGGATTTTGCTCCAAGTAGTCATCCACACCAACCTAAGTCAATGTTAATTAGTTATATAAAGTTATATATGTATATATCCGATCATAACTATCATATCGCCATATTTTTCCCCATATCTGTTGGTTATAAGTCATCAACCTAGGCTTCACCATGAACCACCAGCCATTCGTGTCACAGCGTGTGACCCAGGCTGTGTGTTATGAGCGTCCCTCCCGTGACCCTGGTGGCAAAGGTCCCACCGGTGGATCGCATGTCGCAGCAGCAAATGGGCCTGATACATAAAGGGAGATGCGATTTTCAATGGATTGGTTTAAGGGAAATTTTGCCGTAAACCCCATATTTAATGGGAAAAGCAAAATTTTCTTGTATGAATGTGAGAATTATCGTTTCTTCCTGGTAGCACTCGTGGTTTTATCATCAAACATAGGGGGTTGACATAGATTGACATGGCGTGAAACATTTTTGAAAGAGGAACTCGACCTAAGAAATATCATCATCCTGAAGTAGATAGAGTAAGGATGAATATGGAATTTGGAGAAAGATATTCACATATTCGTGATGATGGTTGAAACTTCCATATTTATCTACTCCAGGATGATTATCGATAGAAACTGGATGTAAATGGAATATACATGAGTGGTTTCTGAAGCTTGACTCTTTCAAAATCCCTTCATTTCTCCGAAACGTTTTTCTCGGCTACCAGGGTTTTCCATGATCCACTTTTTATCCACACAAAATCTATGGGACATTTCTGCAACACCAAGGTATGGCGAGGATTTCTACTACATCCTGTACCACAACGAGTACCAGGACTACGGAAAGCCATGGCCCATTGACGACCCAGCAGCCTTTACGGGCCCCGCAGAGAAAGAATATGAAGCAGAGCCTGGGATGCGTTGGGTGGTACCCTCTGGTGTCCTCAAACGTGGCTAGAAAATCGCCGAACTCGAACTAAGGACGTTTCAAAGGTTGGGAAATCATCGAACTAAACGTGGAATTGTATGGAATTGTCCATTGTGTTGTTTGATTACCAGTAGTACCGCACAAGGCGGTGGCGGAAGTTTCAAAAATGGAAAACCTATAGGAGAGGTGAGTTGGTGTGACACAAAAATGGCAGAGCGAACCCACTGATGGATTGAAAGGTGGTTGAGTGTTTCTGCCTATCTATCTATCGATCTATCGATCTATCTTTCTATCTATCTATCCATCCATCCATCCATCCATCTACCGTGTACTGATACGATCCTCATATTCCTAAATTGAAACTTCAACAGGTCCTACAGTGTTAACACAACAGACTACAAACACATGAAGAAATCTAGCACATCCCTCCGACGTGTCTCCCTCACGGTGTCGCCGCAGTGTGTTTTTTTCCAAGCAGCAACGGACAAGAATCTTCGGCTGCGTCATCCATGGCATGTTGCGTCAAAAGTGATCTGATGAATCTTTGTTCCCAATTTACACACTTGGAGGCGAAAAACACTGCAAAATGGCATCAGTCAGAGATGTACAACACGAACTTGACCCAAGGAACGTCGGTGAACCTAGAACCATCAAGATCAAACAAAGATCGTTTGAGACACAACCCGTGTTGTGAGAGCTAACCCGTCTTAAGTGAAGATGGACATTCTCATGACTAAAAACCAAGCATCTACACATCATTCATAGGATGACAGTCATATCATCACAATACCAACATATTGAACATATTGATGAATCCACCATGAAAGGACAACCGATATTCTCTCATCCAATGGACATGTTCCTACCATAAGCGTCGATACAGAATTAGAAAGACAGCTATCATGCAATGGTATAACCCACGGTTATGATCGTACAGAAAAACATGAAGAAATGTTACCCATCCCTCCGACGTGTCTGCCTCACGGTGTCGCGGCAGCTTGTTTTTTCCTAGCAACAGCGGACAGGAATCTTCGGCTGCCGCTGTGCTGGCGTGCGCCATCGTGCCGTCAGAAAAACAGACACGAGGCCGGGCTTGGCTTGAATCCCACGTATATCTATCGATCTATCTATCGATCAATCTATCTATATGTCTGTCTATCTATCAAATTCTCTATCCATCTATCTATCGAGCTAATTATCTCTCTATCTATTTGTCTATCTGTCTATCTATCTATCAAATTCTCTATATATATCTCTCTCTCTCTATCTGTCTATCCGTCTATCTGTCTATCTGTCGGTGTCTCTGCCCATCTATTTCTCTATTTGTCTTGGTATCTAACTATCTGTCCATGTGTCTATGTATCTATCTGTCTATCTCGCCATCTATTTCTCTAGCTGTCTCTCTGACTATTTATCTATCTGTCTGTCTGTCCATCTATCTATTTATCTATCTGTCTGTCTGTCCATCTATCTATGTATCTATCTATCCGTCTATCTATCTATCTATCCATTTATCTATCTATCTATCTCTCTATGTATCTATCTATCTCTCCATGTATCGATCTATGTATCTATCGATGTATCTATCTATCTATCTATCCATCCATCCATCCATCTATCTATCTATCTATCTATCTATCGATGTATCTATCTATCTATCTATCTATCTATCAATCTATCTATCTGTCTGTCTGTCTATCTGTCTAGCCATTTATCTAACTATCTCATCTACCCAGCTGGCCTCTCTCTCTCTCTTTCGTCTAATTACCTATCTATCTATCTATCTACCTACCTGTCTATCTATCTCTCCCTTTCATCTGTCTATCTGTCTGTCTACCTGTCTATCTGTGTTGCAGTGTCATTCAGTGTTGTAGTGTGGTGTAGTGTAATTTAGTGTAGTGGAGTGTACTGGAGTGTAATGTAGTGCAATGTAGTGTACTGGAGTGTAGTGTAGTGTAATGTCCTGTAGTGTAGTGTATTGAAGCGAAGCGACATCGCAACTTCCAAAAGTGGTCCGAACCCCTAGTGTTTTGAACATGTTTACTTCCAAATGTGCTTCGCGCCACAACGGCGTGCACTTTTTCGACATCCGAACCTCCAAAAGTGGCGCGAACATGTGGTGTTTTGTACATTTTGACTTGGAAATGTGCTTCGCGCCACAACGGCGTGCACTTTTTCAACATCTCAACTGCCAAAAGTGGTCCGAAGCTGGTGTGCTTTGTGCATTTTGACTTCGAAATGTGCTTCGCGCCGCAACGGCGTGCACTTTTTCGACATCGCAACTTCCAAAAGTGGTCCGAAGCTGGTGTGTTTTTAACATTGTGGCTTCCAAATGTGCTTCGCGCCACAACGGCGTGCACTTTTTCGACATCCGAACCTCCAAAAGTGGCGCGAACATGTGGTGTTTTGTGCATTTTGACTTGGAAATGTGCTTCGCGCCACAACGGCGTGCGCTTTTTCAACATCTCAACTGCCAAAAGTGGTCCGAAGCTGGTGTGTTTTGTGCATTTTGACTTCGAAATATGCTTCGCGCCACAACGGCGTGCACTTTTTCGACATCGCAACTTCCAAAAGTGGTCCGACGCTGGTGTGTTTTGTGCATTTTGACTTCGAAATGTGCTTCGCGCCACAACGGCGTGCACTTTTTCGACATCGCAACTTTCAAAAGTGGTCCGAACCCCTGGTGTTTTTAGCATTTTGACTTCCAAATGTGCTTCGCGCCACAACGGCGTGCAACTTTTCATCTCTCATCTGGCCAGCTGGCTCCGCACCCGCCGCTTTAGCGAGCCTACTTTTCGACCCTCCGGAGCCCCAAATCATTGGAAAAACACAGTGTTTCGCGACTTTCCTACCTTTTCGCGCATCTGCATCTTCTTTCTTCTTACTCTGTCTCTTCTACTCTTCTTTCTTCTGATCTTTCTCTTCTCTCTGCCTCTTCCCTGCTCTGCTTTTCATCTGTCCATATTGTCGGAAGTTTGACTTCTAAACTTCCTTCGACCAGAGGGTATTGACCATATAATCTTATGGTATGAATCAACTAAAGAGTTCTGGAGGATATGAATGATATGAATGAACTATAGTGAACTAAAGTAAGGACATGAACCAACCAGCGTGGGGATATTTGACCAGTGTGATTGCGGGGATACTAGCAATCATGAGGCTATTTGCTGGGCAAGGGACATGTCAAGAATGAGATGCACCAAGTGGTAAGATCGCCACAAATGACGGGCAGCTTCCCATGTATTTCCCATGGGGTATGAGAGAATCGACATGAATCAACCCTGGAAATGGGGGTCCTCATCCACCTTCTGCTTGGAAATTGCTTGCAGCTTCCTCCTGACACTTTCAAATCAGAGCCACCTATTGCAGTATCATCGTATTCAATGCTCGATGAATACACTCTGGTAATCTATACTAGAAAATCCACCAAATACTAGTTTTGAGATGCATATAGAAACATCATCACGGCCATCATGGCCATTTTCGCAAACTCTTACTTAAACAGAATCCAGTTCTGCTTGAGGACGTCGAAGGGTTCTTGAAGCGATTGTATCTCTCTGGCGCCCTTTCGACCAGCGAGGTCAAGGCGTCTGGTTGTGGATCGCGGTTGCCTCTTGTGGAGAAAAAAATGGGGTGGAACCCATCCATGGATTGAGCAGTAAATTGTGCCGTAAAAGGAAAATAGTGGGTTGATGTTGGGCAAAAAACTTCAATGTTTACACCAGAACAGTAGAAAAAACTGAATGACATGGATAGAAGAGCATCCAAACCAAGTTTAGTTTGCTTATTTCTGGGATACAACATTGGTAAAACAACACTTGAACACGAAAAAGGGTTTGGGCAGTCCCAAGCTGATCCAAATGTCATGATTGATCATCCAACCCCCTATGAAAATTGCCATAGGATGGGGTGACCTGCGCCGTCTACGCCGCTACGCCAGGCAATGACCCTTGAGGCGCCGCCATGTCAAGATCCAAAACGCTCTGCTGGCGGTCAACTCGACTTTTGGAATGCAGAAGAAATCCTCTGAAAGCATCAACTTATACCTGGAGGTTTCCAAGGTCATTCTTTACTGTTTAATAGTGCTTAGTAAATGTTAGTAAATGTTAGTAGTGGTTTGTTACTGTTGATGGTTAAACTTTTAATAATGTTTAATGATGTATACACGTTGAGGTTTCCTAAATCGTGGGGGTTGCCCTTTGCATAATCCAGTCGTCATGGATGACCATGAATGAGCATTGAAACATTCAAACAACCATGGTTTTGTTAGGAATCCCCCATGACTTGAGAATCCCCTTGAGAAATGCGGATGGCCTAGAGACGGTTTGGTAGCTGATCGCTTGAATTTTGAAGCATATCTCTAGAACATTCTAGAATTCTCAAAAAAAAGTCTCGAAACTCCGGGCCCCAGGTCCCGACCAGCCTGCCAAGGACAGATTGCCACTGTGCACATCCTTGCCATCTTGGATGCCTCAAGAAGCTTTGGATCGCTTTGTGGAAGCTTTCAAAGCTTCGGGTTTCCGTGGCGGCATCAATTACTACAGGTGCTTGAATCGAAACTGGCAGATGCTCGGATGTTCTGAAACGCTGAGGTCTTGGGCAAAAGGAGGTGATTTTTGAATGTGTGTTTTTAAGTGGGGATGCGAATTAAGCATGTTTTGACTAAACACAAATATCCCAAAAACACATTTCTCTGAGATTAGCATTACCTAACCCACACCTCAAATCTTCCGATCCGTGCTGTGTTTGACGAACGGCGAGGAAAACGAAGAGTGCCTTCCAGAAAGCCGGTGGCAAGATCAAGCAACCCACCTTCTTCATCGGAGGTGCTTGTGACAGCCACATGATCCATGGTGCCATGGGGTGTCGTTTCAGCGGGGGGATTTACCACGGAAAAAAATGGTTTGAGTAAGGACAACTATGGGAACATGATGAACACATTTCTTGGGCCATAGGCCATGGAAGATCCGAGATTTACAATTTTCCTTGAAGCCTCAAATTGTAGGTTATCTGCCTATACCTTGGGAGACCCCCTATAAATGGGCCTTTGAGAAATTCATCGGACTGAATTGGGTAATTGGGGATCCTCCATTGCCATGTTTTGATTGCCCGAGGGTAGAACCCGAAGCGCTGGTTCACCTGCCATGATTACCAACCCTAAAGGGCCCTACCACTTCTACTTGGCTCCTTATAGTCTCAGTCAACTGCTATCCGCAGGAGCATTAGCAGCAGCGGTCCCCCTATAGCAATGTACGCATTTGTTAGGTTTATGTAGCTGCTAAATTTTAGAAGGCACCTTTAGCAGCAGCTACCAACAATTTGACATTCCTGTTGTTTAAGATCCCCAGAAGTCCCCAGGATGCGCAACATCAAATCATCATGGTCAAGTCGCTCCCACCATCCTGGGTCAACCATCTTAGATTTGGGTATACATAGCCATAAACGCGGTAACACGTGGATCTGCATCGCACAGCAACAGAGCCCAGATATTGACTAGGGTATATCAATGTATATCATGGATTGTCATGGTATATCCCATCATCCATCCATTTTTGTGTATAACCTGTTACCCAACATGGAAACATCACATGGTTCAGCAACTTCGATCCTCCCAGCACCATCGCCTCACAAGGTGAATTGGATCCAGTGATTAAGACCTACGGTGGGCCTGAAGCCACCGCAACCATGGTCTCCAAGGTAGGTGTTCATCCCAGAGATGGGTAAAGTTGGGTTGTTCTACCGAAAAAATGAAATAACGGGGATTATTGTTGGAGTATGTTGCAGTTAGATTTTTCAAGTCTGGAGAAGTCGTTTCTAAGCTGGGTAGCTTTGCAACATGGTTTCATAATGTACACCTAAGTGAAATTGGCAGTTTCGAAAGCATTTCGAAAGGTACTGCAAGTTCAGTCAGTGAAGTCAACCTCAATCAATCGCACTAGTTTTTTCGCTGTCAGGTGTGCTCCGACTTGCGGGGTTGTTGTTTCATTGCGGATTGTGGTCACTGGAATACTCAAGAGAAGCCGCACGAGACCAATCAAGCTTTGCTGCGATTTCTGGAGAGCACCCGCGACCTCCCAGATCTCCCAGGTCTCCCAGATCTCCCAGGCCATGGATGGTTGACCAAATGGCGCCGGAAACACCTAGGAGAAGCAATGAGTACATCTATATATCATAGCATTAAACTATGCATCATATCATATTCGAAGGGACCAGGGAGTTTAGAAGTCAAACTTCCGACAATATGGACAGATGGAAAAGCAGAGGCGGGAAGAGTCAGAGAAGAGAAGAGAAGAAGAGAGAAGATCAGATGAGAAGAGAAAGGGGCAAAAGACAGAAGATGCAGGTGCGCGAAAAGGTAGCAAAGTCGCGCAACACTGTGTTTTTCCTTTCCAATGATTTGTGACTCCGCCGGGTCGAAAAGTAGGCTTGCTAAAGCGGCGGGTGCAGAGCCATCTGGCCAGATGAGAGATGAAAAATTGCACTTTGTTGTGGCACGAAGAAAATTTCGAAGTCAAAATGCACAAAACACACCAGCTTCAAAGCACTTTTGGAAGTTGAGATGTCGAAAAAGCGCACGCCGTTGTGGCGCGAACCACATGTGGAAGTCAAAATGCACAAAGCACACCATGTTCGGAGCACTTTTCGAAGTTGAGATGTCGACAAAGTGCACGCCGTTGCGGCGCGAAGCAGATTTCGAAGTCAAAATGTACAAAACACATCTGGTTCGAAGCACTTTTGGAAGTTGAGATGTCGAAAAAGTGCACGCCGTCGTGGCGCGAAGCACATTTCCAAGTCAAAAGTGTTAAAAACTGACGGTCTCGGACCACTTTTGGACGTTCAGATGCCTTTTCACGTGGCAGGCGCAAGGGATTGTGGACCTTGCCAAAAGTGAGCAAAATGTGAGGGTTTTGTAGTTTCAACTACAACCACCACTACATTACACTCCGCGACACTACAACTACAAGTACATGTACAACTACATTACACTACATTACACTGATTACATTACACTACACTCAATTACACTACACTACACTAACTACAACTACAGCTACAACTACAACTACATTACACTACACTACTACAACTACAACTACATTACACTACGCTACACTACACTAATTACATTACACTACACTCCACTACACTACACGCCACTACACTACACTACGCTCAATTACACTACACTCCACTTCACTACACTTCACTACACTCCACTACACTTCACTGCGCCACACTTCACTACACTTCACTACACTTCACCACACTTCACTACACTAACTTCAACTACAACTGCAACTGCAACTACAACTACACTACATAACACTACACTACACCACACCACACCACACTATACTACACTGCCCTATCCTACCCTACACTACACTACACTACGCTAACTACAATTACAGCTACAATTACAACCACCACTACGCCACTTCACACTACACTATACTCATTACACCACCACAATGCAACTGCAACTACAATACACTGAATACACTACATTACAACTACAACTCCACTACGCTACACTACACTACAACCACACTACACCACACTACATCCAGCAGTTGTGGCGAGGTGACCACCGCAACCATTTCAACCACTCCAAAAAACACAACTCCAACCACCCTTCGGTCCATCAGTGGATTCTCTCTGCCATCCATGACTCGCAACAACCGGCCTCTCCTATAGGTTTCCTATTTGTGAAACTTCCGCCACCTCCTTGTGCGGCACTACCGGTATATATATATATACACACACACACTTTATTCGGACATATCTCATGAAAAACGTGTGGGCCTGGCAGGCCGCAGTCGACTCTGAATGGATGGAAGTTCTACCTGTTGTGACTCAGTTGTGTCCCACGCAAAAAATGGCCGAAAGAGTTTGCGGCTTTGGGATGGTTTGGGTGCAAGTGTTGATAGCTTTGACGTTGCGAAGTCTGGATATTTTTGAATATTTTCTCTGGTGTTTTGGGGCTATAGGACTGTCGTGCCGCCCTACGATGTTTTTCAGATTCCCTTTGGATTTTAGAGACTAAGATATCCAAGATCAAAAGTTGCCTCGGTAGTTTGACAAATACCGCCGAGAGCATTGCAAACTCAGACACGCTGAAAGTTCGCTGCTGCGGTCCTGTTTTGCCATGAAATCCAGTTTTCCAAAGACCGCAGTGCTCGATGATGATGAATGGGAGCGCATGTCCAGCTACTCCTTGGTAGCATCGCACAACACTGGCTTCAGCAAAGGAACTTCTGCCCTCAGACCTGATGGGAGACTGTTGAACTTTGAGGTTGACGAGTATCTCATCAGGCGCAGGGTTACAAATGATACAACGGGTCAATTTTGAACAAACCTGTGGTCGAAAAATGCGAAGTGGTCTGTCGCTTACTCGTTCACATGACCTGAACTTTCTGAACAATTATGGAATTCCAACGCGTGCTAAAGCCATGACGAGAATCATCGGCAATTCCTGTCAAGTAGGATCAGTAGAATAGCTGCAGATCACCATGCCGTTGGACCAAAGTGGACCTCCTTGGTGCATCCTGGAGGCATACGATTGCCAGAGGCGTCAAAACTCGTCTGGACGAGGGGCTTTGGCGTTTTGAACTGCGAGGAGTTCGGGTTGTGACACGTGGTGCCGGAATTGACCTGGAAGTGCATCTCCAAAGGAGAAATCAGTGAACCATTTTGGGATTGTTTGAACATGGGTACCTCCACTTCAAAAGGATTATCATGGATTATCATCATTTTTCCGGATTTCCGCAAATCAGCAGCCATCAAAGCTGCTGGATGTTTTAGTGTTGGCTTTGGGCCAAAATTTGGGAAAAACGGATTCTCGCAAAGACAGTTACTGTCTGATTGCGGATTACTTTATGATTACAGTATATGACAGCCTCTTTCGTGTACTTCCAACATTGTTTAGCTCCTTGCAGCTGGATGTTCTGTCATCTTGAGGCAAGATGCCGATTTTGTAGCCGGTTTCCTGCCAGTGAGTGAGCAGAACGGTGCTAAGCAGAAGTACGAAGTGCTCCTAGAACAACTAGAGAGGGCCTTGGATGAGGAGGATATGGTGAGAGTGCTGGAAGAGCAGCTTACTGGAGAGAATGATGTGGTGATTCCACTTCTGGTCCAGTGCCCTCCTGACTGTCCTTTGTTGCAACATTGTGCAAAGCAGGGCTGGGCATGTGCTGTGAGGTGGTTGTTGGATAATGGTTTTGCCGCAGGTCTTGGATATCGCTGCAAACATCGAATGACGCTCCTCCATTTTGTAGCCTGGGAAGGTCGCAAGAACGTCTTGGAAGAGCTCGGCAGTGCTGCCAGAGATCTTTGCGAGCCTCAACCAGATTTGGATGATCCCTGAAGTTAGGATTTTATGGCCAGCACATGGATGATAATCGATGTTGACGTTTATTTCATTGTTCTATTTCTGTTCAAGAATACACCAAACGTTCAACTCGATATGTGTATCCCACCATATAATTCCTGATGGCTTACCACTGCAATTGCTGGATGCTACTTTGATACTTCCATTTCAGTTGATTCCCTGATCTTGATGCCATTCCCGTTGAACTAGAAAATGAGCAAAGGTCCTGTCAGGTTGGGTTGAGCCTCATTGTAGTCGATCCTCACCACCATCTCTTGCTGGTTATAAACCTCCCACTCGTTGTTGGCTTCAGTTGGATTATCCAAGGATATCCCCAATGCGTTTGGAGAGCTGCCCGAGCTGAGTGGCTTCATTCGTTCTCGCCAACTGGCCCTCGAGGAGGGATTTTGAGTGCTAGCTGGAATATATCGACATCAATGCTAGCGCATCTCAAGATGACTGTATGATTGTAGCTGGTGATTTTCTATAATTCAGCCAGACAATTTATGCTGGGTAAACCAAGGTGAAGGGTGATAGATTAACGCTCAAAGATGAGGATTTGGTGGGTAAACAGACTGGCAGGAAGGCTAGTTCGATACTTTCACATTTTGCCATAAATAGGGATACATACCAACCAGGCGGAAAATGTCTTTTTGAAAGGCATCTAAGATTTGCTATGAATGTGCATCTCGGTTGATAAGTAATTCCTAACACTTCCTAACTCACTAACACACGGGATATCATGAGATAGAGCTAATTAAAATCAATTAATAACGATAGAGATCTTTGTGGGCCAATGGGCGGTTTAATATGATTTAACTTTCAAAGTGATGAGTTTAACCACCCAAATTTGGGATATATAGAAGCAGCATTTGGGTGTGCGTTCGGGCCGCAATGCGTTCGAGTCTAGATATCGGGTATCCCAAGAAAACGAAAATACACTTTATGCGTCAAAAACTTTCCAAAATAGGGGCCGAGTGAATTTGTTTGATTCATTTGGGTTCGATGTACTCGAAAGGGGGATGGCTCAGATTACGGACTCTCATTTGGAAATTTCACAGCAATCGAAATGATCAATATGGTGGGTCCATTGGTATCATATTAAATGGGCTAACGCCCTGGTGCCGTCGACCCCCTCTCGGGGGGGAAGGAATGCGCATAGGGTGTATACATACATAGCCGTAGAAAACAGATGCCTGCGGCGTGTAGCTGCGAGAGTTGCCGTGGAAAGGCCTGTGGTAGGGTTTGGAGGGTTTGAGGGCGGGCAAACGGCAGGCTTGAACGCCCTTCAAAACAGATGCCTGCGGCGTGTAGCTGCGAGAGTTGCCGTGGAAAGGCCTGCGGGAGGGTTTGGTCGTGGGAGCTGCCGCGGCGCGTTTGAGGCCTTTGAGGCTTGGCAGACAGCTTAAACACAGACAAGCAATTGTTGCCCGTGGACAAAAAACAGATGGCTGCGGCGTGTAGCTGCGAGAGTTGCCGTGGAAAGGCCTGCGGGAGGGTTTGGAAGCTTTGAAGGCGGGCAAACGACAGCCTTGAACGCCCTTAAAAATAGACGGCTAGGGCAAGGAGCTGCGAGAGTTGCCGTGGAACGGCCTGCGGGAGGGTTGGAAGGGTTTGAGGGCGGGCAAACGGCAGGCTTGAACGCACTAAAAAACATATGGCTGCGGCGTGTAGCTGCGAGAGTTGCTGGGAAAGGCCTGCGGGAGGGTTGGAAGGGTTTGAGGGCGGGCAAACGGCAAGCTTGAACGCCCTTAAAACAGATGCCTGCGGCGTGCGGCTGCGAGAGTTGCCGTGGAAAGTCATGCGGGGGAGGGTTTGGAGGGTTTGAGAGCGGGCAAACGGCAGGCTTGAACGCCCTAAAAAACAGATGCCTGCAGCGTGTAGCTGCGAGAGTTGCCGTGGAGGCCTGCGGGAGGGTTGGAAGGGTTTGAGGGCAGGCAAACGGCAGGCTTGAACGCCCTGAAAAACAGATGCCTGCGGCGTGTAGCTGCGAGATTTGCCGTGGAAAGGCTTTCGGGAGGGTTGGAAGGGTTTGAGAGCGCGCAAACAGCTGGCTTGAACGCCCGAAAAAACAGATGCCTGCGGGGTGTAGCTGCGAGAGTTGCCGTGGAAAGGGTTGCGGGAGGGTTTGGAGGGTTTGAGGGCGGGCAAACGGCAAGCTTGAACGCCCTTAAAAACAGATGGCTGGGGCGTGTGGCTGCGAGAGTTGCCGTGGAAAGGCCTGCGGGACGGTTGGAAGGCTCTGAGGGCGGGCAAACGGCAGGCTTGAACGCCCTTAAAAACAGATGCCTGCGGCGTGTAGCTGCGAGAGTTGCCGTGGAAAGGCCTGCGGGAGGGTTTGGTCGTGGGAGCTGCCGCGGCGCCTTTAAGGCGGCCTTTGAGGCTTGGCAGACCGCTTAAACACAGACAAGTGTAGCTGCGAGAGTTGCCGTGGAAAGGCCTGCGGGCAGGTTGGAAGGGTTTGAGGGCGGGCAAACGCCAGGCTTGAACGCCCTGAAAAACAGATGCCTGCGGCGTGTAGCTGCGAGAGTTGCCGTGGAAAGGCCTGCGGGAGGGTTGGAAGGGTTTGAGAGCGGGCAAACGGCAGGCTTGAACGCCCTAAAAAACAGATGCCTGCGGCGTGTAGCTGCGAGAGTTGCCGTGGAAAGTCATGCGGGTGGGTTTTGGAGGGTTTGAGAGCGGGCAAACGGCAGGCTTGAACGCCCTAAAAAACAGATGCCAGCGGCGTGTGCGAGAGTTGCCGTGGAAAGGCCTGCAGGAGGGTTTGGAGGGTTTGAGGGCGGGCAGACGGCAGGCTTGAACGCCCTTAAAAACAGATGCCTGCGGCGTGTAGCTGCGAGAGTTGCCGTGGAAAGGCCTGCGGGAGGGTTTGGAGGGTTTGAGGGCGGGCAAACGGCAGGCTTGAACGCCCTTAAAAACAGATAGCTGGGGCGTGTGGCTGCGAGAGTTGCCGTGGAAAGGCCTGCGGGAGGGTTGGAAGGGTTTGAGGGTGGGCAAACGGCAGGCTTGAACGCCCTTAAAAACAGATGCCTGCGGCGTGTAGCTGCGAGAGTTGCCGTGGAAAGGCCTGCGGGAGGGTTTGGTCGTGGGAGCTGCCGCGGCGCATTTGAGGCCTTCGAGGCTTGGTGCTGGAACGACCTTGGACAATGTGAGGGCCATGGCCGTGACAAAGCAGGTTCCACACCTCCGGTTGTCCCAGGCGCCGCCCCTGCCTTGGCGAAGGCCGGGGTCGGCGGATTTTTGAACCATACCCAGATCAAGGCCAAACATCAGGTGCCTGCAAGTAATAATATAACTACCAGTTGTCGTTTCTGTTTCTGCCCACGAAACCATGGAGGAGCCAGAGGGAGAGGACCAAGACGCCTTGGCAAGTGCTTGTTTGGAAGTCGCCGTTGCATGCCGTTGCCTTCGCACTGGACATGCCAGCGCTCAAGATTTTGTGGAGGATGCAAATGCGCAGATTGCTTCATCTTCGTCGTTTTCAGAGGTGTTGTTACCTGTTGGTGTCGAGCAACAAGCCATTGACCAACACTTTGTCGGGCCCACACGCTGCACAGATTTTGTGTCCAGGTATGTGTACTTGCCGCAGGTGTTTTGGTAATGAAACGGTCTGCTTTGGGCAACAAGAACATCTTATTGTGAGCAGCAGGGCCCCCATGCCAAACACTTGCTTTAAATGAATCATGAGCGCTATGGTCAAAACTGGGGCTATAGATCTATATTAGAAGGTGGTCATACCCCAATGGATTGGAGTTCAAAAATGCATAGAAATACCCCGTCTATAGGGAATCCCCAATCATATCCAATAATCTCGGGATGTATATGGGGTATGGATATATCATGCTATTTTGGGATATATTGGGGCTGATGTGCTGGGGTTGTTTAAAAACTTCTCATCAGCGAGTCATGCACAGCGAAGTCAGGTTCTGCTTAAGGTGGGGATTTGACTATATTCAGCAATGAGTGTCCGCAAATCGTGTCCCCATCTACCATGTTTTGACCGTGGCTCACATGGATTTATGTGAAGGGTCTTTTGCTGATTGGAATAGCAGGCAAGAAGTTGAATGCCAAACAGTCACGAAGGATGCTTGAATTGGGAAGTGTTGTGTCAGCACTTCAGGTGCTACCTCGAATTCTCACGGTACTCGCTGCGAATCACAATCTTGAGCGCTTGGTGCTTGAGTACTGTGGCATTGGCAGCGAGTCTGTGCGCCCGCTGGTGCACTTCTTGTCCAACCTGAGCCACAGGCGAGATACTTTCCCAGATTGCTTTCGGCAAGTCCAGCTACAGAGTTGCGAGGGACTCCCAATGATGCGACCCCCATTCCCCTACTTTTGTGGCAGCACCCAACATCCATCAAATTTTACCAAAAAAAGGACGCACGCATTAGTCAAGCAGCCTGATATTTTTGGACCGAACCAGCCTGGCATTTTAAAAAACCGTGCTAAGAAAAAAATCTGCAGAACGGTGCATCCTTCCCGACATTTCATGAAAATTTGCGGGCCCCAGGTTTGTTCACGCCAGAGGTTGGCCTTCCTGTGGCTTTGTGGCAACCCCCTGGGTGACGATGCCGTGCAGCAACTGCTTCCGGAGGTGCACGGGAAGGTCGTGAGCCTCAATTTGTCTGGCACAGGCCATGGGGGGTTCCAGGGCATCGTTGGGGTTCCAGGGGATCGTTTTTTGGAAAGAATTAGGCCTGAAGGATAAATTATAATAAACTTATATAAATATTTCACGTGGTTACATGGAGCCAAGCATTTGAGTTGTGAATGATTGTGAAATCATCCATGGCCCGCAACAGGTATGACTGCAGCATCTTTGCCAGCGGTCGGTGAAGTGGTTCAGCATGGTGCAGTTGAGAAGCTGAGTATTGGTGCCAACAATTTAGCAGAGTTGGGATCAGCAGATCAATGCGTGCAGATGAGGACGTTTGGGTTGTAAAAAAAACATATCAAAATTCCTGATCCAGTGGTTCAGCATCGGCAAAATTGGGAAATTGGGGCAAATGGCAAGGTTAGCGATTAACGGTATCATCCCAATTTTTTGTCAGTTACCCACCATTAGCGATGATCTCAAACTTCTACTGCGATCCCCCATTTTTAGACCATCATGTGGACACCGCACCTTTGCAGAGGTTTTTTGGGAGATTTGAGGGGGCTGCCATGCTGCAATTCTGGGAAGACCTTGGCTGGGTAGTTGCTAACGCCGTGGCCGGTGGCCTGTGCGTTTTGTGTGATTTTCGTGATTAATTATATATATATATATATGGGGTGGGTTGGGATGGGATGTTAACGCTCTTAGGACCACATCCTTCTTGCCACGTTGATAACATGTTGAAGTACCTTGGCAGACGCTCTTGATGCCACGTTGATAACATATGGAAGTACCTTGGAAGACACGCTCTTGATGCCGCGTTGATAACATGTTGAAGTAACTTGAACGTATGTATGCATGCATGCATGCATGTAATGTAATGGAATGTACTGGAATGGAATGTAATGTAATGTAATGTACGGTATGTATGTATGAATGTAATGTAATGTAATGTAACGTAACGTAACGTAATGTAGTGTATGTATGTATGTATGTATATGGGGTGGGTGAGGTGGGGTGGGGTGGGGTGGGGTGGGGGGGATGTTAGCGTTCTTACGACCACGTCCTTTATCCTACGTTGTTAACATGTTGAAATACCTTGGAAGACGCTCTTGATGCTACGTTGTTAACATGTTGAAGTACCTTGTATGTATGCATGTATATATATATGTGTGTGTGGGGTGGGGTGGGGGGGATGTTAACGTTCTTACGACCAAGTCCACAGGCCACCCGTCACGGCGTAACTTGGGTAGTTTAATGCTTGAAGTGTTCACCATAAACATAAGAAGACAATATCCAGCTGAAATTCAAAATGTTGGCAGGCTAGCTACGGATGGCCACGTTTGAAAACGAAGCTTTGCAGGACCTTGGCTATGATGATGAGTCAGTCACCATCTCTAAAATCCATGGATTTGAGCAAGACTCGACTCACTCCCGGGCAACTGACTCATTTGGCCCAGATGATTCGACGAGCGCCTGCACTGGAGACTTTGATGTTAGTTTCCGTCAGCATGACCATGGAATTTGCTGAGCTGGATGGTCGAAATCCCTTCATCCAATCCATGCACGATCCAATGTGCAAGGTGCTGCGGCTAGAGACCTCTCTGTTGGAATATCCACAGCTCTTTCGAGCGTTTATGGCAGCAAAGAGGAACCGGGGGAAGGGCAAGGGAAAGCATGGGAAGAACACGTCCAAAGGTTCGAAGGGCTCAGAAGCTTTCCGGCAGAGTTCGGACGAAGTTGGTAGAAGAGCAGATACTCTTTGCTTGCCAACTTCATTGTTACCTGGCAAATCTCTTGCAGAAACCCTCGACGGAATTAGCGATAAAGATTAACCAATTTTATTCTTCATGAGTTCATGAACAAGTAGTACTCAATGTAATAAAAGATCATATAAGTATTCAAACATGCGTATAAATACATATTATATATAATGTATGTCTTTATATTGTATCTTGATCCAGGATATAGATTGGTCTAATTGTGTTTTTTGGGAGGCTGTGCAACTTGAGGTTCGTCCGGCTGAAAGGCCTTCGACAAGTCCATCCAGACCGACCAATGGCAGCCTGCTTCAGCACAGAGAGCTACGGCATCACTGCAGATTTGGAATTGGACCCTGAGTCTGTGCAGGCAAACCAACAAACATGATTAATGTGGGTAAAACAATGCCATAAACCACCCATGTGGGAATGGTTTATCCCACCTATTTTTAGTGAAATTGGGGATGGTTTATTGTTGCTTTACCCACATTATTTATAACCAGCCCAAGTGGTTAGGGATCAGACAAAATTGGGAATTGAATCAATCAGCAACCTTGGAATTAGACCAACCCTTCGATGGGGATAATATATACCATGGGGAATACGTCAATAAACCAACAGCGCACGAACAGCGCTTTAGTGAAGGGTACATTCGAGTATCAGTGGGCCCAAAAAAGCCTTGCATTTTTTTCAATTTGTCCATTCATTTTGATCTATTTGGCTTTCGCGCAGGTCAACGGAAGCGCTGGATCCCAGATTTTTCAAGCTTACCTGCAATGTCGCAACAAGGGGACGACAACCCTCCACGTACTTGGTGGCTCGGTTACGAATCAACCAGGCTACCTGGCATGCACGCGCTTGCAGGAGGTCTCACAAGAATTTGCGGCCCTGGACTCCATTTGCCTACTCTTCCACAGGACGAGGGCTCCTACTCAACTGATGTACATGTTGGTTGAGATAAGACGGGCTGAATTGCTTATTGGTTGTGGGTTGGGGATGGGTGGGGATGGGTCAAGATGATTGACCACCCAAAATGGATGGTTTAAAGACACAGACGACAAATTTGGTTGGCAAAAGATGGTAAAAGGCTGCCCCATGATCGATCCCCATCCCATGCACAACCAACTACCTGTGAGGAGGACAACAAATGATGTGCTGCTGGTCCCTGAGCGTACACCTGCCTCGAAACTGCTCAAAACTCGTTTGGACGACTTTATCTTGGATGACAGTCCTGTGCTCAGATGTTGGAGTGCAACCAAGCGTCCCAATAATGACAGAAAGGTATGGGAGAATTGGTCTTTCTTAGTGGCTATTTTAATGATGGTTTGCTTATTTTTCTCTTTTTGGATCACTACAGCACTACAGTCTTTATTTTCATCACTGGTATTGAACATGCGCTGTCCACATTTCATATTTGGAAAAAGAAGGGCTTCAGAATTCAGAACAGTAGAGTCCCAGTCTCTATTTCTGAGAAAAGTAGAGTCCCAAATCCAGCCACTATATGCAGAATAGGTGGCTCGACTTTGCAGAACTATATAATATTCTGAGCAATACGAAGGTGTTTGGCGCCTTCGGGCGCCCAAAGATCTTAGGCTATGTTCTTCAAGACCGCTTTGGCATCGGTCGCAAGTCATTACGGCGTCTCACTGGCACTCAAATCATGCAGGACGTTGACTTTTGTGACTTTTCAGCAGATGAGCTCTTTCTCCTTGCCAACTTGGCAGATCTTGAGAACTACAAGACATGGATTGGTCATGACGTTTTCTCAGTGAGGCACTCTGTGGATTTCCAGCGTCTCAGGCAACATCCAGAGGTTCTAGAAGTGATACGTCAGTTCAAGGTGGTTGTGGATCAGGAAGGGATCTCCAGGCCAACGCGACCTACTTTGCAGGTACCCTCAGATCCTCATGTGGCCACCAGGGTTGCAGGAAGGGATCATGAACGGCAAGTTGATTTGCAGGCCAGCATTCAAACTTGCGTCTTCAAGTGGTTTACCGCAATGGTGAGCTGCCAGGAGCTTTCCACCGGATCCGTGAACTGCTTAAGTCACGATGGTCGGTGGAAGCGAGTGTTGTATTTGGTGTCCATCGGCGAGGACATGTTGGTGGATGGAGAAGTCAAGGGCTTACGCCAATCTTCCGCAGAATGGATTCCTGTAGCCGAACTTCCGGAAGCATTGCAGGATGACAAGTTCCCAATGCTTCGATCCGTGACCTCCTTGCTCCAAAGAAGTCCGACCCACCGACTCCAATGGCAGGCTGAGGCAGGTCAAGCACGTCTGAAAGTGAAGTTTCACCGCACATGAGGACAGAAAGCTGGTCAATTTTTGTGAGGCGACGCAAATGTGCATTCAACAAAAGATGTGATTCTAGACAGAATGAATCGAAATTGAATTGAAACTCAGGAACAGAAACTCTGATTAAATTGGGCATAGTCGACCAGATGCGCTCGCTTTACCCTGAGGGCCGCAATTCAAGATCAATTGCTCCAGCAGATCGACACCCGGTGACTGCACCTTGAGGGGTGCCTTCAATGCCTGCAGAAAAAATGCGGCTGCGTCTGATTGCGCAACAACTGATTCGATGCAACGCGACAGGTTATTTGGTTTCAAAGATGTTTGTTTTCTCTCCTTTTTTCGGATGATGATCCTCACAATGACTTGCACCTTTTTCGGGGTGGTGGCCCAATCACTAACCAGAGGCGCTAATTATCACATGTAAGACCATCACAAACTGAGATTTCCTTGAGAACTTGTGGCAGACATGTTGAGACGCAGACATGATACCAAGCCCGCAAGCTTGTTTGAGCCGTTCCATTGCAACCACTGGGACCATCGCTCACATAGTCAACCTTGGGTAGTTTTATAGTGTCCTATATAGTCTAATTTTGATACCGTCGATATCCTGGTTTTTCTATGTTGATTTGATAGGAAAAAATGCTAACCAGATCTAACCAGCCACTCCAAATCAAACCTGCCGGATGGGTATCGAACTGCTTCGAAGTGTGTCCGCCAGGATGCATCATCCAAACTTCGATCTCCGGTGTCTCCTGTGAGGTGCGCCATAGGATAACCCGATGAAAACCGCATTTTTTCCACTTTTTTGATACAGAAACTTTCGGTAAACCATGGAAACTCAATGGATTTGGGGATGCCAAATTTTGAGACAACCTGGAACGAATAAGCGTGTCACAAACAGTTCTGCAGTAATTAGTACTACATACTGTAGTACCAATATAAGTTGGCACAAGGAGAAACATGCGGTTGAACATTGGTTAAGAATTGTTGAAATATACGGGGCCTGTTGTGACGCTTGTTGTTCTGAGGACATGAGCCATCTGACACTACAATTATCCAGTTTTGAATAAGAAAGCCCCAATGTTGAGCATGGGGTGTACGCATAATGTATAGAATGAAGCTTCTGAACTTGGGCATGTTTGCACATGTTTGGAAAACCCAGCAAAATCTTATACGCTTTCTCATTGTTTCAATTAAGATCGCCATTTTTTGTGTATATTCTCCATTTTCAAACAGACCCATGTTCAACATCGCGCGTGAGAGCCTTATACCCGCCTGTACCTACTTCCAACTTGTGATCCATCTCGATTCGTTCAGCTATGTTTTTAGCGTGATACTGCGCGGTCAAAAACCAGGTGTTTGCATGTTTGCAAGGTTTCAGCATTCCTGTCCCCAACACTTTTTTTGGTAAACATTTTAAGGAGCCATACTGGACCTAACTGCGGCTGTCAAGTGCTTGCTTTTGTAATTTGATTGGCCCTGTGCAGTGAACGATAATAGTAACGGTTTATGCAGGTATACCTTTAGTTGACCAGTCGGATAGAACGATTGCAAAACCTTCTGCCCAAGAGATGCTGTCGATTGATTCTGCGGCGGCACAAAACTCTGAAAATATCAAGTCTGCCCCGAATGCAGCCAATCTTCGATAGATGCTGAATATCTCCACGGCGTTGCCAAATGCTCCGCACCTATTTCTGAAACCTAAAGTTTTTCTTACAAAAAAAATCAACATCGGACACGACAGATAATCAGATAATCCATATTTAAAACTCTAGCTATGTCATTTTGCAAGAAGCTGTCCCTAAACATGAGCTCCCGGACTGGATGGAGTCATCAATCCCATGAATCATGATGCAGCTTGGGTGCGTCACACTGTGTCCAAAAGTGCCCTTTGCATTTTACTGGACCAGCGGAGGTCCTTTGTTTGGTTTTGTTTGAACATATAGGGTGCCCCAGAATCTCACGATTGATAAACCATGAAAAATCGAGGTACAGTAAGATTGATAAGTTGGGTTGCGGCAAGTAAATCCCGCCCTTTTTGGAAAAAAAAACATATCCTATTCTTCATGGGCCTACATCCCTGTTGCTGATGATGAGAACCAGTTTGGCAACTCAATCCCCATTTCAGCTGCATCGGCTGCACAGGCGAAGCAGCACCAGCATTGCTGGGAAGAATCTCAGCCCCTTGCCAGATGGGTCAGGTTTCTGCACAGAAACTGGGTAGTGCTGCAATAAATGGTGATCTTAAAATGATTCAAGCAATAAGACTGTGGATTTAAAGCATTGAACTTTGGGTTTTGACTTGTCCTCAAGTGCATGTTCCGTTCTGTCAATTTTGGTGCTTTTGGTGCAGTTGAGGCTTTTTCTCAGTCCAGTGGGCAGCTGTCTTACTGCATTCCAGTTATCAATGATATCATAGTTATCCTATTTGCAGATTTTGGAGCATTCGGTTGGAGTGTTGGACTTAAGTCAACATAGGTCAACATCTGTCTAACATCATTCAACATCATTTTTTCCAGCATTTGGTTGTCAACTTCGCCGTCTGCATTCTGTCAACATCATTCGACGCGCGCCATTGTATGGGTCAAACTCCAGGGCCTTCTTACGTGTTTCCCATTCAATGGACTGATGGGAAGATTACACCAACCCTTAACCAATCCATTGAAAACTTACCATGGTTGGTTTCCCCATTCATTATATTCGGTTATATTCCATTATATTGCATCCTGTAATATTCCTTATCTCCATGGTAATCCCCATATACTCTGCGTATATCCCATGGAAATATCCTAAAGGTGCCATCACCACGGCTCCCAGGCATTGCCAGTTTGGCGGCGCTGGGAAAAAATCTCTCCGCACTAAGTGCACTTCAGCCGCCATCGTGCGGTGCCCAGGTGTGATCTTTGCACGGCGCCCGCTCTATGTGATTTTTTTGGAGATCATGTGAGCTATTAGAAGTACCATGGTTGATTGTTTTTTGGATTATATGGGATTATACTACCTGGATCTACCTGCTTTAATGGGGATTATGATAACCCATAGTAGCGAAGCCTATTCATCAACAAGTATAATGATATGTGGTATGAAGATTCCGCAAATCATCCAAGTCATGGATGGCCTTTTTTGTATTGAACCCCATGGTGACTTGGGGATCCCCAATTTCAGGAAACCTCCATATGATGGGAAGATCATGGAAATATAAAATGGATGGAGTTGCAATAGGACGTATAGCCAACAGTATGAAACTTGGGTTTGTCCAAAACCTTTGGGACCACCCCAGAAAACTCATGGTTGATCATCCTTTTCCTGATTGAACTGGCAATGAAATGGGGGAACAGTGGGGTATCTCCCGATCTTGGACAACCCCAAATCTCTTCTAGTTGGTTTGCCCAAAAGCCCCCCGTGGGATATTTGGCAGTGTCTGAGAAAGTCTTGATAGCTCGTTGATACCTCAACCATATTCAACCATGAGTTCCCCAACTCAGATTGACCATCTTGTTTTTTTTGCAACTTTCAAATTAGTAGGAAAATGACTGAGTTTGCACGTGCGACTGGGAATTGCAAGGCTCGTTTCTCAACGATTTTGGAAGATTGTCTATACATGGTGGTTTTGATGGCAAAACCATCTGCAAATGGGGGATCTTACTTTGCCATGTTTAATTACCGGATGGTAATCCAGTTTGAGCGGCATACCACCAGGTGCGAGATTTGTGGCCATATGCTACCCGGTGAAGATTCTTATGCATACTGGAAAAACTTCAATCTGGCAGCCCCAACTGGCTTCAAGCTGACAGATTTAGCGAGCTTTCCAATCAGCAGAAATCAAACGGGACTTGTGGGTTGGTTGGTCGTGTGCCAGTTGATTTTGCCAAAACAGGCACCGGTTTGCTTGAAAATAGACTACACTAGAACACCCCCAAATTCACTTGTTAATCAGTATTTGTCCGAATTTCTAGCCCAGACAAATCCGGATAGCTTTCTTCTAAACCATGCTGGTCATTTGAGGGGTTTGCCGTCCGCTGTGCACTACCAATGGGACGGCGATGGCCCGCACAATGGAAGCAACCGCGTTGCTAGCAGAAGCTGGGCAGTGCACGAAGCCTAATCGTCCCAAATGAATATGGAACGAACATGACGCCAATCGGAGATTGGTCTTCCAACATTTGTGTTGGTTCCATTTCATCAATTTGGAGGTACCCCAAAATATGATGTTTTAGACTGAAGATGTGAGTTTACGTCATGGTTTGAGTTGAGGCATGGTGTAGCTTTCTTCTCGTGTCAAGAGCCTGCTATGATTGTCGCCATTCCGGCTGAGAGTTGGATGCTTCCTCCGGGGACGGCCAGGAAGAGAATGGACCCTTGCGGATTTGCATCCTGGGAGGAACTTCAATCCAAAGGTGTGGCATTGCGAAAAGAGCGTTGAATTGAAGAAGTTTGAAGGTTTCACATTATTTCTCCATGTTTATCATCCTTAGGTACATTAATGGTTCCGAAACCCGTGATAAAGATCTCTAAGTCAAAGCTACGGTTTCGGCGCTCCGAATCTGACGGCGCATGATGGATGGCAAAGACAGACAACATTCAACACCCTCACGGTAGATGATGGTGTGTGATTCTAATCACCTGCCAACATGCTTCATATATATCGTATCAGTGTTTGTCAAACATCATTTGTTTTGCCAAAGATTCATGATCCGAGCAACATTGAACAAACACGAACAAACAGTTCAAAACGGAGCAAAGAAACAATTCAAATTGTCGAAGGAAGTTTAGAAGTGAAACTTCCGACAATATGGACCGTTGAAAAGCAGAGGTGAGAAGAGTCAGAAGAGAAAAGATCAGAAGAAAGAAGAGGTAGATGCGCGAAAAGATAGGAAAGTCGCGATTCACTGTGTTTTTCCAATGATTTGTGGCTCCGGAGGGTCGAAAAGTAGGCTCTCTAAAGCAGCGGGTGCGGAGCCAGCTGGCCAGATGAGACATGAAAAAGTGCACGCCGTTGTGGCGCGAAGCACATTTCCAAGTCAAAATGGACAAAACACTAGAGGAGCGGACCACTTTTGGAAGTTGAGATGTCGAAAAAGTGCACGCCGTTGTGGCGCGAAGCACATTTCCAAGTCAAAAGTGTAAAAAACTGACGGTCTCGGACCACTTTTGGAGGTTCCGATGTGGAAAAAGTGTCGAAAAAGTGCACGCCGTTGTGGCGCGAAGCACATTTCGAAGTCAAAAGTGTAAAAAACTGAGGGTTTTGAGCCTTTTTTGACGTGAAGATGTCGAAAAAGTAGACGCTGATTAACTTAACTAACTTGACTAACTTCACTAACTCAACTATCCTAACTTCGACGACAACAGCAACAGCAACAACAACAACAACACCAACCACAACAACAACAACAACAACACCAACCACAACAACTACAACTACAACAACTACAACTACAACAACTACACAACAACTACAACTAGAACTACAGCTACAACAACTACAACAACAACAACAACAGCAACAACAACAACAGCAACAACAACAACAACAACAACTACAACAACTACAACTACAACTACAACTACACAACAACTACAACTAGAACTACAACTACAACAACCACAGCAACAACAACAACTACTACTACTACTACTACTACTACAACAACTACAACTACAACTGCAACAACAACAACATCAACAACAACAACAACCACTACTACTACTACAACTACAACTACACTACACAACAACTACAACCACACAACAACTACAGCTACAACTACAACAACAACTACAACTACAACTACAACAACTACAACTACAACTACAAAACAACTACAGCTACAACTATATGACTGCAACTACACTACACTAATTACATTACACCACAACTACAACTCCACTACCCTACAACTACAACTACAGTTGCAGTACATCACACTACATCCAGCAGTTGTGGTTGAGGTGACCACTGCAACCATTGCAACCATTCCAGCAAACACAACTCCAACCACCTTTCGGTCAATCAGTGGATTCGCTCTGCCATCCGTGATTCACAACAATCAATCTCTCCTATAGGTTTCCTATTTTTGAAACTTCCGCCACCGCCTTGTGCGGTACTACTGGTATACATTAATGAATGTTTTCCATGCATACATGGAATATAGAGCTTATTTAATGCACATTCAGTGGCATATGTCACAGCTGCCATGCCAGAATCGCAGGCATGAGACCGAGCTCCTGGCTGCCGCGATTGCCGAAAACCTCGCCACGATATCTGGGTCTATCTCGGTCTTCACTGAAGGTATGCCCGGTGTCTTAGCAGGCTATATGCCCGGTATGTTATAGAATGGGTGAAATAGCTGCTTTATCCTCCAAGAACCCAACCTGGCATAAATTCACCATGGATGGTTGGGATTGGGATAGCTGTCCCAAAATAGCCTTATTTCAGGATATTTCAGCTTAGTGAATAAATATGAATTAGTGTTCTTTATCCAGATTTACGGATATCAATTTATGGTGCGATTTTGTCCTAGCACCCACCTTCGGGTAGAATAATCAATTTCCTCCTGCAACGTACATCCAGTTGCACATGATTTATATGTTTGGCCATTTTCCATGATTATATTGGAATACCAGAGGGTATATGTTACTATATAGACGGATGATGCTCCAAAAAAATGTGTTTTCTTGATGGATGAACTATTGAATTTTATTCGATGAATTTTTACGATAACCCTGGTATCAAAACAGCCCTGTTGGGCAGCTGGTAAGTGAGTTCAAGCTCTTCCAGAATAACAGTTCAGATGAAGAGAAAAGGCCCACGTTCTTTGCAAGGCGGTGCCCCCTAGATAGCCAAGTTCAATAACTATGGTTTTTGCTAGATATAGTTCATGGGGTGAACATAAACCAAGAAACATCACGATTTGGCTCCATCCAAGGTGTACAGCAAGCATTCCTTCGCGGCAGTGAGGGGCTGCAGTTAAATCACCTGGTGCCAGAGGGTCATGCCTGCAGCTGGCCCGGCCGGGAACTGGTGGCTGGGAAGGATATCAAAGAGCGGAAGGTGCGGATTTCCGCCGGGACCTGGTTTCATGATACAAAATTTACATAACCCCTGGTGTCCTCAAACATTGCTTGCTGAAAACCCCACCATCGATGATTTTCCCATTAACACCTTAACACCGGAGGCTAAATATATGTTTAGCTTGCCCCATGCGTGGCGTTGCTAATCTGAACAGTTTGAATCGGTGGAGGCTGGGAGGTCGGGTAAAAAGCCTCATATGGCGTTGGGTCAATGTTGCTTCTAACTTGCAAGCATGTGCAAGATATGTGATATCTCTCATCCACATGAGTTTAGATCGTTATATCTCTTTAGATTTGCAACCATAAAGCCACGTTTTGCTGCAGCCTTTTGCAGAAATTTGTCCAAGGAGCCAACTTTTGTTTTGTGTTTCCCTTTCCATCTCTATATATAATGAGATCTGTTTAGATGTAATGATATTTGAGATATATATATATTTATTTATTTATTATTATATTATATAAAAGATGAATGCCCTTCACTTGTTTATACTTGTTTGGGCTTTTTGGCGAGGCGGACGGCAGATGTTGGTCCTCTATTTCTCTACTGTAGTATGCCATCCCAGTTCAGGGACATTACCCATCTCCAGGTATCAAATAAAGCCTTTTGTTTTCAGGTCAGTCACAGTGGGTAGAAATATGTAGAAACCGCGGTTTCCGTAGATTTTCCGCAACTAATCCATTGACAAGAATTCTTTTAAAAAAACATTGACTTCAAGTTGCCTTACAACTTGGATGTTAATGGTCTATGGATGTTTATGGGGCGGTATAACTATAGTATTCAAACTCATTCATGGCATTTCATGGATTTATCAACAAACATCACCGGTGGACCTCACCTTCTAGCCCCGAAAAAACCAAAAAAAAAACTGTGGATTTCGAAGGGGGGCGGCAGGCGATCTTCAGCATGCTGGGTGATGTCTACATTGTTCTGGAAGGCGGTCCTAATGTGGCAGCTCAAGTGACTCGAAAAATGATGGGAAGCGAGCTTCAGAAGCCTGTTAACATAGAAATATGAAGGTGTTCCATGATTTTCCTTTTCCTTCCAATTTCGAGCTCTAAATTCGTTTGGCTGACCATCTCTGCCCACCAGATTAGTATTCTTGAGGTCTTGATTTGGGTTTTGCCTCAGACCCTGAAAATTGCCGTGCCTCCCCCAGCATTTTTCTCTGGGGTTAACCTTGGATTGGTATCTTAATACATCTGGATATATGTTGATACTTCAGTCTTGCCATTTTAATATGTATTATATAATATTATATATTTATAATATGATATATATATATGTGTGTATATTATGACATATATATATATATGTTCTAATCGAAGGAAGTTTAGAAGTCAAACTTCCGACAATATGGAGAGATGAAAAGCAGAGCAGGGAAGAGGCAGAGAGAAGAGAAAGATTAGAAGAAAGAAGAGTAGAAGAGAAAGAGTAAGAAGACAGAAGATGCAGATGCGCGAAAAGGTAGGAAAGTCGCGAAACACTGTGTTTTTCCAATGATTTGTGGCTCCGGAGGGTCGAAAAGTAGGCTCGCTAAAGCGGCGGGTGCAGAGCCAGCTGGCCAGAGGAGAGATGAAGAATTGCACGCCGTTGTGGCGCGAAGCACATTTCGAAGTGAAAATGTACAAAACACTACATGTTCGCGCCACTTTTGGAGGTTCAGATGTCGAAAAAGTGCACGCCGTTGTGGCGTGAAGCACATTGCGAAGTGAAAATGTACAAAAGACTAGGGGTTCGGACCACTTTTGGAGGTTCAGATGTCGCTTCGCCGCTTCGCTTCACTACATTACGCTACGTTACATTACACAAAAATCAACAATACTACACTACATTACACTACACTACACTCCACAACACTACAACTACAACTACACAACTAGACTACACTCCACTACACTCCACTACATTAAATTTCACTACACTACATTACACTACACTACGCTCCACTACACTACACTACATTTAAATTACACTACACTCCACTACACTACATTACACTACACTACGCTCCACAACACTACAACTACAACTACACAACTACACTCCGCTACACTCCACTACACTAAATTACACTACACTACACTACATTACCCTACACTACACTCCACTACACTACACTCCACTACACTACACTACATTAAACTACACTACCTTCCACTGCACTTCACTACATTACACTACACTACACTACACTACAACTACAACTACGACTACACAACTACACTCCACTACACGAAATTACACTACACTACACTACATTACACTACACTACACTACATTCCACTACACTCAACTACACTACACTACATTACACTACACTACAATACACTGAATGACACTGCACCACAGATAGACAGGTAGACAGGTAGACAGGTAGACAGATAGACAGATAGACAGATAGACAGATAGACAGATAGACAGATAGACAGATAGATAGACAGATAGACAGATAGATAGACAGACAGATAGACAGACAGATAGACAGACAGATAGACAGATAGATAGACAGATAGATAGATAGATAGATAGACAAGTAGACAGCTAGACAGATAAAGAGATATAGATAGATAGATAGATCGATAGATAGATAGATTGGGTAATTAGATGAAAGAGAGAGAGATAGATAGATAGATCGATAGATAGATAGATACATAGAAAATAGATAGGTAGGTAGGTAGATAGTCAGAGAAAGAGATAGAAAGAGTGAGAGAGATCAAGCACCTTTCAGTCCATCAGTGGCTTCGCTCTGCCATCCCTGATTCACAACAACCAACCTCTCCTATAGGTTTCCTATTTTTGAAACTTCCGCCACCGCCTTGTGCGGTACTACTGGTATTGTATGTATGTTGCATGTTGATCAAACCAGCTGCGGGTTCTTAGAAGCAGTCTTTAAGATTGACCATTGGAAGTATGGTTGAATCCTCACTGACTGGTTGCTGAGGCCCCAAAGGGTCATATCTCAAACAGGTGAGTAGCTAGTTGATGGGTTGTGTGAACCAACAAACATACTCAAAAGCATAATGTTGGTAAATAGCCCATGATTTCACCATGTTTCATGATTAAAAGATAGGTATGAAAAACTCAGTTGTTGATGCTTAAATCACCATTTTTGATAGTTATCCTCTGTGACTCCAACCTGGCTTGCTGAATAATCCTCCATGAGCTTCATGATTCTCCCAGTAAAGACGACATATGTCCATTGACTTCGGGGATTTCCCACGTTTGGCCCACATCGGTTGCCAGTCGATGCTCTGAAGCTCCAGGTGAAGGAGGCTTTCCGTCGCGGTGCACAGATCATCCCAGTGGTGCGCAGTGGTGGTGCGGCGTCGGGGCTCTTCAACTTTCCGAAGGACCCGGTGACACCAGTGACGCGACCGGAACATAGCAGTGCCGCAGCACATTAATATATATATATACATGGTTTATATTTTGCAGAGTCTTAATCAAACCCAAGAGAAGTTCGATGATTTGCCAAACTTACAAATGGTGATGTGCTTAGTTATCTTAAATAATGAGAGGTACCTGGAAATTACATGGGTCTGTCTGAAACTTGGGGATGTCCCAATTTTAGGCAATCAAATAATGGAGAAAGCGATGGTGATTCACCAATGGATTTGGAGGCTCCCTATTTTCAAACAGACATGGATAGGAAACATAGAACTTGGATATCAGAAATGATCTGGGGGTTATAGCTGAGTTAATCGATATCAGCCAAAATTGGGATGTATGGCGTGATGTAAGCCTTGCCCTTCAGTAAATGAACCTTCTCAGAACTTAATTTGGGAAATCCGGCAGAAATGTAGAGCATGTTCCTGTTGGGAAGCAAACATGGGTTTCTGTACCTATGTTGATTTACTGCATGGTTAAAATCAAGACCCACAACCCCAAAGAAGGGCTAGTCATGTGTATAGCATTGTCCATTCATGAACTTTGGGGCACAGCCCAAGTTTGACTCATAGCTGGTTCACGTGTCGTCAAGCGGGGTTGGAACATAATCTTGTATCTCGGATGCGTTGAGCATCATCATGGCCATGGTGTATAAGTTGCAACGCTTTTCATTTAGCTTGATATCACGTATCACAATTATCACACAGCTTTTAGGTCATGGCTGATTCATATCTGCACATTTGCGAATGTTTAAAATCCTCAGTGGCTCAAACCCTCAGTGGTTGATGATTTAAGGGAAGGCCATGCTACCCTTTACGCACTGGGGATGATCATCATCCATGAACGACCATGAATGATAAGTTGATAAGATATACCATGATGCTTACTATTTGAAAGGATTTCTCCATGTTTTTCCAGATCATAGGGAGATATGTTTCACCATGAAGCCAGATAAACGTTATAAACTCCGCCATGTTTGTGCGTCAGGAGGCGCTCGCCAAGCCGCCTTTCGCCAGCCAAGAACAGTGGCAGTTGTTGAGGGATGAGGCAGCGCCAGTTCCATCTACCGCTGAGGCTGTGGTATCTCGATATATCTCGATTCCGGGGAGGCTTTGGGATAGGGGCTGGGTCCAAACCTTTAAGTTCATCATATGACTGTGGGAAGAAACATGCATAGCTGCAGCTACACCAGCTGTTTTAAGGTACCTAGGATGCTAGGATCGGGTTTTGACTCGTAGCCATCTTAGTGGGAGCTCAAAGGGTGGGGTTGGGAAGATTGGTCCCGGTCGATTCGGAATTTCAATTCTGAAGCGACTTGCAGTTCCTTTGAGAAGTAGGTGTGGAAAAATGACTCGGTTTGGTACCTGAAAATATCTGAAAATTGGGATTTTTTTTAAAAAAAATGCGAGTAATAACCAACCATACTGGGGGTATAATGGGATGTGTAATCACCAATATGATCACATGCGTTTGTCTGAAAATGGGGCCCGCCAAAAAAAAGCCATTGGGAACAGGAAAAAATTGGCTCTCAACCGATGAATTTAGAGGGGCAACAATTGTATATCATAGTAGTATTTTCATTTAAAGCCGCTGCTTTGGACGATACATACCCTCCTGATCCCTCCTGTCTCCAAAACAACGGGAAGCGTATGGAAATTCCCTATAAAATGAGGTTTAGTTGGGAAAATCCTCGAAGCAAATGATGGATTGACATTGAACTGACCAGAGGCCCGCTTTTTTGAGTTCGCCCTTTACAGCACCAAATCACCATCACCTAGGTATCCATTGTGGAAGAAGTCCTGAGGGAGTTTCCAGATGGTTGTGGACGTAGATCTATGGAGGTCGTGGCGGGATCGAATGGATGAAATTCCCCAGCTTTTTTTATGGAAGGAATTTGGGAAAAATACGGAGTGAGAATCTATAAATGGCTAATTTAGTTGATGATTGTCCCAGCTGTAAACTTCAATTTGTAGAGGAGTTTCCCGTTGAAACCTCCCTTTGTTGAAGATTTCCCAATGAAAAATGTCCATTCCCATTGTTCCTAGAGGGTGTCTTAAATTGTAATGTGAGGACGGAGGATATTCAGTTGGTCCTATTCAAAATCCCTGGGACATTTCCTGGGGTCATCGCATTGGTGATACCCCAATATTGGTTGGATACACAACAGGTTCAAATCCCCATGCCAACATATATCAACACATACACATACCAACATTCATTTTTTCTTGGTTGATATCTCCAAGTACCAGCAGTACTGCACAAGGCGGTGGCGGCAGTTTCAAAGATAGACCACTGTAGGAGAACCCACTGATGGACCGAAAGGTGGTTGGAGTTGGGCTTGTTGGAGTGGTTGCAGTGGCCACCTCACGCACAACTGCTGAATGTAGTGTGGTGTGGTGTGGTCTAGTGTGGTTGTGTTGTAGTTGTACTTGTACTTGTAGTTGTAGCCATAGCTGAAGTTGTAGTTGTAGTGTAGCGGTAGTGGTAGTTGTAGCTGTAGTCTAGTTGTAGTTGTAGTCGTCGTGCTAGTTGTAGTGTAGTTGTGGTCGTAGTTGCAGTTGCATTTGTAGTTGTAGTTGCAGCTGTAGAGTAACTGAAGGTGTAGTTGTAGCTGTAGAGTAACTGAAGTTGTAGTTGTAGCTGTAGTGTAACTGACGTTGTAGTTGTACTTGTTGTTCTAGTGTAGTGTAGCGGCGACATCCAAAACGAAGCAATTCTGCGAGACTTCCTCAATTTCCGGAGTTGACAACATCAAAAACGAAGCGATTCTGCGAGACATCCTTCAAAAATGGAAAGTGGAGTGCAGAGCTAACGGCGGCCTCTTACCAATGCGTTTTGCGATTTCTCCGTTCCACCTGTCTAAAGTATTGCGCTTGCCACGAAAAAGTGAGGCCAGGTCATACGAAGTGCTGCACGCTTCACACAAAATCATCTTACCAAACCTGAAGATCTGATGCTCCAAAATGCAACTCTTCTCAGGAAATCAGCGCCCGGACCTCCTAACAGCTCCGATGAAGATGTCTCTTGCACTGCGCCTGCAACGCGACATGCATCGTTGCAGATCCTCTTCAAATGCCCCACGCCTGCCAACGTTTTTGAAACTGCGACAAAACCCTCACGTTCTGCTCACTTTTGGGAAGGTGCAGAATGTCTTGCGCCTGCCACGCAAAGCCACATCCTAACCTCAAAAAGTGCTCCGAGACCGCCAGTTTTTTACACTTTTGACTTCGAAATGTGCTTCGCGCCACAACGCGTGCACTTTTTCAACATCTCAACTTCCAAAAGTGCTCCGGGCATGGTGTGCTTTGTACATTTTAACTTGGAAACGTGCTTCGTGCCACAACGGCGTGCACTTTTTCATCATCTCAACTTCCAACAGTGCTCCGAACCTGGTGTGATTTGCGCATTTTGACTTCGAAATGTGCTTCGCGCCACAACGGCGTGCAATTGTTCATCTCTCATCTGGCCAGATGGCTCCGCACGCGCCGCTTTAGCGAGCCGACTCTTCGACCCTCCGGAGCCACAAATCATTGGAAAAACACAGTGCTGTGCGACTTTGCTACCTTTTCGCGCTCCTGCATCTTCTATCTTTTGCCTCTTTCTCTTCTCTGGTCTTCTTTCTTCTTTCTTCTTCTCTTCTCTTCTCTTCTCTGACTCTTCCCACCTTTGCTTTTTCATCTGTCCATATTGTCGGAAGTTTGACTTCTAAACTTCCTTCGGTTAGGTCAATCTTGGATAGGTCAACATGGGGTTTCTTAAAATGGGGAATCCCCAAATCAACCAACTTAGACCATTCAATTTTAGTACACTTCACATTTGAAACCCATGGATTTGGGGCCTGGGGATCCACCATTTTAATCCACCTAGGAACAACCCCCATATGTTCTTCTTGTTGATCTCCTGAATTCTTGTGGGTTCATTGTCCAAACCCTAAAGCCGTGAAGATATCCCAAGGATTGCTGAATTAAATCCCGTTGTCTTATGATGACCTACATATCATTGATATCAACCTGTATTCTTGGTATTTAGTGATATGTGGATTCAAATCAAACCCTGATAACATTATTGATTATTAAATGATTGTTAGTGGTATCCATTGATAAACCCCGTGCTTTATTTGGATTGATCACTATGGACGATTAAGATCCCCATGGAAACCCTAGTTGGTTGATGATAATTGGGGGATCCGCTAGGCTTGGTTGACACAATCCATGTTGCTTACTTCGAAGTTTCAGAAAGACTTCAAGAATGATCCAAATCCAGAGATATCCAGAGTTCATAGCTTCAAAATCTGGTAAATTTGCGTAAATTCATTTTTGTTCATATTATGTTCATGATAGAATCCCATTCTGTCACCGGTTCCATGGCTTCTCCATGGCTTTCCGATGTGATGACGGAGAGGATCCAGCGAGTCCATCGAGTCCCGCCTCGTGGAAGCCTCTCTTGGAGCGCGCAAGCCCCGAGGACAACGGATGGTCTGTCAACAAAGCTACAAAGGTTTTGAAAATGGCCATGGAAAGGTTGATTTATGTTGATTTACCTCTTCAAAATGATGATGTTCCATAGTTATGTGCGTGTTTACCAGAGGGTATCCTCTGAAAATAGGAGATATGCTGGTGGTGATTTATCCTAAAACCACCATTAAAATAAGATAGGTACATCATCATAGCTACGTTAAATAAATGAATAACCAGAGATTTGAAATGCCATTGCTATCCCTCTCCACCCTTCTATCTCTATCTCTATCTCTATCTCTATCTCTACGTCTATCTATCTATCTATCCATCCATCTATCTATCTCTATCCATCTATCTTTCTATCCATCTATCTATCTTATTATCTATCTATGCATGCCAAAAAAATCCACACCACGCTTGATCGTGGTTCAATGATCTAGCATCACGTACCAAGCCGCAGCTTTCAAACATCCCAAAGTTTCTGCCACATAAATTGTAATCTTCCCGAAGTTTTTTGCCACATATTTTTTTAGCCTCTCAAGGCTGCTGCCACATTACGGATCAGGTCGATTATTATCGCTATTCGCTTTCATGTTAAATTTTGTGGCCACTATGCGCTTCCATTTTGGGATCGCTATGCGATCAATGGTCTAGCATCACGTGCCACGCCATAGCTTTTCACCAAGCTTCTCCCATACAACGTGTAATTTATCAAAACTTAGCTTTGACTTCTTAAACCTCGTGTTCATAGGTACTGGGTCCAAAATTGGTTCCATATTCTCAAGACGATGTGTGCTCCACTACTTAAAACCTCGCTTTACTTTCGTAAACTTCATGCTGATAAGTAATTGCTGGGTCCAAATTTTCCCCAAATTCTCGAGATGATGTGTCCTCCGTCAGTCAGAACTTTGCTTTAACCTTTTTAACTTCATGTTGATAGGTACTGGGTCCAAATTCGGCCCCATATTCTCAAGATGGTATGTGCTCCATCAGTCTGTAGAACTTCTTAAACTTCATTTTGATAAGTAATGGGTCCAAATTTGGCCCCATATGTTCGATATGTTAAACGTGCTCCATCAGTCAAAACTTTGCTTTGACTTCTTAAACCTCGTGTTCATAGGTACTGGGTCCAAAATTGGTTCCATATTCTCAAGACGATGTGTGCTCCACTACTTAAAACCTCGCTTTACTTTCGTAAACTTCATGTTGATAAGTAATTACTGGGTCCAAATTTGCCCCAAATTCTCGAGATGATGTGTCCTCCGTCAGTCAGAACTTTGCTTTAACCTTTTTAACTTCATGTTGATATGTACTGGGTCCAAATTCGGCCCCATATTCTCAAGATGGTATGTGCCCCATCAGTCTGTAGAACTTCTTAAACTTCATTTTGATAAGTAATGGGTCCAAATTTGGCCCCATATGTTCGATATGTTATGTGCTCCATCAGTCAAAACTTTGCTTTGACTTCTTAAACCTCGTGTTCATAGGTACTGGGCCCAAAATTGGTTCCATATTCTCAAGACGATGTGTGCTCCACTACTTAAAACCCCGCTTTACTTTCGTAAACTTCATGTTGATAAGTAATTACTGGGTCCAAATTTGCCCCAAATTCTCGAGATGATGTGTCCTCCGTCAGTCAGAACTGTGCTTTAACCTTTTTAACTTCATGTTGATAGGTACTGGGTCCAAATTCGGCCCCATATTCTCAAGATGGTATGTGCCCCATCAGTCTGTAGAACTTCTTAAACTTCATTTTGATAAGTAATGGGTCCAAATTTGGCCCCATATGTTCGATATGTTAGGTGCTCCATCAGTCAAAACTTAGTTTGCACTTCTTAAACTCGCCGCTGCATCTTTTATATATAGCACCACGCAGGAGACCACAATACCTAGGATGCGCCGGTGCACCTATATCTCACCCTTGCACTGAGCAGCACCTGTAGCATAGCACAAGAGACGTACCTAGGATGCGCATTTACCAGCTCGGCTATCTTCCGACCAACTTTCGACCAATCGGACCAACCCGACCAACTTCCGACCAACCTCACCAATCTCTCACCAACTTAACCAATTTCTGACCAACTTGGCCAACTTCTATCATATTTATAAAGTACATACTTATCACCACTTGTCAATGTACATACTTAGTGGGACCCCACTGCCTAGCAGCCTGAAAAGCTGACCAGGTGCCAAGTCATTGTTTCAGGAGTGAAACCACCACAAGAAGTAGTTGAGACAATTTGCAAAGCGTTTTTTCATGTTTCACCCAAGCATTTTTCACAAGGTAGGCACAATCTCTTCTGGCCTCCTTGAAACCTAGCCGCACGAAAATCAATCGTTCCAGGACCTTCACACGGCTGCTGCCAGTGTCCCAAGTGTAGGCACCTTGAGTTTGAGCAGACGAGATGGGAAGTTGGTTTCCCACAATTTATTGATTTTTGAGTTAAACATACAACAGGATAAGATCCTAGCTATGTGTTTCGCAGAGTTATATATATATATACACATGTATAGGTGTTGGTCAGTATGGGTATATATGTATATATGCACGGTACACACATGTCACATGTATATTATATACATACCTGAAGTATTCAGTGTATGTACATGATGCTAAAACACGTTTTAATGAATGATGGCTACATAATTACACATATTAGGGGGGATGATCGGGGTATCTTCGAATACGGTGATGGGTTCATCAATTTCCTGTCGACGCAAAGCAGTTGTTCACTTCCATCACGTGTTTTTCCGATGATCCAAAACCAAGATGATGAGATATTTCTATCAACTAAACTATGAGTAATACTTCTCATCATTAGACATAAATTTTAATGATGATAATAGTTTGTTAATAGTTTACTACTAGTTTAGTACCAATAATGATCGTAAGACGGCTAAATACTGTAGTGATCAACTACTCATAGTTCATTATGACATGTTGGTCAATGTCATCATGGGAAACTGCTCATATCCCATCAATATGGGAAAGGGTCAAAACCTGTCATGACCATATATAATTTACCATTTTTTGGGGCGATTAACATCTATTAATAGGTTTTGGTAACCCCTTGTGACAGTAGATGGCATATTGAACCCATTATTATTACTTTTTATATCATTATTAACACTACAAAACCTACTATTACTTGTACTCCCAGGTATATCCCAGGCATACCATCTATTGAACCATGACTGGCATTGTCACCCAACTATACTATCGATTGCAGTGTTCACCAGGGTGCCGATGTCTGCCGAAGGCGAAGCGGAGTTGCTGGCGCCCAAGGCTTCCAGTGCCACGTGACTTGGCGGGAAAGTTGTGCTAAGATATCCATATATATGTGTATGTATATATATATATATGTATATATTGACATATATGTGTATATTTGCGGTTGTGTCAATGATTACCTATGTGTGTATATATATATAGTACCAGTTGTGGCAACTATTGTTCAGGTCACCATTTTTATCCATGATATAAATTGATGTAGATATGTGGATGAACATCCACTTGCCAGCTATGTTTAAGTTCACCAGGGTAACACGGTGGCCATGATGCGTGGATTCCCATGGCATGGAATATATGCCCATGGCCCATCTACCATACGCTTTGACTATGGCACATAAGACACGCGAAGCATTGGGTTTATATTGTGATCAGACCAGGGTCTCTTTTTAGTGGAGACGAAACCAGCCAGAGACTGGTTGATGCCTTCCAGTACTTAAGGCTCATCCCAGCGTTGCTGATAAATCCAACAGGCTCACGGGTTTTCAGGATTCAAGCTCTGCAACTCACAGATTCTGAGCCCCAAGAGTGGGTTAAAACATGTTATAAACCACATAAAACATGTGAAACATGATGTTTTGCACATATTTCACAGCTTGTACCCTCCGGTAATCAAACGTGATTGAAAATCTCCCATTTATGGATGATTTATTGAAACTTCCATTTAGTTCGGGGGTAGTCACAAGTAGTCAAGGACATCATGGCGGCAGATAGCCAACACCACGTCGCCAAGGCCCTTTCTTTTTCGCCCTTCGCGGATCAGAACGGAGATTCCTCCAGCCACCCCTCGAAATAAAGCTGCCTGCAATCGACGACAAGCGCGAGATGATTGGAATACTCAGGAGACCACTTGGACCGGAAATGGGGATACTTTTGGTCAGCAAAGATAGATCTGGCAAACCTACAAGAAACTCTTGGATGGCGAGCTGGATAATCGCCATTTTCAAGTTTGGGAAAGAATAATCATGTTTATCATATTTTATCATCCACGCATGCGACATGGCTTCCATAACTATGTCAAATGGCCAAAGGGTACGAAGGTACTTTTTTGGAAATCAAAGACAGATAGCTGGCTGATGGTTTCATAATGTTTCAAATATGTAATGATTGTTGTTATGTGTTTTTTCAAGCATATTTCGGATGATTGGTTGAGATGACGAGTATATTTTTGGGATGGGTCAAAACAACCAAACGAATAATCAAACATAATAACAAAACAGAATTACCTCCGATAATCAAACATGGATAGTGGTAACTCGTAATTTTACCTTCCATAATCAAATGTAGCGTAGCAATGGAAATTCATCTATAGGTGGATGATTTTCCAGCAAACCATGTTTTTCAAACTGGAGGACCGCAGAATTATCCAAGTATCTATTGTCAATGGTTCGTTTTATTGGGGGGGCACCCTCAAACTTCAGGGCTGGTTTAGTGTTAGCCTTATTTAACATCATTTGACAGCCCAAATGGTGGTCAGTGCTTTTAAGCCTTGCCCATATCCCATTGCTATTCGGTAGCTATCCAAGGGGGCTCAGCCTATCGTCCAATGTTTCTTCCTGACTATCGCATTGTTGAAGCGCTAAGCTTGGTCTATGATTTCACATCCTTATGATATTCCTGTAAATCCTGATTTTGCCAGCAACGTTAGAAGAGGTGATTTGGGACTATGTTTCTGGGGATTTCCCGAGGGTTCCATGCATTTTGTTTGGAAAAATCGCCAGGAAATCCTGCTGGATTGGGCTGTGGCGAGATATCCAGGGCGCAAAGTGCGGCAAAGGTTCGATCTCCCAAAGCCCTTGGCGGAGTTGTGGCTTGGTCCAAGGAGCCATGAAGAACATGCCCAAACTGAACCCAACTGTTGATGGTTTAAAGGGCTTGAAAGGATCGAAATCAAACATGATGTTTTCATAGGGGTTCTACCATCAAAATCAAAAGGGATAAAATGGTGCAATTTATGAATGATGGTTGATGGGTCAACTGGCTTCGGGGTTATGAACCTAACTGGTTTATCGGGAGTTGCGAATTAACATATAGTGACCCGTAATTACGGAATATATTTACGAAGCAAGCACTATTTCATGGGGGCTTCGATGGAACCCAAAATTTGAATCCAAACGTTGAACATCGACCCACATGATTTGACCAAACTATTGGATTGTTTTTGAGAAAAAGGTATGGTATTATTGGTTATATCTTGTTTTTTATCTTTTAAATTGAGGGGATGCATTTTTTTGCCAAAAAATTACAGTTTCTGAAAGAGTGGGGATGCTTAGGTAAGTATTGGATTCACCACACTAGGTATGGAGTTTTGGTCAAAATTGAAGATTTAGCAGATTGTGAATCCACATGTCTTGGCTTGTTACGGTACTTATTCAAGCACAATGTAATTTTGGAGGTGAATCATAAGCAGTTCATGTTTCAGACCATTTCGGATGTGGCAGCCTGTACCAGGGTTTGACCTGAAGCCAGGCTTACAATAGATCTATCTTTATTGGAGGTTCAATGCTTTCGCTTACTTGTGAGCTTCATGAACATTTGTTTCAACCAATGGTGCGAGAGCATCACCCGTCCACATTTTCCAACATAGACAGAGGCATAGGGATGGATAGAAAAGATTGTCAATTAGCTATTAGCTCATCGCACCATACTTTTTGCAGCTATCCTCACAGGCTGTGGGAGATTCATAGTGAGGAATCTAACCCATCAAGAATTGTGTGTTTTCATAGGGGCACATCGGTTTGTCTGAAAGATTAGGGGAAATTCTCTGAAAATTTAGGGGAACATCGGAAAATTTTGATGGTTTAGAATCATTCTTCCTATTACATGGCCATTTGAAGGATATACCCCATTGTCAGACACGCCCAAATACGTTGATAAATCATCCGGCTGGTCTGGGTGGTCTCCCCATTCCTCTTGGGGTTATACCTTCTATCATTGAAGCCAGCCATATGGGGATGTGTCAAAACCATTTTTATTTCCACAGGACTGGTAGAACTACCATCCATTAACTAGCCATTTAGGGTACCAGGCGGGTACCATCCATGTACCAGGGTTTTGACCCATAAGCTGCTCAAAATCTCAGGAGTGAATTCCGTGCGCACTTCAATTTGATCTTCCCATCTCTGGAAATTCAGCAATGGGAGGACAATGAAACTGCAGAGATTCTCGGCAGATGGCAACTCTTCAGTTTGCTGAAGCGGGGGTTCTCCAACATTTCTCCAGGGGAAATTGGATCTCCATGAAAGTGCTACACAGAGGTGGCCCCCGGTTAACGCTCGTCGCTTTGTTTGTAATATCTATATATATATGTGCCATAAACCTTAGCTACTGAATTTGCAGACCACCTTTTTTTAACTCAGGCACAAATTGGTAGATGTTTTGGCAGACCTGTTCAGACTTCAGGCAAGCCGCGCAGCAGCTGAACTTTGCTTTCCAATGTGCCGACCGTGACGGAGACGGCCTTGTGAATGTTCGAGAGATGCACTATGGCCTTCAATGTGCATATGGTCCCCCGGCGAACAACAGTATGTCCTGACAACAAAAATTGGCTTGTTTGAAGCTGAAGCAAGAATCACAAAGAAACGCGTCAAATTCGCTAATCATCTCCTTTCTCCGGTTTCTCACGTTCAGCTGACTTTTTCCGATCTGGACGGGATGATTTGCAGCGGATTTGATTTAAACCGAAGTTCGTTACCTACCCATACCTTGCTGATTGCCCACGCCTGATCGATCTAATGGCACATATCCATGAGATTGCCCAATGTTCCATATTTGCAGAATTCCCATTGTCCAGACTATCGATCTCATCGCCAAAAAGAAGAAAAGCCGTTTGCCACTATATAGCTGGGTAGGATTTGAGTGTTGAAATCTTTTGGGGCTTGCAATAGGTGAAAGTCCTCCAAGACCACTGGCCTTTGGGCCACTCAACTAGCTGATGCAATTTCCAGAGGTTACGAGAGACTCACGTCGGATGCAGTTAGACAGCTGGCCTTCACACCAGCTGCTGAGTCTTGGTTTGGGGGTATCGAGACATCTCGCTGGACTGTGAAACCCAAACCTTTTGTGCAATGTGGGGCCCCCCAGTTATAAGTTGGTCTATAAACCGAATTAACTATAGCTTAGAAGTAAAATGAATTCATTGTTACTGGAGTTGTAAACCAACTTAGCTACCTAGGGAGCCCATTTTGTCAGATTCCTGCCGTTTTTTGAATCTTCATTTCTGAAGGCTTTAACTGAAGGCCAGTACCAGTGGAACTTCTGAGTATGGCACCATTCAGCCTCTTCAACTTGCCGTCTGGAAATCGGGTCAAAATCGCCCCCAAATGGTGGAAGGTTGGCCAATTATCCTATGGTTCAGTTCGTATGATTCCCTTTAACATGGCGAATCCCATGACTCCTAATTCTCTCCATGATGATGCATTAATCATAGTCCACAGTTTTGGCCCTTTACCAGTTATAAGTACGTATAACCCGGTTTATAGAATGTATACTCCCATTTATAGCGAATTATATTTAATAAATGGTCAGAACTGCATTCACAGGTCCTCCTTCCAACGTTCCACGGTTTCCGTTAAGGATCGGCTACAGGATCTGATGGAATCCCTGAACGAAGGCTTGGTCTCAGCTGCCGAGGTGCAAGGCACGGCCCCATGGAGAGGTTTTGTTCTCCAAATGTTCCAATTTGTTCATAGGGAAAATGACGTTTTCGCCCATTGGAAGTAGGGAATATTCTTTTTTCAGGCAAAGCAATTTAACTGAATGAAAGCTGGATTCTTTTCACCTGGCAATTTGGATGATTTCATCTGGATTCATGCTTCAAGGTTGCTTACATTTGGAAGATTCTGATTTAAACAACCGAATCTGGGGATTTGATTTTGCCCGTTTTTGAGATTTATTGCGTTCTTCTTTTTAGCCGCCCGAATTTCAGAAAGCCCTCCAAAAAGGGTAGTGAACGAGTCAATTGGGAGTGAAGAAGGAGCCGCAAGCCAAATGTCACATATCAGATTTTGGTTTGAAACCAAGCTTTGACCCATCAAAATATCCGTCATCCAAAATGCCGATGACCAATCCGGCGGATGGTTCTTGGTCGATCATCCAACACATCCCTACTTGGAAGTACAGTTCCAGGTAGTAGGTATATAACATTATATAACCATAATTATAGGGGTTATATCTCAACTCGGGATTTGATTTTTCATCACACAGAATTTTGGAGGCTTCAACTGCACCTGGCGCAACAGCACGCCTTGGGCACTGAAGCCAAGGCGTTCTGCGAGAAGCCAAAATGATTGGCGAGGGACGGCCTGCTTTGTTGTGGGCGCTCGGCGCTTGGTTCCTCGGCCAAATATAGGGCCGGGGCCGGCGCCCCCTAATTTTCACAAACCAGGATAGATTGGAAATCCGGGCTAGAACCACAACATCAAAATGCTTCTTGAATCATTGGGATTTGCTGAAGATGGGCTGTTGGTTTTCCCACTGGTTCATCCACCATTTGGAGAATCTACTTGGAATATTGTTGCGCCCCCTTAAGCAAATCATCAAAGGGAATGGATGCAAATGGAGCAATTGGTTTTGAGACGTAGATCCAGAAAGCACTTTTGGTCATGTGTCCAGGTACATTAATGTGGAGAGGAGCAACAGCCCCTGGATTCAGGCTCGAGTGTTGTTCTGCAGGACTCAATGCTAATACATGTGCATAGCGTGCATTTATATACTTAGAATTACACTTCGGCCCCTATCCCAACATAGACTTTTTTCCGTGGATGCTTCTTCCTGTGATTCACCTACTAACTTTTGTTCGGTGCTTTGCGATATGAGAATACCCATTGCCTTTCAGAAGGCAAAATCAAAGAATGCACCCAAAGATTCCTTTATCAACATTTGAGTTTTTCCTGACTTCTTCCAAATGATATCTTTTACACTTCCCAATGCCACGTGCCACTGAATTGCCACGCGTTTGTTTTTGAATTTGCCTTCTGCTTTGGCCAACATCCATGGTTTCCTGATTCCTGTGGCTTTACCCAGAAAACCAATCCGATCGGTACTGTATACATGTAATATTGTATATGAATGGCCGGCACTGATACATACATACACGTAATATTATATATATGTATTGGTAGATAGGTAGATAGATAGATAGATAGATACGTAGGTAGGTAGGTAGGTAGATAGGTAGGTAGGTAGGTAGGTAGACAGATTGATAGATATGTATTCGTACACATTTGCATCAAGATCACCTCTAATATGGTAAACCCAACAATAAACCATCCCATTGACCAACCTAACCTAACTGGGGGTAATTTTTCATCATCCCAAATGGGAGTAAGCACAGTTTCATAAGCCTCAAGTGGGGATGGTTTATTATTTATATTTATCCCAGATTTATCCGGTATTATCCCGCTATTATCTTATATCAATCCATATTCTCCTGTCAACATCCTACCATATCCCATGATTCTTTGGTTTAGTTACCACATGTATATTGACATTTAAACATAAACTAGTCAAATTTATGATTAAAAAAAAATATATACAACTTTGTGTAAATGATCGCCTTGAATGTGGTAAGCACATTGTACAATTCAATTCGCCTATATTTCACCCATCATTTCCAGTTTCTATTAGCTTTACCATGTATAAAAGATGGCCTTTAGTAGGATATTCATAGGATAACATGGATTGATATCGGAGGAGAAGAGTGGGATAGTTGATAATTATGGGATAACTTTGATAAACCATCCCCAATAAAGGTTTATGAAAGCTTGTTTTTGGGATGAGCTCATTAGACCCCCCAATGGGAGAATGGATAATTACAGGATAACCATCCCATCAACCAATGAGTGTCTGACCACTGCACGATTCAAGTAATTGTTCATCGACTTACCTATTATTGCCTTGAACAAGTATATATATATATATATATTTATTTATGTGATTAGTTTCTTTTGTTTACCACGATTAGCTTTCTACATGTGAGTACGACTATAGACAAAAAAAATCATGAGGCGACTATAGACAAACAGACAGACAGACAGACAGACAGACAAAAAGACAAAAAGACAGACAGAGACAGACAGACAGAGACAGACAGACAGACAGACAGAGACAGACAGACAGAGACAGACAGACAGAGACAGAGAGAGACAGACAGAGACAGGCAGAGACAGACAGAGACAGACAGAGACAGACAGAGACAGACAGAGACAGACAGAGACAGACAGAGACAGACAGAGACAGACAGAGACAGACAGACAGACAGAGGAGAAAAAAAGAGGAAAAGACCCAAATTCCTCTAGTCGTGGTGGTAGATCAAATGTTGTTCGAGGAAAAAAATCATTTGATCGTGCACAATAAGATGAAATTTAGTCGTGGACAACGCGTACTCTCCACTTATCATGACTAATTTTTCATTGTCTCCCATACTTCAGCCATCATTCTTTGTTCTCCATTGGTTTTACCACCTGAACGCTTGACCCATGCCGTGGTCCCCACAGGTCCTTCTGGCCTCCGTGCGGCGCTGGATCCCCAGCGACGAGGAACACCACGGCTGGATGCTCCATGCTTTAGCGAAGGCCACCATGGAACTGCCCAAGACGCTGCCGTTGCCGCGGCGCTTGGGGGGAGAGCTCCGGAAAGCAAATGGAGGGCAACGGGAGCCTTGGCGAAGCCATGGCCGATCGTTCGATGATCAGCCATGATGAGTCACGATAAATGAGGTGATTTTCAACGGAGGGCTAATTATTTTAGGATTTTTTTTTTGATCAGGTTTAGGAATTATTTTTGGATTCCTGCTTCTCTGCTTTTCCTGCTTCTCTGCTTTCCTTCTTTTCCTGCTTTTCATGCTTTTCCTGCTTCTCTGCTTTTTTGCTTTTCTGCTTCTCCTGCTTCTCGCCTTTTCTGCTTTTTTGCTTTTCTGCTTCTCCTGCTTCTCTGCTTCTCTGCTTTTCTGCTTTTTTGCTTTTCTGTTTTTCCTGTTTCTTTGCTTCTCTGCTTTTCCTGCTTTTCCTGCTTCTCTGCTTTTCTGCTTTTCCTGCTTCTTTGCCTTTCTGCTGTTTTGCTTTTGTGCGTTTCCTGTTTCTTTGCTTCTCTGCTTTTTTGCTTCTCTGCTTTTTTTTGCTTTGCCTGCTTTAAATACTTGATTTTCATGTAAGATGCATTTTGCACAGTATTTACATCCCTGAGTATCACATGACCAACCTTCTCTTGAAAACTAGCAACGTAACATGTGAGAAGAGGTGCTTGGGGGGAGGCGCTGCGCCCTCCCCCCAATCCCCCCTCCCGTTTTTTTTTAAATTTAAACTCAAACCCAAGTTACATTAGTTGGTTTTTGCGAACTAACCTTCTCTGGAAAGCTGGCAGGATTACATGTGATAGATAGATAGATAGATAGCTGGATAGATAGATAGATAGATAGCTTGGTAGATAGATAGCTAGATAGATAGATAGCCAGCTAGATAGATAGATAGCTAGAGAGATAGATAGCTAGATACCTCGATAGATAGATGGCTGGATAGATAGCTAGATAGATACATGGCTAGATAGATAGCTAGATAGATAGATAGCTAGCTAGCTAGATAGATAAAGAGGTAGCTAGATAGATAGATAGATAGATAGATAGATAGATAGCTAAATAGATAGGTAGATAGTTAGCTAGATAGATAGATAGCTAGATAGATAGCTCGATAGCTAGATAGCTGGATAGACAGCTGGATGGCTAGATAGATAGATAGCTAGATAGATAGAAAGCTAGATAGCTAGATAGCTAGATAGATAGTTAGCTAGATAGCTCGATAGCTAGATAGCTGGATAGACAGCTGGATGGCTAGATAGATAGATAGCTAGATAGATAGAAAGCTAGATAGCTAGATAGTGATAGCTAGATAGCTAGATAGGTAGATAGATAGCTAGCAAGATAGCTAGCTAGATAGGTAGATTGATAGCTAGATAGATAGATAGCTTGCTAGATAGATAGCTAGCTTGCTAGATAGATAGCTAGATAGCTAGCTAGCTGGATAGATAGCTAGCGCCCTCCCTCAATCCCCCCCACCTGCTTTTTATCTAATCCCAAGCTTCCGCATCTGTAGATATTTGGGCGAACATGCTCACATGTAGAACATCCCATGCAAAATGGAAGGATGCCAAAGTGTGGCAAATACCATACAAAATGGAAGGTGAACATGCCCACATGTAGGAAATCCCATGCAAAATGGAAGGTGAACATGCCAAAATGTGGCAAATAGCATACAAAATGGAAGGTGAACATGCCCACATGTAGTAAATCCCATGCAAAATGGAAGGTGGACATGCCCAAATGTGGCAAATACCATGCAAAATGACAAATTCAAGTTCCAAACCGTTGCAAACACTAGGCAAATGGTACCAGCCAAGAAATCCAAAAAAAAATCCCAAACCTGCTCAAAAAAAAATCCTAAAACTATTTCACACCCATTTTAAACACCTCACTTAGCCGCTAAATAAGCAGAGGGTAGCTGCTGGAATTGAAAGAGGTGATGTTTTGTGAGGATTTCAGGAGTTTGTCTGGTGGTTGGTGATGTGTTGTTTTGTTTGGTTGCTTTTCTGTGTGTGTGTGTGTTGATACTTTTTTTGCGGCAATTGTGTTGGCAATTGTGTTGGTAATGCTTGAATAGGTCCAGGCATTTGTTTCTTGTAATGTTGCCAAAACAATAATAAACCATCCCCCAAATCACCATAAATAGATGATAGAAACCATTCCCAAATGGGTGGTTTATTATTGGGTCACAATGTTTTACCCACATTATTTCTGATTGTTATCCAAATTTGTGGGGAATCCCCAACCTTCTCATGGGCTGGGGATTCAACCCGGTTGAACCCACGAGACCTCAGGAAGAAACAGCCTCCAGAGCTAGCCAGGCGTGTGTCTTGATGCTTTCCGTGGCTCGGGATGCGATGAGACCGAAGAATCCAAGATTGTTTCGGTCAAAGAATTGGAGGTTTCCATAGATGTTGGTACCCCAAAAAATTGGTGGTTTATAAGGGAAAACAGCGTAAAAATTGCTGATTTGGGGGTACCCACCATTTTAGGAAATCCCCGATTGAGGTGTTTTGATAATGCTTCAAAAATTCAACATGGCTTGAATACTACAACCATTGAAGCACTTGCAGTTTCGAAAAAGGTGCTGAGACGTGCTGAGGTATTGATTCATATGTTCTACCTCTGTATGTTGATCTTCCCAAGTCTCCTGTTTGGGCTGCTGATCTTTTTGGGTTCAGAGCACGGTGACGATCGATGTCCCTACGATTTGGATGCCTTGCTGGTGTGGTTTGGAGCGCTTGGCTTAGCTGTTTTGGTCATGGACTGTGCCAATGATGGTGCCTGGGATTCTGCCGTGTTGATTTTTGTCATTTCCATTCATTTCCACCATATCTAGATTGCAAGTTTGTGGCCACCCCCCTTTTTCAGACAAACCCAGGTTAGGATCTGAGGATGAGTATTCTGAATGTATATATATATATATGTTTGCATTGAGGGGACAATCGGAGGGAAAATCCAGTAGACTCATGCATTGGCGCCAACATCTCTGTTGATTCAAACAACCTCAAATATTCAGCTCCCAACATTCAGACAGAGATCAGAGATCAGTGATGATCAGTGTGTAAAATTTCAGGTCGGCTGGGCATCTCAATCGGGGTCTACATCTTGAAGTTTTTTTTGGCATTAACCCCATTGCTGGGGATGGCTTGGACGCATAGTTTGAGACACAAAGATGCTGACATTTGTGGCCCCTACGTCTTTTGGACATCCAAATGGATCTGGAGTGCCATCGCTTCCTGCGAAATGTCGCTTGGATATGGCAAAGACTGGCTGGTAGCTATCACGTAGTTGCTGTATGCAAATGAAGAACTCCTGCCTATAGATGGTGATGTTGATGTCTTGGGGGTTGGATCGCTGTCCTCGGAATGGTGTACCACATGAAATGAATGGGTACGGGTTAAATTTGGACACCGCCAAATTCGTCTCATTTTGCAACAATCAACCGTGATGCCAGCAATCCATATAGAAATCCTGCATGCTATCCCAAATGTTGCACCTCTGCCGGGCATGTTCATTCAATTTCCTAAAGTATCCCAAACTTAACAGAAACTCACCAATAACTCACCTATCTCCCGGAATTTCCGCTGCTGTAGGTATGTCATTTGTTTGTTGGGTTGGAGCTTTCACGTGGCGCGCAACCATGAACGCTTCTTGCGGCGTGCAGCCTCTGGCGAAGACGATCTTGTTGATCTCGGTCCGGAGAGCCCGGTGACCAACGATGCCTTGGTGTCGTAAAAAAAAAAAACAATGGCGTGCAGACGGCGCGTTAAACGACATCAGCAGATTGAAGCGATAGAATAGTGATGTTGATGTCTTGGGGGTTGGATCGCTGTCCTCGGAATGGTGTACCACATGAAATGAATGGGTACGGGTTAAATTTGGACACCGCCAAATTCGTCTCATTTTGCAACAATCAACCGTGATGCCAGCAATCCATATAGAAATCCTGCATGCTATCCCAAATGTTGCACCTCTGCCGGGCATGTTCATTCAATTTCCTAAAGTATCCCAAACTTAACAGAAACTCACCAATAACTCACCTATCTCCCGGAATTTCCGCTGCTGTAGGTATGTCATTTGTTTGTTGGGTTGGAGCTTTCACGTGGCGCGCAACCATGAACGCTTCTTGCGGCGTGCAGCCTCTGGCGAAGACGATCTTGTTGATCTCGGTCCGGAGAGCCCGGTGACCAACGATGCCTTGGTGTCGAAAAAAAAAAACAATGGCGTGCAGACGGCGCGTTAAACGACATCAGCAGATTGAAGCGATAGAATAGTGATCTTTTTGCAAAACAGAAAATAAGTCATACTGTATCTACATGCATCTGTAAATTTCTGTATGTGGTTTATGTGTTATTTGACTAGGGTATACGTAAATGACCATGATATACATACATATATATATATATATGTTATATATATATACACATATATTCCAATTCTATATACAAGTGGAAGTACAATAAAGGGACGACTCATTACCAGAGACGACTCCGCCGCGTAGCGCGCAACGCGCCGGTCCCAGGCTGCCAGTCCCTGGGATCCCTGGGAAGTCTCCGTCGGCATCCAACCGACCTGCCTCCGCGACATCGCCGGTATCGCCTGGAGGTGGGTTCCCGAAATTCTTATGGCTTCCAGAAATGGATGCCCAAAATGGTGGCTGTAAAATCTAAAAAAGAAAACACCATAAACAAAACTCAAAAGTTTCGAATGTGGATGATATTTAATGTGGGTAAAACAACAATACGCCATCCCCCAAATCACCATAAATAGATGGTATAAACCATTCCCAAATGGGTGGTTTATTATTGTTTTTACCACATTACCTGAAACTTGTTTCTGACGGCTGAAACTTTGCTGTTTTGATGGTCCATCCCAAAGAAACAGGAGATGAAACCCATTGACTTCTGCGTGGGTGTCTGTGTCAGCCAATCAATGGCGGCCAACGAATTTCTAGAACTTGATGTCCATTTGATGAAATACTGAATACTTAATACATTAAACTTGACTAGTCACTAGGCTCCATGGAAAATGACATGCCCATCCAATATCTTCATAAATTCATCAGATTTGTATCCGTTTATCCTGTCAGGATGGAAACCAATGCGATTTATTCACCATTTACTCAGAATATATTCACCATACTTCCAATTTAGGATTATTTGTATTTTTCACCATTGGACCATCATTGGGTCACCATGTTCACTGCAAGTACCGTGTTCAAGCTACTTGGATTAGATTAACCCAGTTGGGTCGGGACGGGTCATCAATTCATGTCCATAGGAAGTTATATGCCATTGTGCTTGGATTCCCATGACATGATATGGATGACCATAAAACATATACCGTGTTTGGCCTACATTCACCCTATTCCCGATTTAGGATGAATTTTCACCACTAAATCACCATTCGATCATCACACAATTTACCATGGTTCATTTCGAGGGGAATAGCAGTAGAAAAAATAGCACCATAGTAGATCATAGTCGCAGAGATGTCAGAAATCCCAATGTTAAACATATATGTCATCACGTCCAAATGTGATATTCACCATCATTCACCATTTCCCATGGTTTTACTATATTGTTTAACATTGTGGTCTGACATTAAAAAAAGTTGTTAACAACATGGTTAAACATGGTTTAACTCCCGTTGAGAAAGTTGAAGATTTACCCCCCATATTGTTGACATTGTTAAGCAACATGGCTTAACCCCCATAAGTTAAACAGCGCACCCCCATAGAATCAACAAGGTTCTCCAGATGCAGCCAAAGCCGTTCCGGAGCGCTCGGATAAGGCGCCGGTGTGAAAAAATGCTGGATTTCACCAAGAAAAATGGCGAGATCATGGGGTTTGTCATGGAGAATACACCCAAGGATCTGAGATTTTGGGGGGACAAGCTGAAAATGGAGGAGTGTGCTTTTAGTAGAGAGCATGATCATCAACCAATAGATTTAGGGCCTAGGCGTATTTTTAAGATGGGTAAAGGTGAAAATATAGAGGATCAAGGCGAGAAAACCAGCAAAGTGTTGGCGCATCAGCGCCAGTTAGATGGTTTTGATCTGCTTAGTATGTTTTGGTATGTTTTGATGCAAACGGTTTGCGGCAAAGGGAAAGCCTCATGTTTTCGGGAAAACTGATCTATGGACAGCCCATTGAGGAAACTGTTCACTCCAGCAAGCATTAGGTCACTACCCTGATTGAAGATCACTGTACTAAGACTCATGATACGCTGCAACGCATCACACAAGATCACGGGCTTCTTCAGTACATACCACGCCGAGCCAAGTGGCTGGGCATCATTGATGTAGAGTACCCCCGATGTCTTCAAACACAGCTAGAAAATCCTTCCATGTATAGATAAAACGATATATGTTTGCCATAAGAGGCTCCAGGTAGTTCGGGGATTTCCCAGCCAGCTACGTTTAACCACATTCGAGGAGACCAGAGGGTATATTCTTCCTGTTGCTTCATGTTCCAAGAAAGTGACCGGCATCCGGCGTCCCTAGATTTTTTGGGGTCAAATCCCTGGAAGATGGTCTCAAATTGAACAGTAAGCATTACTAAAACCAGTTTCTAGGGGACATTAATAATGAGTTTGAGATTGGAAACTCCCTGTGAAATTAATCCAACTATTTAAATCTTATTAGGGGAAGCGATCATGTGAAGTTTGTTTTTCTCCCAGCCCAGCCTTTATCAATTGTACCCCCTAAACAATATTGATGGCGTCCTCCAAAAAAATGCAATCATATGAAATCACACCAAATCCCCACGGGACTCCATTAAATATTTAGTCTTCAATCTCACTAGATTCCATTGAACCCTCATTCAATTACGTCAAACCCCATCAAACCCCATTGTAACGCACATTAAATAACTTTTAGTTCCCTGAAAATAACCATTAGATATTCCATCAAAGCCCATCCAAATGTGCATGAAATACCCTATGAACTCCTATGAAATCACCATTAAAACCATGAAACCCTGTGAAAATCTCATGAAGCTCCACCAAAACACCACTAAATCCCGTTGAATCACCATTTCACCACCATAAAATCACCATCGCCTTAAAATCCTGATGAAACTCCAAAGCCAATGGCTTTTCCCATGTCTTTCCGCCTTTTGAGGTCACGGCCCCACTTCGAAGCCCCGTTCGACCCAGCTCGGCTTCAGGGCCCGAGCGACGGGCTGCCGCGACGGTGCCCGGGCACCAGGGGTACTCTCAACATGGATGGCTTGCCCTGCTGGTAATTTCACCTAGCTTTTATGCTATTGAACATGGCCCATTTAGTTCGTTGATTTACCCAAAGATGGTGGTTTTTCATAGCAAATGTTAGTTTACCAGAGGGTACTCTAAAAACGGATGGTTTTTAATGGACAATCCATGAAGACCTATGGTTTATAAACGTTTATAATGGTAAAATGTGGGTTGTAATGTGGTAACAATAAGAAACCACCCATTTGGGAATGGTTAAGACCACATTCATTGTGAAATTGGAGATGGTTTGTTGTTGTTTTACCAACATTACTGGAAAACCCCAAACAAAATTGGATGATTAATAGGGGTACCACTATTTTAGGAAACCTCCGTGTGGATTTAAGTTTGTCGAAAAATAGGGGACCTCAAATCCATATGCGAATCATAATTTCCCCCATTAAATAGTTGTTTGTCTGGGTGCACCTGATTTTCTGGCAGACTCATATGATTCTTGGAATGACACAGAGGGTGTTATATACATCTAGTTAATATTGGGATACTTGGATAGATGTACATGAACTACATACATACAAAATAGATCGCGATACTTGGATATTGACTATGTGCACCCCAGGCACGGTAAGTGCGCAATAACAATCTTGCGTCAAGCATTTTTATATGGAATATCCCCAATATAAGCACATATATGTATATACACATGTAAATATAGGTTATGTCCATCCAACCTACCAAAAAGCTGTTGCTGGTTGTGTATCCCATCAAATTACCCTTTCATCCCAATGAAATGGTAGGCATCATCAACCCAACAAAGAATCATCAGACCAAACCACTAACCATCATTTGTCAAAACTATCCCAACTTGTGTTGGACTGAACCATTCTTTTCTTTCATTCCCACAAATAACGTAAATAAAATGGCAGTCATCATCAATCAAAATCATGCATCAGTTGTATCGCGGGTACATTATTGGTCTATCCGATTCCAATCCCAAGTTCTCCCACTTTCATCCCATCTCGATAGTGGTACATCCCCAAAAAGACAAGTTTTTGCGCTTAACCCCCCTATCACACGCCAATATCCCGCTATAACCCATCGAATTCCACACTATATCTGATGTAACCCCATACGCCCCATGCTGAACCCCATTAAATCCCAACTCATCCCATTAAGGCACTATGAAATCAGACTAAACCCCTTTAAAATCCTGCTAAATCCTGATGAAACCTTATTAAAACCACCGTGAAATCACCATTAGATCATCATAAAGCCCCTATGAACTTCCATGAAATCAAAGGCCTCAAGGTCGGTCCGCTCCATTGCTACATCGACAGGTCCAACGCCCCACTCCTGGCACCTCGGGCTCCGCCATGAAGGCAGTGCAGAAGGCTGGAGCCCACAGCCATGAAAAATGGTGGTTTTCACCCGAAAATTTGGGAATTGGTTTGGATACTGGTGATATGAGAAAAGCAATTTTTGAGAATTTAAAAGTGAAAATATCACTGATAAATACTGGTTGGTTGGTTTTGAAATCAGGATTATAGTGGTTTAATGGCGGTTACGAGCTAAAGGATCATGATGTTTGGAACCAACAACAGCTTTTTGTAGGTGATGGACATATCTTTGGGTATATGATGATATATAAACCATTAAGAATTGTAGGGGTTTTACGACATTTTACGACCTGGTTTACTGGAGATTATGAACTAACCCTGTAAGTAGGAAAATCGTTTTCAACCAACTAATATTTGTTGAGATGGGATAGGGGTCTTTTTCATGGCTCGAATATGGATGGAAGACCAACCAAGTTGTACATATGCTTGGAAAACTAGAGTTTGATCTTAGATGTTGTCATCAGATGTTCGGTAAATGTATATACGTATTTATCAAAATACAACATACGGAAATGATATAGATATTTTCTATTTACCAACATGTTGCGCGTTTAATATGTAATATAGACCAAGCAAATTCGGATATGTTATTTTTGAACAAGAGGGTATCGTAGTATACATACATATCGTCCATAAATCTTTTTGCTCATATATATATATATTTATTTATCTCTTTTTCACGTGTACATATATAGACACCTGTAGGAACCGCCAAAAAACAAAAGTCTACACAGCTAGTAAACCAATATTCTAGTAGGACGTGACTTTTGGCATTATGTTTGGGGCTTCTAAAGACATATAGATATATTTTTTGTGCGTAGATTCACATATATATGTATATCTATCTATCTATATATATATAATATATGCGTGTGTGCGTACATATAAATCATATGTATATATGGTCCCGCCCGGCGTCCGGCAACCCCCCCCCAATGCTATCCCCCCCAGCCCCCCCAGCAATCCCCCACGAGTGTGGCTAGCCATCTACCACCATCCGCCAAGATCTCATATGCTCATATGCTATACTAAAATGCTGGCCTCGTGCCACCTATGCACTACACAACAGGATACCACCATGCCTTTAATATTGCCATGCCATCGAGAAAACAACGTAGTACTGCCAAAAAAGTACCTTTATGGTACTATCAAGATCTCATGTGCTATACATACGTGCTAGCCACATACTATCTATACACTATCTACATGATACCTCAAAAACACCCCACCCATCCCACAGGGATGGGCGGGGGCAAAGTAGACCGTAGGTGGATCATTTACATGCTGGCCACATAAGACCTACTTTCTGCCTTACACACTAGTTGGGCCAGTGACACAATACCTAGCCGGGGGGCGGGGGTAAAGTAGACCCTACATCGTTATTTTCTAGGCTAGCAAAATGCCAACTAGACCGACAGCGTATATACAGGACCATGACCATGGGGGGGTTGCAGGGCTGAGCCATATAATGTATTTACATTTGTCTATTTATATATATATGTGTGTGTGTGCATTTGTATATAAATATGAATATTTAAATTTATTTATATATGATTTTTTAACTATTATTTATTTGACTTTATTTATTTATTGATTTATTTATTTATCTATTTATTTTTCATATATCTTTTGTTTAAATATATATATAGATAGATAGATGTTGATAGTGTATCCATGCGTATGTACATCTATACAGTTGCATATATATACACATGCATCCAGATGAGCGCTTTGTCATCTCGATACATACATATATACACATACATACCATGCCAATCATGGCAATCAAACTGTTGCCAGTTTTTTTACAAGAGACATCTGAGCTACAGGATGGGTGAGTCACAATTGAGTACCCAAAAAAGGGATGTTTACTGACAGATTGAAATCTATTTGTGGCTCCTGTATCCCCGAATTACCGGAATTCAGATTGCCATAGCCATGCCTTGGAACCCGAGACATTTTCCTCTTTGCGCTTTTTAAAAGGAAAGGCAAGGGAATATGTTTTACAGAGCACAGGCGCGAGCCCCGTCTGATTTGAAATCTGCCTCCAATTATCCCATACTATCCCCTGATTCCACAAAGGGTACTTGGAGGAACATTCCACGAATTGTAACTGGTGAACGTAACCTTGCCTAGCAAGTCCCCTTTCAGTGGGTTATCACATCTTTAAATAAGATATACCTTTGGTTATTAACCACCCAAGTAGTGAGAGGCTTCCATTCTGCCAGGCCCGTGCGGTTGCTAGCGGTTGGGAATGAGGACCTGACCAGCACGGACCATGTTTTTTTGCTGGGCATGGACGGGCTACTTTTTTTCCGGCCGTGATGTTCCTTGAAGAAATGCCCTTGCCATATAGATTATGGCCATTCTGTTGTGAAACTTGAGATTAAATGATTCAAATGTGCCAGATGCCGAAGCCTCAAGGTACATCCTCTTGTATATACGCTGTCTCACAATGGACAGAACGAATGTTCCAAGCGTCCGAGCGGTGGCTGAACCGAGAACTCAACATCGAATTCTTCGGCAATGGAAACATTTGATGCGTCATTATATATTACCTTTAATTTTTGGCCGATATGATAGCATATTATGATCTAGCTATTACAAATCAGGATTCATCAGCCACCGTTTACTTAGCGACAAGTGCCAATCGTTTAAAGATGTGACACCTCTGACACCCCTTGCCGAGTAAGATTGGTGCCTGAGGGCTGGGTGCCAGATTCGAGACCAATACGATTGTGCAACCAGATGCCACAAGCAGGGTGATGGATGCTTTTTCTCCAAGATTTCAGACGCCCATCTCAAAGATACAAAAATCCTTTGATGGCTGTGGTGGAAATCGAATCTGCTCACTCCAAAGAAATTGATGCACGGACAAAGCATTTGCTGATAATTATGTTTTTTGAACAACATATATAAATCATTTCAAATCAGATTTTTAAGTAATATATAAAAGAATGCTTTGTTTAATCATTAATCCTGTTTGCTCTGAATAAGTGGTCCTTGGCCTTAAAACCTACCATATATATTTATATTCACGGTCGCTTCGTGACGAAAACCGCCCGCACCAAGTGTAATGGATAACACTCACATATGTCGGAGGATGTTTGGCCATATTGAACGTTTTTTAGCACTTATTGGGCACTTTTTAGCTCCGTATGAGGCTATCTTGGCCCCATATGAGGGTATGTTGGCCCAATTTGAGGCTATGTTGGCCCCATGTGAGCCTATCTTAGGCTCATGTTGGGCCTATGTTGGGCCTATCTTGACCCATGTTTGGCCTATATTGGCCCAGATCAACAATTTTGACCCCCTTTGAAAAACATGCAAAAACACAGGATTCTAGAGCAAAAATGCCCGCCCCAAGCTAAAGCTTATTAGCTTTACTGCAATTGCTAACGGTTCACGCAGGTACACAAAAATACGCCTCGGCACCTTCGGTGCGGGCGGATTTTGAGAAAATGAATAGGAGTTATTTATTCCACAAAAGAAGAGACCAACGAACCCAAATGCAGTCACGTAAAACACTTTTGTGAAACAAGTTTTTCAACAGTCTTGTAGATTGTTCCATTTTGCCCTTGTTACCGTACCAGTGCGCTGTAGACCGTGGAATGTGGAAGGGGGTCGAGGGCAAAGTGCGGGGTGTGAAGAAAGTGGAGTGTAGTCTCTGAAGTGTGGATTGTGGAGTGTAAAGTGCAAAGCGTGGGGTGGAATTGTGAAGTGTAGAGTGTGGAGCGTTAAGTGTAAAGTGTGGAGTGCGGAGTGTAAAGGGTAGAGTGTGGAGTGTAAAGTGTGGAGTGTGGAGTGGAGAGTGTGGAGTTTAAAGTGTGGAGTGGAGAGTGTGGAGTGCAAAGTGTGGGGTGTAGAGTGTGGAGTGTAAAGTGTGGAGTCTAAAGTGTAAAGTGCGGGGTGGAAAGTGTAGAGTGTGGAGTGTTAAGTGTAAAGTGTGGAGTGCGGAGTGTGAAGGGTAGAGTGTGGAGTGTAAAGTCTGGAGTGGAGAGTGTGGAGTTTGAAGTGTGGAGTGGAGAGTTTGGAGTGTAAAGTGTGGAGTGTAGAGCGTGGAGTGTAAAGTGTGGAGTGTCAAGTGTGGAGTGTAAAGTGTAAAGTCTGGGGCGGAAAGTGTGAAGTGTAGAGCGTGGCGTAAAGTGTAGAGTGTGGAGTTTAAAGTGTAAAGTGTGGAGTATAGAGTGTAGAGTGTAGGCTGTACAGTATGGAATGTAAAGCGTGGAGAGCGCAGTGTGGAGTGTAATTTGTGGAGTGTAGGGCTATGTCGTCGCGGTCGTCGGTCGTCAGTCTTACTTGTGCTTCGCGCTCGCTGCCGCCTCGGCTCCTCCTCTTTCTGCTCGGCTTCTCCTCCTTAATTCGCCCTCTTCCTCCTGTAATTCTCCTGCATTTCTATTATATTAATCACAGGAAATTTAGAAGTCAAACTTCCGACAATATGAAGAGATGAAAAGCAGAGCAGGGAAGAGGCAGAGAGAAGAGAAAGATTAGAAGAAAGAAGAATAGAAAAGAAAGAGTAAGAAGATAGAAGATGCAGATGTGCGAAAGGGTAAGAATGATTTGGGGCTCCGGAGGATCGAAAAGAAGGCTCATTAAAGCGGCGGGTACGGAGCTAGTTGGCTAGATGAGAGATGAAAAAGTGCACGCCGTTGTGGCGTGAAATTCATTTCGAAATTAAAATGTACAAAACACGCCATTCTTAGACTACTTTTGGAAGTTGAGATGTTGAAAAAGTATACGCCGTTGTGGCGCGAACCACATTTCGAAATTAAAATGTACAAAACACACCAGGTACGGACCACTTTTGGAAGTTGAGATTTCGAAAAAGTGCACGCCGTTGTGGCACGAAGCACATTTCTAAGTCAAAATATACAAAACACCACATGTTCGCGCCACTTTTGGAGGTTCGGATGTCGAAAAAGTGCACGCCGTTGTGGCGCGAAGCACATTTCGAAGTCAAAATGTTAAAAACACTAGGGGTTCGGACCACT